AATCGAGGTTGATCGATCAGAGTTTTTTAATGAAGATGGAGCACTTCCAGTGGAATCGATCTGTTGAATGCGACAGTAGATAGAAACATTGTCGGACAAACACCACCGAGTTGGAAAGGTTGTATTGCTAGTGTGAGGCTTGAGATCCAAATCAAATAGGCCACGTAGATGATCGTGATTCCATTCATCAAAAGCATCTTTGATTTTGATCGGCTCGACAAGACGAAAATTGGTTAGATCCGAAGGACTAACAGACGCATTTGTATGTCTTTCAGAGACTTGTTGGCCAATAAAGTGATAAAGTATCGATTGATTATCAAGTAACACTTCCTGATCGGAATTCAAAATGGTTGATGGCTGGTTTGTGCTGAATAGAGAGACTCGAAAATCGTATCTTTTTTATTGAAACTAAAACTCACCGATTGATTGGTTTCAATAGAAATGATTGAATAAAGCTCGAAACTTCAGAGAAAGCCTTCTTGATGGTGAGTACACAATCAATTTCAGTGAGTGTTGTAATCATTTCACGAATAGTCGATGAAGAAGAGCCTGAAAGGAGATACTGAAATAACCAAACAATATCGCTTCTAAATATTACCATTCGCAATTGGTTTGACCGACGCGGTGAAGTCCGATTTTCTTGGAGTGATTGATTTCATTTGAGAGAGTTTATGTTCGACAAGAGTTCGACATTGACTTTCGTCATCTGATACAACACATTGACGTAACAATGCCATGCCTTGATCATCATCATCATCATCTAGCTTGATTTTCAGTTGATTTGCCATCTTTTGCAAAACTTCTTGTTCATCTTCTACCGAATCGAAATCTCCACCACATTTTTCCGTATACCAGTGATGAATTTTGTGAAAATTTTCTTCATTGAAGCCTGTTTTGGATTGCAAATAATCAAGAGCCGATACCCATGAATGATCTGTCATTGCTAGATAGACCAATGGATTATACAGTTTATTGCGTTTTTAACGTACGGATCTTAGTTTATAACAAAGTAAAACAAAACGAATTGTTTTTGACTGTCAAATAGCGGACAAAAGGCAAGTTTCATGGAAATTGTACCCACAATTTATACTATCGGAGCAGATATTATAAATCGCTGAAACTAGAAGAATGATTTTGAAGGAAGAAAGAAAAAAGTCTCCTAACGGTAAATATTGTCCCTTTCTCAACGCCGATCAGCAGCATGAATGAGACGAGAGAAAAACATAATCTTATATACTGATGGGACAGGAAAAATCCAGCTAAAAAAGGTAATGAAAGAGAATAATAAAAAATGTCAATCCTTCTTGCAATACATTCTTTCCAACACAAGAAACAGGCTGATTTCATCTTTTTTTGTTTTTGATTATGTTTTTATCGGGTATCATAAGAGAACAGCAATATGCAAGCGAAATTCATGATAAAAAACCCAGTATGCGTTTTTCTCATCGTTGCGAAAGGAAGAATTTTTCAGTGACGTCATTGAGCACAGCTTGCGTAGAAAAACAGAATTCGTTAGTTTGCAAAGAAAGATTTGTCACAATGATAGACGAGATAGAAAATGGCATCACGATGAAAGATATCGACGAAGAATTTTTAGAACAAAACACAACTCAGCAGACCAATAGGATCAAACTTCAAAAGGCAGAAGTTGCCAAATTACTCATGTCGAACGAAGTTGAAGACTTTAAACGTCAGATCAACGAACAGTCGGAGAAAATAGATCGATTGAAAGATGAATTAGAAGAAACAAACGCGGACATAGAAAAGGTCAACGACGAAGTTCAAAATTTACATAATGACAAGATCAAGTGGCAAAAGAAATGTCAGGACTATGAATCGGAATCTAATCGTTTAGAAAAAGAAATACAACGCAATGAAGATCAAATCGAAGGTTTGCAAGAAGAAAAATCTCGACTCATTAGTGAGAAGACTCGTTTACTCGAACAAGTCAAAGAACTCGAATACGTACAACAACAGATTGCAAGCAAACAAAAGCAATTTGCCGAGCAGGGTGAACGATTGAATGAACAATTGGAAGAATTGAAAAAAGACTCGGAACAGCTGAACAAAGACGTTCGACAAATCGAACGAAAAATTGAGCAATGTCAAAGTGATTTAGCAGAAATTGAGAAACAACTGGCTGTTGTGGAAGAACGACAACGCGAACTCGAACGACAATTGAACGAAACTGAATCGAATCGTGATCGTCTTGAATTAGAAATGAAAAAAGTCGCCAGTTGCATTCAACATATCGAACAAGCCATAGATATGAAGAAAAATCGGATCAATGAATACAATCAATACAGAGAACAACTACAAGCAGAAGAAAGCCAAGCTCAACTAGAATTCGAGCGTGTTCAACAAACAAAAGGCGACATACAAAGCAAAATCAAAGAATTAGAAGCGAAAGCTCAACTGAGTCGAACAGAGTTGAGCAGATTAAAAGCGTTAATTGCAAAAGAAGAACAATTATCAAAAGAATTATTGGAAAGAAAACAAAGATCTGAGTAAGTCCAATGAGGAGAGATCAAATAAATTCAACCATTCTCTTTTCCAGACGTGACATACAAGCGAAAAACCAAGAGAGAGCCGCATTGAATGATGAAAAGCAGAAGCTTTCTCAAAAGTTCACGCTTAAAAACGACGAGCTCAGAAAAGCTGAAGAAAACCACGCAGCACTCGAACAACGTTTAAAAACTCTGCAAACTGAATTAGACGCTTTGAAAACGGATTTGGACAGGCAAACGAAGGAACGAAATCAGTTTCAAATAGAATTAGGACAAGAAATCCAAAAGAAACAGCAACTTAGCGTCGAGTTGCACAGTAAGCAACAGCAATGTCGTATAGCCGAACAAAATGTGAAAGAACAAGCCAAAAAAGTGCAACAGATTGAAAAGATTTTACGACAAAGAAAGGCCAAAGAAGAAGAAGCTCGAGACGAAGAAATCCGAATCAAAGAGCAAGAAAATAAATTTCAAAATGAGCTCATAAAACTCGAAGCAAAACTCGAAAGAGCAAAGAGAAAACTGCAGGAAACGAACGCCAAAGATCAAACCGCTCTTCAACAAGCTCGAGATCTCGTTGATCAATGCCGAAAGGATATTGAGAGAACTAAAGTGATTCTCCAGCAATGCACAAATGCTCGAGTAGCACAAGAACAAATACATCTCAAAAAGCAAAAGGCAACAAATCAATGTCAGGAAGAACTCAATGCAGCGAAAGAGACTTTAAAAACAGTTGAAGGACAACGAGACAAACAGGTACGCGAGGTAATCGAGTTGAAGAACCAAGTGGGAAACCAGACTGTGGCTGTTAATGCCGCGAAAAGCAACTGGGAACGGTTATCGGCAGATTGCAAAGAAACTACAAAGAAAATCAAAGAGAAAAACAAAACGATCAGCAAAGCTCAGTCTGAAGATGATAAGGAGAATAGAAAAATAAACAGCTTGAAAAGCGAAATTTCTTCGCTGCAGCAATCGCAAGAAACTCTTCAATCGAAAATCGAACAAACAAATCTCGACATCAGCCAATACGAAGAACAACTACGTCAACTGGATCAGCAGTATTCATCGAAACAGAACGATATTAAACAGATGCAAAGCGAACAAACTACTTGTCTTATTGAACTTGAGCCATGTGAGCAGCAACTTCGTCAGCAACAACAAGTGATTCGTGAGACAGATCTTATTTTGCAAAGTGCCGTTCACACTCTAGAAAATATTCGAACCAACAAGAAAAACGCTTTTAAATCAGTGCTGCAATTGGAAAATGATCTGGTTGAACAACAACAATTACTACACCAAACACAAAAACAAAAAATTAAATTCGATGAAAAACATGCACAAATTCAGAGAGAATTAGGAAAACAAAACCAGCAGAAGGAAAAACATCAGAACGAGATTAGCCGTTTGACAGATAGAATGAAACTATGCCAGCGGTCTTTCGATGAGAAACAAATGGAATTGGATGATTTACAATCGAAAATCAAACGAAAGGAATCAGACATATCCAAAGTTCAACAGAAGCGTGACGAACAAGATCAGAAATTGGAAAATAATCGTATCGAATTGAAGCAAATCAATAGTAGAGTAGTGAACATTGATACTCGTACGGAGAAGATCGACGAGAATATTAAACGAAGTCGAACTAACAAAAGCAAAGACGAGGAACTCCTTAAGACGAAGAAGATCTCATTGGAAAATGCAGAACAATCTTTGAAACAAATCTCGGATAATTACGACGGAAAAGTGAATCTTGTCAATGCCATGAACAAAGTGAGAATCAAACAAGAGGCAGAACAACAGAAGTTCGAAGAAAAGCTGAGCAAAATGGAGAGACAGCAAGCCACATTGACAAGAGAATCTAGTATACAACAGCGACAAATTCAACATTGGAGAAATGTTTGTGCAATGCAAGATTCCAATTTTGAAACAGAGAATGCTGGACAACCAGCAGAAATTGAAGAATCGAAGACACATCAAGTGAAACAAATAGACCAATACAACAAACTCAATCAAAATCATATGACTCAATTGCGATATAATTACGCTTAATTACATTTCGATGTGTCTATGAGATATTCCTATGACACACTATAAGGAATTATCCTGTTCTTTTTATCCAGTATAACCTTGAGAATCTCTATATACTATGGTATTTTCCGATAAGATAGCCTATTCGAAGTATCCAATGATCATGTTATTTATGTTAGCAAAGAAATGTTGGTTTTTATTGAAGTTATTCAAATAAACTTATCACATTCTCATATACTTTTGCTTTGTGATACACGAAACCAGACTTGCGGCATTTCTATTACAACTAATCAATGGTTTGTTTCATAGTCTGAAACAATAACATTTCTATCGGTCTTTTCCCTTCCTGTCACTGCTGGTAGTATATAAAACTGCGTGTAATGCCATTAGCGCTTTCACTTCTTCTTTCAAAAGCTGTCAAAGAGCAGAAGAATATCTTTATTTCAGGAGAAGAAGTAATCAAACGAATTATCTTAGTCTATTTGAAACTTGTTGAATTTGCTGTTGAACTGCAGCTATGAACGGATGAGTTACAGATAGAGTTGCCTTGAAAATCTCTGCCGCTTTTTGAAAATTCGTCAACGCTAATTGAAAGTTGTTTTTCCCATTATAAAGAAGACCAAGATTATAATATAGCATAGCTAAATCCGAATGTGTACTCGGTAATGTCTTTTGATAGATTTTCAATGCTTTGTTATAATAATCCAATGCTTGATCGGGGTAATTCATACATAGATAAATTCCGGCAAGACNCGATATATTTATGTTGCGCTGCACCACACCGCTGTTAACCGCGGTTTCTTTTCGACACAGCGACCTTCAACGATATAACCGCAGCCATTATGAAAAAACCGCGACGATCAGCGGTATCTGTTTCAAAATTTTTTCGTGGGCAGTACAGATGGGTAATGGAAAATGATACTTTATCTTTGAATAATTAAACTATTCATGCAGAGATCATTTATTAATTTTATTTAAACTTCGTTTATCTTTGGAATTGCATTTCTCGTTTCGTATAAACAGTTATTTTAGTGATACGTGATGAATAGTGTAAAGCACCTAAACTTGTTTACCTGTGCATTGATGAGATTCCCGGCAGACATTTATTTATTTATTTTGACGAAAATTATATGACAACGTTGTAGTTCATTATAAAATTTTAGTGAAATGCCTTTTTAAATGAACTAACCGCGTCGAAAACTAAAATTTATATTCTTATGCGTGATTTTCATTAATGAAATAAAGAGGACGTTTAATTAATCATTTAAATTTTCACAGGTGTCTGATGAGTGAAAAACGTTTCCTTTTGAGTAAAGTTGTTTTCATTTACACTCAAGAATCTATAGAAAGACTCACATCAATATCTCTCCATCTGTGCTTTGTGACTTTACTTGCCCATCTTAGTAATTCATCGATGATGATATTATTCAAAATGAGACAAGTTTAGAAGTTTCGCATCAACATCATCATTTATCGATGTATTCGATGATTAGTTTTCCTTCTTTTTACTTTGAATGCACTTTTATTATTGTCATCCATTTTGCGTCTTTTTTTGTATGATAAGCGTGCGCATTCAAGTGAATCTTTTATACCTTTTTACATGCTTAAGCAAAATAAAGTACTGTAGGACACTCCGGCGTGTTTTTATTGATGAAATTATGTGATATTTCATCTCTATCTCGAGCGTCTTCTACATCTGTTTTGAGTTATTAACTCTTACCATCATTACATATTCCATATAGACGAAGAGTATGACACTCAGATTGATGTATGTTTTTAAAATTATAGTTTAGCAGAATGATTGCTACTTTGAATAACAACTAAACAGATAAAGCATGTGATGAAATATTTGTACACAAACTGCTACCAGAAGAATATCTCTTAACCGAAAAAATTGTGAATGTCCAGAAATTCTTCTACAATATTCAATACTATCGTCATCTATCAAAGATTTATAAATGAAATTCACGCTTAATCTATATACAGAATATTTCTTATCAACGATGCATATTAACTTCTGGTTAATATAACAAACTACGCATGATATTTTCTATAATAGATCATTGAGAAGTAAGGCGATTGTCCAAATAAATCAGTCATACACATCATTATACATAATGTCGTAGAACACTCGTTACACCTGTACGAGGACTAATCATTCGAACTAGTAATCATGTTGACGACAATTAACAACGTGATTAGATTCAAATCGTGAACACCATTTTTTTCGTTGCGTAAATAATAGAGAGAGGGAGAGAAAGAAATAACTTGAATATATCTAAAATCAGCAAAAATAACAACAAAAAACAAAATAAAATAAGAGAATCTTTACTGGTATATAATGAGTGAAAATCGCTGATATTTTCACATTCGAACCACGATTACATTAACAGTATACGAATCACAGTAAGTATTGGTTTTTATTGTCGTATTAAAAACTGCGAATTACTTGACGATACGGATTTGTTGAGGTTATTCTTCTAGTGTATATGAATATTTTCTACAACGAGCATTTGAATTTAGTAGAATTTAACGATTCCCGAGTGTCCGTATACAGTAAGAATTGCGGGTATAATGATGTCAATGTCAAATAACGTTAGCAGTATTTATGATGGCATTCTAAATGTTTACCTTTGTCCATTATCTTGAGAACATATATTCTATAATACCGTTAATTTACTTCCAACTTTTTAGAAGTCGTCATGGGTGACACCAATGACTATCTTCTTCGTAATCGTGATGGCAAATGGACATCGTATTCATTATGCTTGATCATTTCTTGTGCCCTGTGTGCTCTTGGTGTTATAGCAGTAGTCATTGTACTCGCTCTTCTTCCCATCTATCTCAAGGACAAAGGAGAGGATATCGAAACTACTACAAGTATGTGTCACATTTATCTTCTTGATACACTATTCTCTATAGTCTATTTTCAGGCAAGGCATTGTTTGAAGTGAATTATAACACGCCTATGATCGTTACATCAACCACGGAAGTGACTGACTTGGATTCTTTGAGTAACGAGGTAAGTAGTTGTTACTTGTCTGGACATGATTATTCTGTTTGTCTATAGATGAATACGGCATTGGATGTCAGCGAAATCAAAATTAGTTTTGCTCAATTGATCTCAACATCTAGTGGAAAAAAGAAAAGACGCGAGTAAGTTCAATGCAATTGAATTGTTATTTCATCTAAATCATGTCATTGAAGGACAAAAAAATGTGAAAATAACGAAAAAGCCAATGCCAATGTTTTTGTTATTCAATTCTACACTGACTTTTCAAAAACATGCCGAACTTCAAAATGCCAACAAAATATTATTAACAAAATTACTCTACATGTTCGAACACGTTTAACACAAATTACAATTTCAACATCACTAGCAAATGGTACCAGTGTCACACTTTCATTATCGTTTTGCTCAATGATACGAATCACTGGCGATCCAGGTTTGTATATTTATGCTAGAAAAAAAAGAGTACAGAAAAGAAGTCCATTGATTGTCTATCTATAATCCAGAATCGATCATGGAAAAAATCAACAGAATATAATGCGGTCTTAGTATAGTAGAAGATTTCATCTATTTTCGTATTACATTGTGCTTTGCGAACGCAATGTTAGATAAGGGAGAAATATCCTTAGGTCTGTAATTGCTAAAATAAGAGGGAAGGTTCGGAACCTCCTCTCACATTTTCATAAATGACTAACAGTGTATCTTGACAATGTTCGCATAATCAATTTTGAAGAAAAATAACTAGTAGATACGTAGATCATAAACGCAAATATGAACTTCTTTTTTAGTTGCAACTTGTTATGATAATATCCAAAATCAAAATGAAACTGGTACAGACTGCGGTGGTATATGTGCACCAGAACGACAATGTACAGACGGATCAAGTTGTGCTGTGGCTAATGACTGTACCGGCAATGTTTGCGCATCAAGCATCTGCTTACGTAAATATCTTATTGTTTCAACGACGTAAGACCTCATTCTATTTATTATAGCTGCAAACTGTGGAAATGGTCTAAAGGATCGCAATGAAACAGGAGTAGACTGTGGGGCAGTGTGTGCAGCTGGGAAAAAATGTTCAGTTTATGCCGGTTGTCAAACAGCACTTGACTGCACAAGTGGTGTTTGTGCGTCTGGCGTCTGCTTATGTATGCAACTGTTTCTTCTAGACTATAGATTATTTACTCTTCCATTTTCAGCCGCTACCTGTAATAACAATGTGCAAGATCTAAGTGAAACTGGGGTAGATTGTGGTGGATCTTGTGCACTTGGAAAGAAATGTGTTGATGGTGGACAGTGCAACGTATCTACAGATTGTAGCAGTAATCTATGCGTCTCACAGGTTTGCTTACGTAAGTACATCATGCTTCTTCCGATGAACAATATAGCTTATATAACCTCTTTTGATAGCAACGCAATGCGCTAATGGTGTACAAGATAACGGCGAAACAGGAACAGACTGCGGAGGACCATGTGCAACCGGAAAAAAATGCGCTGACGGAGGACGATGCACTGTAAATGTTGATTGTACCAGCAATGTATGCTCTACACAACTGTGCTTATGTAAGTAGATAATTGTTTCTAAATGAACTTAACAACGGAATGTGCCTGTTCGTAGCACGTCAGTGTGGTAATGGTGTTCAAGACAATGGTGAGACGGGAACAGACTGTGGAGGACCATGTGCAGCCGGAAAGAAATGTGCTGACGCATCGCAGTGTACTGTACCTGCGGATTGTAGCAGTAACGTGTGCGCTACACAAATTTGTTTACGTAAGTGCATCATGTTTTGTAATGAATTTTGTGGCTGAAAGCCATTTTTTCGTAGCGAGTCAGTGTGGTAATGGTGTTCAAGACAATGGTGAGACGGGAACAGACTGTGGAGGACCATGTGCAGCCGGAAAGAAATGTGCTGACGCATCGCAGTGTACTGTACCTGCGGATTGTAGCAGTAACGTGTGCGCTACACAGATTTGCCTGCGTAAGTGCATCATGCTTTGTGATGAATTTTGTGACTGAAAGGTCGTTTTTCGTAGCGAGTCAGTGTGCCAACGGTGTACAAGATAACGGCGAGACGGGAACAGACTGTGGAGGACCATGTGCAGCCGGAAAGAAATGTGCTGATGCATCGCAGTGTACTGTACCTGCGGATTGTAGCAGTAACGTGTGCGCTACACAAATTTGTTTACGTAAGTGCATCATGTTTTGTAATGAATTTTGTGGCTGAAAGGCCGTTTTTCGTAGCGAGTCAGTGTGGCAATGGTGTCAAAGATAACGGTGAGACTGATCAAGACTGTGGAGGACCTTGTGCAGCCGGGCAAAAATGCGCCGATAACAAATTATGTAGTGCTGCTTCAGATTGTACTATAAACGCTTGTAGCTCGGGACGATGTGGTAAGTAATATTTGGCTGTATTCAGATAGAACGAAGTGAACATGTTTCGAAATCGATGTCGCTCAATAATTGTCATGTGAGTGGGCGTTGTTTCGAACGCATATTTTCGGAAAGGAGAATGATAAATGATTGAGTAATAAATCGTTTTGAACATATTGACTCTGCTTCATGTTCGAAATAGAAGACTTGAGATTTAGTGAGAAATGTACCATGACGAATGGTGCATTGAAGGATGTTCGTTATTAGTTCCAAGATAGAGGGAATGCTTTCATTGATCTTGAATATATAGTACGGTCATTCGAACTATAGAGGGGTTTTCCGTTTAATTAGTTAGCTCAAAATAAAATAGACTGACAGTTTTCTTCTGCGGTATATTCAACATCTTCGCTCAATTCAGTCCCATATTTTAGCTCTACTGAGTCCTCCGACTCTCGTCGGTAAAACACCTGGTACCGCACAGTGGGGCGCATCTTCAATAGCCGCTGGTGATTTCAACAATGATGGTAAAATGGATTTTATCGTGAGCGAATATCATAATTATCGTGCTGAATTGTTTACGGGTGATGGTACTGGAGCGATGACATCTCTAAGTACTCTTGATACTGCCAACCATCCAGCATATGGTGCAGCCGGCGATTTTAATGGAGACGGTAATTTAGATTACGTTGCAGTCTCTGATGATTATGGGTACCTGAGGTTATTTCAAGGAAGCGGTACTGGCACTTTTACGCAAACATACAACCAGAATGATGGAAAACGAAAATCGACTGTTATACCCGCCGATTACAACGGGGATGGCAAACTAGATTTTGCTGTGTCGTACTATGCTGACAACATGGTGTATTTGTATATAGCAAATAATGCTAACAGTTTTAATTCCCCTGGAATCTTTGCTGTCGGATCAAATCCGAGAAAAATGGCTTCTGGCAAATTCGATAGCGATAACTATGCAGATCTTGCCGTCATTAATGAAAATGATGGTACAATAAGCATTCTTCTTGGAAAATCTGATGGTACTTTTGGAACGGCGACGACTATCTCAGTTGCAGCATCAATAAATACAATTGCTGTGGCCAAACTTAATGGTGACAACTACCTCGATCTTATTCTAACCGTTCCTAATACTCACTCATTGAGTGTGCTTTTGGGTGACGGCAATGGAAATTTCGGGACACCGAACACATTTCTAGCAGGTGGTAACGGGCCGAGCAAAATAGATGTTGCTGATATGGATTTAGATGGTATACTCGATGCTGTAGTTGCTTTTGACTATTCTGGAACCCAACAAGTGGGTGTACTTCTGGGAAAGGGTGATGGCACTTTTTATCAAGCGACTAGATTTTTTGCACTTACATACGGACCAGCGCATATTACTGCTGTGAAAGTCGATGGAGATAATCGACCGGATGTCATCGTTACTGGTGGTGATAGTTACACTGTATTTTTGAATACAGGACCTTAAACGAAGATTTGGCACTAACTATTTAGACATATATATCTCATATCTTCTTAATTTGTGATTTATTTTAACTTAACTTTATTCTTTTTTTTTCTTTTATTTATCTGTGAAACTGTGTGAGTGTCCAAAAAAGTGTATAACAAATTCAAATTTTCTCCAACCGATCTTTTGTAAGTTTTACTTGTTCTTTACTTAATCCGAAAATAATTGTTCACAGTTGCCCGTGTGTTTAATGAGACTACTTGCTATTGAAATCGGAACGCCAAATAAATTCTTTTTCAAAGACTATTTTATTATGAATTAATTGTGCGTTATTGTTTTACAACGACAAACAAAAATGCTTTTTAAATGCATTGGCTAAGATGTTTATATAGATTTCTGTTAATGAGTCTCAATTGGTTCATGTTTTTACATCCTAACTGCTCTTTTTTTGTTGTTGTCTGACATTTGAAGTGATCACTACTGAATTTTGTTGATAAACCTCCGTTTGATTCGTTACTTTTCGGATCAATGTCATGATAAAATCCCGAAATCTTCTTCTAAAAGCCTTCGAGATAATCAAATGTACATAGAATGTTGTGTTATAATTTAAATATAAAAGTAATGACATGGCGAGAAAATTAATAAACGATTCAATTTGCTTTTGCTCCGCACTTTTACTCGAATTCATCGATGATGTTGCTTGAGAATAGATCGTTACTGCTGGATACATCACTGTGCAAATCATATACACAATTATCTCAGTGAGAGCGAGTTGTACGAATGAAATATCACGTCTATTCAATCGGTTCAATCCTGAAAGCGGTTGAATTTGCAAATGTAGTTGATTCAAATTTCTTCGCAATAATAAACCAAAACACGTCATCGACATAATCGGTATCAAACCAGTGCAGATCGCGACATAATATCCAAAGATTTGACCATAGATTCCATAAACTCCACAACGTCGGTTTTCAATACTTTCGAAAATAAGTAAATGAATCGACAATATACACCAGACAAGAATTAAAATGCCAACTGAACGACGAGCGATCTGTGGTCGACTTAACGCTCGAATGAAAACTCGTCGACTGCAGAAGGCATATCGATCCGCGCAAAAAAGAATGAGAGTGTAACGAAATGACATTGAACATGTGTGAATCATATAACCACGAATTCGACATAAAACTAACGAATTGCTGACAAGATCGAAATGATCTAAAGCATAAACAGTTGGAACGATCGCCCAGTTCGAGCCGATTAACGAAAAACAAGAAATCGCTATGAGATAAATAGCACACGAATGTCCACGTTGTTTCTTCTGGGAATAAATTGCAATGGTGAATAAGTTACCGATGTTACCCAATGTCAGAATTATTGGTAAAGCATACCGAGTAATCATTTGTTGGATAAGAACAAGTGTCGCCATCGTTGACATGATTATGAAGTGCAAAGACAACGCGTTTTATTCTTTTTTTTAAAAGAAAATGATATTTATTGCAAGCTGAATTTGAATATGAACGGCGTCATTTAACTTTGAAATAAAATATAAATGATCCTAAATAATGAAAGAGAAAGCCTCTTAGATAAATTAGGTGTTATTTTGTTTGTTCTTCTGATAAGTCACTTCCTATATTAACAAATGGTACGAGTGCGAACTTTCTTTCTAATGTAATCCTAATGCGTGTTCAACATTCGAAGGAAACGCACTGACAAGATTGTTAATATTTTCAATGGGATGACGTGAGAAGAAAACTATTTGCGTCACTTAGTAGAGAATTAACGGCGAGTTTTTTTAGGAAATATGAAATACTGAAAAGAATCAACGACCCTAAAGTGAACTTTTTATCAAAATATTTCCATGATTACATCATATTGAATGAGCATTAATATTTGTATTCTTTGGCGTTTCACAACTAAGACAAGAATAGTTGATCAAGATCCATCTTGTCAACACAAGACAGGTCATAGAATTATTCATATCAGGGAAACACTCTATAGCATGAGGCTTCTTGCATAATAGACTGAGATCAACAACTTAACCACATATTTTTATCGCTATTTTTTCTCTTAATTTGAACCGATGACGCGAAAAACATTGTTTTTTAATACCATCATGCGTATTTTCGAATAGGACGAAAATTAGAGTCAACTATAGACGTTTGACAACTGTAAATTGAACGGAATTCGAAACATACGCTGTAGACCAAAAGTTGAATCGATTTTGACTTTTTCACCGCTTTTTACGATCTCTTTTGTGGAACTCACATTATTTTTCGAAGAAAAATAGTGAGTGTAAGTTCCATATCCAGGATTTTTGGACCCTCCCCTCACGGGTCGTAAGCCGCTACAGGATCACAGAGTGCAAGGGCGACAGGAGCTATACAGGCTCAGCTCTAGAGGACTACAGGCGCTACAGGAGATGCTGTGCTGTTTGGACCTTACTTTGTATTATTTAAATTATGCGAAAATGGTCCAACGTGCACTTTACTCAGAAAAATCTCGCCTTGTCTCGAATTCTAAATAATTCTCACCGAATATTTCTATATTAAACTAAGGACAGTCAATTGTATATTTGATTCTTCAATTGAATCAACTGCTTATACCTTTTGTAACTACTAGAAATGCTACCACCCTGAGACCGATGATCTTAAAGTGAGCTTACTCCTTAAGTATCCTATTCTAATCCACAATCTCGTTTTCCAAATGCAAGCATGTGATTTCCACATTTTAGCCCCAAGGGGGCTGCGCTGACAAGCTTTTTTTCCGTATAGTTAGGAGCATTTATTTGATTCAAACGTTGTTTTAAGTAGTATGGAAGACATATCTACTGAGGTTGAAGGTGCGAGTGAGCGACTCTGTTTTTCTTATAATAAAAATGATTTTTTCTCTAATGAAGCATAATTTTCAGCTCTTTGTATTTCACACCACCTGGAATGATGTTAAAGTCAAGTAAATACTCTTAATTATGAATAAAACAAATGAGAATAAAAAAACGAAATCGCTTAAATTTTTGCCTCTATACCGTAACACAATAAAAACGACACAACTATCTTTCGACAAAATGTTTCGCCGACGAATTGTGTTTCTACAAGGAACCGTAGACTATGTGTCACCACTCTGCTTTATGATGAAATATGTGAGTATTTTCTTTGAATTCGCAATGTTCAACTTTGGTTATTTTAAATGTCGATGGTTGAATGGAACTTCATGTTGTTTCCTTGTGTTCTATTATTTCTGTAGCTCTTTTTTAATATGAAAGAAAGTCCGTTGGACTTATCAAGATGAGCTTAATTTCCTATGAGGTTCATAAATCGGATTACCCTAGACAGTCGTTTAGGGGTTAACAAATGAATGTTAAGATGAAATTTAACTAATCATGTGAATTGAACACACAACTGACTGTCATACTTTCAAAATGTATTCTCTTCAAATTTCAATTTAGTCTTTTGAACGATGATGCCAAAATATTGTTGGAAATGGTCGTGAATAATTCTCTCCAAATTGACTGGGATCTGTGTACCTTCTCAATTTCCACTTTTTCGCTAAAATACCCAGAATCGATTGATCATGACGATGAGTGATAAATTCGTCATAATTAGCTTTGCCTAAAACATTTGGCTCGTCAGTCAATGCTCGATTATCTTGTGAATACGTCAGCCATTCTGATACAAACAAGAAACTATCGATACTTTTACGAACAATGATGTAAGAAGCGATAGAAGCCATCGAGTGAACATATTCCGGAGTATCCGCATTGAGAAGAATAAAAGCATCTCGTTTTGTATACGCGCATTCCTATACGAGAGGAGAAAGTTGATGTAAATTAACATCTTCTAAAACATACACTATGATTTGTTTGTTTGAATACTAAAATATCTTGTTTTTTCATCAATGTCACAAGAAGATTGATATCTGCAATGAAATGAACAGCTGAATCTGAATAAACAATGATATCTCCTTCACGTGCAACGTATAATTCATGCCAAAGAATATATGCTTTCCAAATCCAAAATCCTGCACCTCGACGATAACTGAGAATCTCTCGATTTCGACGAATGAATATTTTATCTTTATTAAATATATTCATATTTAATCTCACACATTGTTTTATTCCAAAACGAAGACCCGTTGCGCAATTGTCCTCTTGTGATTGAGTACAACATTCATCAGCAAAGTTAATCAACAATGGATAACAACGTTGTTCATTGATTTTCCCATAAATATTCACTTGCTGACAAGAAGATGATGGTTTCAAAGGCACATCGGTCCAAAATATAAATATTAGTATGACTACAAGAATAAATACAAATGTACACGTACGCTCAGACCAATAGAACGTTCGTCTCATGAAGATCGACTTCGTATACATTTCTATCTGAAATATTTCTTACATAATATATGAAATTATCTTTCGAACGATTTCTGCCGATGAAAATTAAATGAATTGGAGCAAAAAATACAATTTCAAAAAAATATGTTGTACTTTTCTCTCACCAAGAATGCGTCAAGTCAGTTTATTTATCTTTCGTTCTGTTGATTCAATTCGTTTTCTTTGAGTAAAATTCGAAAACAATTCACGCTATTTGAATCAAATGTGCGACAGACAAGTACAATCGCTTTTTCAATGTCAACATAAACAGAAAAATAAATCAAACGTATATCAAGTAACATTATTCCTCTTATTTACACGTTCATAACAATAGTTATCCAGATTTTCCAAGGACTAACTGTTTCCCTGGTCCTGTCAAAACAATATTTCACGCATTTGATCCAATATACAAAATGAGGAGAACGTACTGTCCATCCACTCAATGAATTAAGAATATTCGAGTTCAAACTTGACATTTTAGTCGTTTACCTTTCCATGACTATCATACAATGTTGAATTTACATTCATTTCTCTCTTTAGAGAACGTTTATCGTCGAAATACCTATGCACTCTCATGTTAAATATGTTATTATTGTCTTTATCGACTAAACTTCGTTATCACGCCGTTCATTATCTCGATCTTCCTACTATTCGATGTGGTTATTATATATAACCCGATAACAATTGAAATTGACTTCAGATTCAGTAATTGATTTATAATTACTATTAAGTCTAATTCAGACAGAACATCTCGTTTCATAGATCTTTCGTATCATCGTCAATCGATTTCAATGAAGATATTCCTGAGAACAGTACACTCATCCTTCTACTCTCATCAATTAGTGCTCAATCGGCTCTTAAAAACTTACACTTAAACAAAGTTAATGATGTTGTCAAATACAGATCGCTTCTCGCTTAACCTCAATTGAAACATCTGTCAATTGGCCGCTATCCCTATTCACAGTATTGCAATACGCTTCGATGTTACCCAACAATCGAAGATTTCTCAAGTACTTTTAATACTCTGCTGCCAACATTGTGTGTCGATCTGTCCCATACGCAATTAACTTCTCTAGTTCACATTAGCTGTTTTTTTTATCGAATGCAAAACTTAGAAATGATTTTTCATTGGCACTGTGTCTTACTTCTTTGGACAGAAGTGACACAAACCGAGAGATATCTGATCCGATCTTTTGTGGTAGTTTATGTGAAAAGTTCATTCGACAAAAGTTTCGGCATTTAAAAATGTTTCAATTTTTCTTCTCTAATCGTTCAGGAAAATGTTTCTATCCTACTGGTCGAGGCAAACTTAGTCTGAATGCGATCATTCGCTTTCAAGTATCATTGTGACTAATTAAAAAACAAATGGTTTCTTACTTTTGATCTCACCTTGAAAAAATTCGATTACACAGTGGTGATTTATATAACTGTGAATAGCAGATTTCTGGTTCTGGTGGTTTAATTATACTTTCGAAACCGTCGCGTAACCATTCGTGAGACAAATTATACACAAAAGAGTCAGTGAAAAGAAATCTTGGCGTAGATTTGATATTCATACAAGAGATTTTACATTAGAATTACGTGTAATCGATTGTCATAATCTTATATTTGTTACTCTTAGATTCAAATGCTTTGCGTTAGGGTTACAGAACAACACGGTAAGAATCATTTTGTTTTAATTTACAGGAAATCGTTATTGTTTGCATAGATATACACCGAATTATTTAGATTTTCTTTTCAATTATGTGTTGCACTTATAATAATAGTTCAATCAGAAAACTTGGAGCAGAATGTCTTGCTGGTGCACTAAAATCTAACCGAGTAAATCCTTTTCATTTTCCTTTCTCTCTGATATTGTACTTTTTCACTTAGACACTCACAACATTTGAGCTTTGGTAGGATTCTATTAGGGATTAAGGAGTAGTTCATATCTCTGATGGATTATCTTATAATAAAATGCGACTCAAATTTTCTTCTTAATTTCAATATGTTCATCATTGCAGCCACCCACCAGATTGGATCTCGTACATAATTTGATCCAAGACGAAGGAGCAAAACATTTCACCAATGCACTACACGCCATAACACAGTAACCTAAACAGTGTCTCATCGTCGATTAGATGTTCGTCTTTTGCTTGATCTCGGTTCTAATCGATGTATTACTAAATAATGAGGTATTCTTCCTTTCAACTCTCCTGTCATCATCTTCACATTTGTTCTTTCGAACAATCACTTGTCATTCTTTATCTTGATGACAAACTAATCCGTCTGGATACAATAGCTGAGATAAACAAATCAATTTGCAATGACTTTATTTACAAAGCACACAATATCAATCTACACAGTTTCATAGTTTTTGTCAATGAGTGTTTGTATTACCCATTGGGATGCTCGTAGGAAGAACATCATTGTGTCGACGTATAAGATTAAAATTCTTGAAAATTTGTTGAAGAGTAAGCCGAACATCGCGTGATTGAGTTACGTAAATATAAAATTCAATAACATTACTAATAAAGAACCCGATACGACTAATCTGAACAATCAGACTATCGAAAGCGAGCCATTGTGAATTTTTCTGCCAATTGGCTGTCACAGTTGAATAAGTATATTGTAAAGTATAAGGGACAAATGAGATAATTGTAACAAAAATCTGTATCAGAATCATTCGGACAAATTGCCGTTTCAGTCGCCTTCTCTGATGTAGAGCATTCAACGTCATCAGATGTACATAACTATAATATCCAAAGAACGAAAGTGCCAACACTGGCAAGAATAAAGTTAAACACGGAATGAAGAAATATCCATGATAATTTAAGAACGTCGGATCGATTATAGCGCATTGCCAGACGTTTTTAATCAAAAAAATTCTACCTAAAATTGCATAGGGAATGCTAAACAACACCCAAATGAGAATATTAATCAAGATAAGGAAACGTGCTCGATTGAGATTATTCCATTGACGAATTGAGGCATGTCGAGATGTTGACGACCAGATGTCGAAAGCGATTAAACATTTCGAATAGAGGGCGGTTTGTGTGGAAACTATTGAAGCATAACCACGAAATGAACAGAGAAATTGAATGGTAAAGAAGTACGGCCAGACAAAACCATTGACAATCACTTGAACGAGAAGGGCAACACACAAAGTGATCATATCGGAAATCGATTGAATTAAAATATATTGACTTGAAGAAATATTGCGAAATCGTCGATGAGAAAAGATCAGTAAGTTCATCAGTGAACCAAAGAGACCGAAAGTAATGAAACAAATACCGAGAATAATTGTCAACCATTGAGAAATTGAGATGAGAAGCTCGGGTGTGACCATTGTTAGGAGATCAAAAGAATGTTTCACTTTTGTCTGTTATTCTCAACATGTTCTCTGTTTTAAACTATGTCAAAATTAATAACTGAAAAGAAATGCATCCGTGTTCACCTCATTTTCATATTTAGATATGTCATCTTCAGGCAAAAATATTTTATCATAATTATCCAGATTTGTGTGTCAGTAACAACATCAGTAAACTAAAGTATTAAGAAAGACATCATAACAATATCGAGTAACGTGAAAGATGAGATAAAAATCTACCTGAAAGCACACACAAAAGTTCTATACAAAAGCGACATCTAGTGAGATATATGTTATATGTTGCAAAAGGATATAAACTATGGAGTTGAGTTTGGCTGATGTAATTCATCTCTCTTTTCTTGTTTAACAATGACAAACGCAAGTGAAGATTGTATTCGTTTGGTTGGGGACAAAGTCATTTTACGTCCATGGAAATCTGAAGATAAACGATCGTTGATCGAGAATGGAAATAATTATAAAATTGCTATCAATTTACGAAATCAATTTCCTTATCCGTATACAGAGCAAAGTGCAGATGAATGGCTAAATTTTGTCACAAGTTTGACTTGCACCGAAAGGTTATATTTGGCTATTGAGGTCGATGAGAAAGCCGTAGGTGGAATCGCGATTTCATTTGGAAACGATGTTCATGACTGTACGGCGGAACTTGGTTATTGGTTGGGTGAATCCTATTGGAATCGAGGCATTATGACTGAGGCGGTGGTTTTATTAAGAAAGTATGCGTTTGAGAAATTTCCTCGTCTACAACGACTGTATGCGGAGCCATTTAGTACTAATTTGGCATCGACAAAGGTTTTGGAAAAAGCCCAATTTCAATTTGAAGGACGATTGAGAAAATCGGTTATTAATAGAGATGGAATAGTTTTAGACCAACTTTTGTATTCCTTCATTAGAGAGTGATGACTTTTTAATATGGAGAATTATTCTTCATTTAAAAAAAGATGTTTGCTCTTATGCATGTGTAATAAACCTCCAATTCAAACATTTGATTAACTGTGTGCTAACAAGGTGGAGAAAATAAATCCAACAAAGAACTATATCGCATTTCTCTTCTAACTCCGCTGTTGGGCTTGGTTTCGAGTTGCATTTCATATATTCTTTTTGATCGAATAGGAGTAACACGCTTGTAAATATATGATCAGACCAGATAAAGGTCAAGGAGCGTGATATACCTACGTAAATCTGCTATTTATCAGTATTCTTTTTTATACTCATATGAGAGAGAATAATTATACTACAGCACATAGTTTTATTTTATTGACAGAGTTGTAAATATCTCAAGATTCTTGTTATTAACGGATAAAATATGCGAGTGCCACGCATCGTATTCGTTCTTCTTGGCGTATTAACACTCCTTGTCGCCTATTGGTTTTTTTTCCAGTGATTGGACTATTCTTGATCTAACACCAACACGACGAGATTTGACATGTCAACACCATGATTGTTCACAACATGGCACTTGTCTCATCGGTAAATGCTTCTGTCAAGTTGATTACGATGGAATCGATTGTGAACGAATCTCTTACCAACCTAAACGGAAATCATGTATCGACAACAATGATGATACTTGTTTCATTCATCCAATCTATGGAATTGGTCAAGTTCCAGCTAAACGATGGAAAGCCGCTCTCAAAACAGAAAGATCGGTTTGGAGTACACAATCCAATGATCGGTGGAACGATCATTTAGCTGGTTTTGATCATTACAAAACATTACCGAACGATCTCGGTGAAATGATCGAAATGGGTTGTGGACCATTTACTCAAACATTATCAATTCTTCGTCTTCCCAAAAAAAAAGTCAACATCACTAAATTAACACTTTGGGATCCAAATGCTAATGATTACATCAAACGAGTCAAATATTGTTCGTATAAAAACGGTTCATTGATAGGTTTTAGTTCGATTCCAACAACAATTGTTTCGGCACCATCAGAAGATATGAATATTTATCTAAATGCATTTGATACAATTCTCATGATAAATGTTCTCGAACATGTACAAAATGCGTTTCAAATCTTGCAGAATCTTTATAATTCATTGAGACCAAATGGAATTTTAATATTTGGTGAACGATGGTGGGATTATATGTTTAACACAGAAAAGTACGGTGGTGACGTGTTACATCCTATTCACATCAAATATTACGTTTGGAAATGGTTTACTGATCATTTTGAACCGATTTATGATGCAAGAAATCATCAATCATATTCGAAATATGGTCATAATGGAAGTTATTTTATCGGAAGGAAACGAAAGGTAAAATTCGTTTGATCAAAGAAACATCATCCAACTGTTCGAATATTTGACTAACAGGTTTTTTTTCTGAGTGTCAATAACATCTTTTTCTTGACATGTGGAATCTAATTTTTTAGTAGATTGTAAAAATAAAATATTACAATAATAATAGTTTGAGTGCAAATGAATATTTCTCAATGAATAAAATATCTGCATATTAGTTAAATTGAGAGGTGAGGGTATCGATATGCTCTGGCACCTTAATGATAAAAACATATTTGAGAAATGTAACTGTCGGCAAAGTACACCGAACGGCATCCGAAGAATATTTATTTTGCAATCAAATCTTCACTTTCTTTATTCCAGTTCTTTCTGTATTAATAGACAATAGATGATCACATGAATCTGCGACATCTTGATAGAACTCATGTAGATTACCATTATAAAAAGAACCTCTTATATTCCTTATATATAAATGAAAGTTGTGTCCATATTCAAGTAGTTTCAGTTGTTTTGTTCGTGCATTTCGATCAATATCGAGCATAGCTGCATGAACACATCCATCACCAATATATTCCCGTAAGAAGAAATCATCTCGAATTAATTCCTGCAGAAACGTTTGAATTCTTTCTGATTTGTAAAACCATTGTAATCGAATGATAAAAAAGTTATTGTAAATACAACTTTGTCGAGGCTTGTCAATATTTGTAAAACGTTTCTCGATTTCAAACCATGCTTCATTACCTTCACTATATCGTGATATATAAGCATAATCTATGTTTTGTCGTTGCATAAGTTCAAAAAGATCAATTCTAGTTTTACTTAAAAAATACGAATCGCCGTCCATTCTCATCAGATAATCATAATTCATTTGACGAATGGCTGGATGAAAATACACATCGTATGACCAAAATTTACACATTTGGTGGTATCCAATATCTTTCCGTCAAATGAATTTGTCGGGTAATTGAGCGTTCGTCAGAAAATCGATGCGAATAAATGAAACGTAGAAGGTTCTTTTATTATTTTGAATACATGTGACAATGCGTTGACGCATTGTTGAAGTAAAGAATTGATCGTGAAAGATAAGAAATGGATATTGAAATTGATCTTTTGTTGAATGAAGAATCATAACGGAATGAATCATATTGATAGCAAGATCCACCGATTTGTCATTACTACGAATCAGTGTTACAATGACACTGCGAGGATGTTTGTTCCAAGGTACACGTAGCTGATCGTAGTCAGATGAATTGGTGGATATTTCATGTTGAGAGGTATTCAAGGATTCATGATGAATCGCAGTGCTTTCAATTCTTGTGAAATTTTTTCCTGCAATCAAAGTTCTATGTATTAATGGGAAAAAATTGTTCGATTGAAGGTTATAAACAAGGTACAGTAGAGAAATAAAAGATATGATAATTAAGATTAAGCCAACCGGTTTAAACTGTTGAGTTTTTGTATCTTGATTGATTAACGTCATGTTAACTTCGTCATTTCATATTTGATTGTTGATTTATATGGATGCATGCGTTATCAATCCAAAAATACAAATATTCGATACTTTCATTGATAGTCGACGTATTGGAGAAAAGTAATATTGCTTCGTATAAGTGCTTCTCTTGTTTTGTTTTTCGCTCATCGATGTCTCATGTGGCTTTACGGTTGAACGGCTTTTGCACTCTTATAGAGCAACAGTAGAGAAAGAAAAAACACGCCTGTCTTCAATTTTTCAAATGAAATATATGTATGTGTACGAGTCGAATACGTACATATAAAACACCTCTACCAATCTGTCTTTTCTCTCGTGACATAAAAGAACTTTAATTAAATGTTTCACCTTTATTACTGCAAAGAAATATAGGTAAAATGAAATACTCTGTTTTTGTGTTCATCTTCGATTACACGCAGATATTATTGGGAGAGACTTTATTTTTCATAGCTAAATGTGAAGGAAACACAATAAGTAAAATACAACAGAACTGATAAGATTGTCATTGTTCATTTTGTTGCTCTATTTATTAAGAAAATAAGTTTTATTAGAAAAAGTTTCTTCATCGATGATCTTTGACGTGACACAAACGAATTGGAAAAGTATTTTTCAAGGAGATCAATCATCTTGTCTCTGCGTGATGTTCAGTATTAGCTGGAATAATTCGATTTGGTTGACATTTATTAATGTACAAATCATATAAAACGTATTTTGCTTGTCGACGAAATCTTTTCGAAACACACATATAAGTATAAAACGAATTCTAAACAAACGAAAATTTGACTTTTAAGCAAAAAAGATGACAAAATCTTACTCCATTGCTTAGAAAACTAATCGTCAGCGTAATCGCATTAGCTAAACTCAATTTAGCAAGAAGAATTGGGTCACGATTTGTATTTAACGCTGAAACTGTATTTACTATTGAATATGGCGTATAAGTACAAACATAAACACAAATTTCCACAAGAACCATCGTTGTTAATTGTTTATCTAATTCACGTCGAACAAATAGATTTGCTCGTGTTAATAAACTTCGCGCATTTCGATAAGCTAACAAACCAAAAATCACAGCGATCAATGGAAACACATTTCCGTATGTGATGAAAAATCCATAAACATGATATTGAGAAAAGATTGAATTGGATGAAATGCAAACTGATGGATTTGTTGGTGATAACTGATTGAGATAGATAAGATAAAGTGTCGCATGACATAATGAAATTAATGTTATTATTACCATCATTCGACGAGCAATTCGAATATTTGAATATCGTTGCCATGATGGACGAAAACATGTAGCGAAATATTGATCAATGACTGATAAACATAAACATATCAAAGCTGATAAATTACATGTCGCAACAAGAAAAGCTCTTATTTGACAATAGAACAACAAAACCGATGTAAAATTTGTTGAAAAAGTCATTGATATAGCGATGAATGATGTACTACATGTCAGTCGAATAAGATTAAATAATGCCATAAACATTAAATAGAATGAACAAGAATTTTGACGAAATGTTTTCAGACTGAGAAAAATTAATAGACTGAGGAATTCACTAATAATACTAATGAAACAGGTTGGAATCGAAACATATAGAGCAAATTTCGATCGTGCAGAGGCAAGTAAGGCAATATAGTCCATATCCATGTTGAATATTTCACAAGAAGAAGAAGAATGGCAAGATTCTTTCTTTTTCCAGTTCGAATTTTAATGATGATGATTATTTTTTTGTTCGAAGATCCATGAAGAGAAAAGTAATGCATGCATTAGCTTTCTAATTCGTAGCATAAATGTAATGCTTGAGCAAAAATGACATTTCTGTAATGTATATTATTATGAAAGTGTTTTTATAACTGACTACAGAAAGATTAGTAGAAAACGCACGAAATGAATTTTATTGTAAAGTAAACCGTGAAATAGCGATAGTGCATATGAGTTCATGATTTTCTTTGATGATGAACAAGCTCTGTGGGTGTTTGATGTCATGTCAGAAAATTTAAGTAAACCAGATGAATAGAATAACTTATGACGTATTTCCTTATCAGAATACGATTCGGAGGGTGAGAAGAAAGCCGTATGTAAAAAGAAGAGAGTACTGTTCACTTTGTACTTTGATTTATACTGTAGGATCATTTCTCGGTGATCGTTAAAAATAATGATGAGTTTTTTGTTTGAAAGATGAAGGTATTCTCAAGTGAGTTGAAGATAAATTTATCTCTTTCGAATGATATTCTTCAGCTTGTCAACAGTTTTTTCTGAAACTCATTAAAGTGAATGTCAAAGAAGACGAAAATGTTGTTGAATTTTCATGTTGAGTCAACTTCTGATGTTTTTTCAATTTTAATTGCGTTGCTCTGCAATCAACTATTTACTATTTTATGCATCACATCTGTTCCTAAAATATTTCCTTTTCTGTTTTTCCTAAGAAAAAAACATACTATTTTTTGTTCAAACATTTGTTTTTTGATTTATATCACACATTAGAACATTAAAGTATTAATTTCATCTTAATTATCGTCATTGTTTGATAGATACGAAGAAATGCAACATTAATAAAGGGAAGTACACAGTTTGCCTTTGAAATGATCCTAAACACAAAATCTCCATATGGCAAAGCAACGTTTACTACACAAAAGGCGTTTATTTATGAAAATGTGTTAATATACTACTTCTGTTCTTCACGAAGAGAAATTAAATGTTGTTTATTGATAGAAGGAAAAAACAATGTTCTAAGTGGTTTTAATTCTGACGCAATTGCCAGAAGAACGCAGCTTCTTGATGGTGTGTGTGAACCCACCCACCCACCCTCGAAAGGTAACAATGCAACAGAAGCCATGGATGTAAATTTGACTCCACTGTTCTCAATATTATCAATTGATAGTCGCTAACGATGGAATGTTTTATCGAAATCGAATAAATGATTCGGAAGGCTGTCTGTGAAAGTATCCATTCGAATAAGTTAGATATATCGCGTTGATAAACTAATGTTTACACATTTGTTCATGAATCAGTGGCGTTCTCGTGATACATGAAAAATCGTGGTTGATGAACGTCCTTATCAAAAATACTATGTGTGTTGATATTCGAGATAGAATAGTGATTAACTCTGAATCTCCACTTTTGCTTTCTTCGTGCCTAAAATACCTGAAATGAAAGTGGATATTCACAATAATTTTCTTCGATCATCTTCCAACGAGGAGCATCCGTCGGAAAATGGAAAGTATCAAAACGTCAATAGATTGATATAAACCTATCAGAAGCCAACACTGTTTCATTGGATAAGAATAAGTGGATCTGCTTATACGAGTTCTCTAGTTATTATTCCTCATCATCTTCCTCTCCAAGGTATAGATAGAACCGGTCTAAATTTTCCTGCTTTTACCGTAAAGACATGCTGAACGTTGTTATTAGTCCTAGATGTAATCATGTGGAGATCCTCTAATGAAATTTCGTTGGGAGTTTACAAAAACGATACAAAATATTTTGAATAAGATTTATATGAATAATTCAATATTTTCTGTATTTAATTCGTTATGTAACATATCAATAATCAGATTGCTGTATTTCTAATAAAAACTACAAACTAATGTTATCACACAACTGTGCAGCTATTTTAAACTCATGATATGACTTGATAACTAGCGAGAGTTCGCCATGAAGCAAAATTTCATTGTCGGAATCGATTTATCATTATCGTACTGATACTTATTGGTCAATCAGTTTCTTACTGGTTTACCAGTATATCGGTAAACCGACCGGTCCGGTCCGGTTTCATCTATGGCATACACTTCTCCTCTCACTTGCTCAGAAAAAGGAAGCACGCACATGAGTCTACTTACTTTGTTTGAATGCCTTGTAAATAAGTTTTTTCTTGGTGAAGACAACAACTTGATGACAATACTTCCTTTCAATGTTCTTTTTTCATTTTGAAATGTTTTTCCAAGGGTGTGAATACTTCGCTTTGGTTCAAATCAACAAGACACATTTGGATTGCTTGAAGAATGTTTACGAATTTGAGTTTCTATTAGATGATCTGATTCTCTGCGGCTGTGATGAGATCAGTCTTACTAATGAATTTTCCTCATCTCAAAACCTCTTCCTTCGAATCATGATGTTGGAGAAAACGATGTTATTGATGGACAACGCTAGAAAATACGTGTAACAACTTCTCTCAAGACGTTTCATTTCATGATGTTTTACGTTTAATCCAGACGAAATTTTCAAATGTCATCTTGACTTGAAGATGACAAACCTCGAGATGTCGATTATATATTGGAAGACTTTGGACAATTTGATAGACAAGAAGAACAGCAGCAGCAACAATCTCTCTCTATTAATTCCATTCACTCTGTACGTATATCTGCATCCATTCGTTTTCGATCTATGATATTCCAATAGGAATAGGAATATTTCTTCTCTTTTTCATTTGTTTTCTGCGATAAAATCAGGTCAACAAAAGATTATATCTTCATTTTGGACCCCAACGCAGAAACAACAACAACACGGAAGGAAAAACGTTATGTTGCCGATGGTGGAAGATTGTACTTTTCTCTAAGATCTTTGAGCATCTGTTGAGTGACCGTGACACCATCATCCATTAACTTGAAAAGTTCGTCTGTGAATTCAATTTTACGTTTCGCAACCTTTGTTTCATTCTAGAAAAAAATGATAAAATCAAATCGTTTCCTTCATATGTGGTTCGGAAATCACCTCAAGATGCTCTAATCTAATAGTTCCAGCTGCGACCTCGTTTTCCACATTTCTGAACCATTCTCTTAGTTACTATGTCTGTTTCAACGTCTCACTCAAATTGTCATCAACAGATATAGTATGAACATGGTTTTGATCAATAGAACGAAAGAAAAATAGCTATGACAGAAGACTGAGTCACAATCGAATCAAAGAACTTTTCTAGTATTCACAGGAAAATATCCATCATCAATCTCACATTCAGTTCGATGACAAGAATAGCCCCACGCTTCACTCGACGACTTTCTTCTTTCCGAAATCAAATCTCTCATCCTTACATCCATCATCACATTCATACGACACAATCGATTAAGTTTATGTAAACATATGTTCTTACATTGATGTTTTCAGCCATATTGATATTGTCAAAAAATCGGTTGAGTGAGAAGCAAATTTCTACGATATACATGTATGAATGTACGTCCTTGACTATAACACGTTAATAGCAGACGAGAAAATTGCGATACGTCTTTGTCATTCTTTTCTTTGTGTTCAATGTTGAACAACAATCGAGGTCAAAGAAAAGAAAGAAAATATCCAGTCAGCTTCTCTTTGACCAATGCTAACAAACGTTCAACATCTATTGAACTTGATTGTTCGATGTTTCAAAAAGGAAATATCTCTTTAGTCAGGCAACGTCAAAGATCCATGACGAATTCAGAAGGAACTCCGTTTGAACTCAGCAATGTGCTTAATACTAGTGCATTGAGAATGACTGACTTCGGAAAGAACACTTCATTGTTATGCAACAGCAGTCACATTACTTTACTGAACTCGAACTTATATTGACTTTTCGAATGTGTTGAGAGTCTAACGAAGAGAGTAACTGCTCGAAAAATTTCCATTACTCTGAACGATTTTCATATCGAACTGTTTTCGATACTTCATAAGATAACGAAGTGAAAGAATCTTTGGTGAGAAGTAATTTCAACGCTTTGAAACAAATGATGGAAAAGATTGAAAACAAGCGATTTTTTGGCATGATGATAGAAACATTACTCTTGTCCTGTAAGTACTTCTCATCGTTCGATGAACAATACAATCAGATTTGAAATTCAACATACCGGTAAGACCATTTCAGTATGATAATCATCATCATTTTGTTTTTGTCGTAATAAACTTCGAACAGCTTGAATGAAGTCGTTCATGGAAATACGATCGTTCACTACATATTCAGCATTATGAGATTGTTAAAAACAAGAGAAGGGGACTATTTACAATCGCCGTTGGCGTCGTAGATTGCTTCTTCAATTGTTTTTGCGAACATGACGTACATATTTTTTTCATGGTCATGACTAAAAACCGCAATTTCGAGATTCAATCGATGTGATGATGATCGACACATACTACTTTCATCCCAAGTAAGTGTTCGGTTGATATCTTTCGCGATTTTCTGGAATTCCTCTTCAGCGAAACGCACCTTTTGCATATTGGTTGAAAAGTCACCCATTTTGTCCAAATAGAAAACGACTAGAAAATGACTCGAATAGAAGAATCGATCAGTTCGTAATGCAAGAAGGATATTTCACACGACTTAGTTCTACACTGAATGTATCACTATCGAACTTTGACTACACATGAAATGAACTACAAAACGAATACAGATGCAGAAATAGAAGAAAACGAAGATAATTCACATTTCGATTTGCATCGTCATATTGTGATATGTACTGGTTAGAAAGGATAGGATGGCTACGGTAGAATCGTCACTCTATATCGTACGAATGTGTTAAACATTTCGTTTGCCGACTACAATCGATTCATATTATAGATGTGAAATCGAATTTATTTCTTTTTTCTTTCCAGATAAACATGAATAGAACGAAACACTCCTCCACATTCTAGGCCGAATCAAGATTTCAGATGGACCTAATGTTTGTTTTTTCCCTAGTCGCTACTCGAGAACGTCAAGTTGAACGAAAATATATCCAAGTGTTGTTCACTGACTATAGTTGGTACTCTTCTTCAGATTATTTTGTTGATACTATGTGTTTCATGGATGTGTATGTAAGTGCATTTCGGACGATCGAATTGACATCAAGTTTCCGTTGAATAGATTTTCTTTTTTCCACTTCATCACGTCCTTTTTCAGTTTTACGACGAAATTTCATATAATCGACTCGATCAGAAAAGAAGTCGAAGTACTGCGAGATAGATTTCATACATGTTTCGAATTGAAGTCAACGATAGATCATTTAAGTTAGAGAGAGAGAGAGAGAGAGAGAGAGAGAGAGAGATGTTTATCAACATCCCATGAAGTGTGTATGTATATGTGTATTTTCTCACCCAAGTCTATCTTATCCTCAAAAATGAATCTATTATTTAGAAAGGAATGACCAAGAACTCGATCAACTTCTTCACGTGACTTGTTGAGAAATAGAAATGAATTTGTCATCTCGTAGTCTTATTTACTGATATTAATAATAACAGCCTCGAGTGGATCGGACAACATTTCTAATCAAAATAATGAGACTTGTTTCATGAATCGATCGACATCTACTGTTCTATTTCATTCGCAGTTTGCAACAAGACAAAAATATTTCTCGACGCAATCAGAAAATCTCAAGAGAAATACTTGGAGAAGTATATTGTCATAGTTCATGTCATGCAGAATCGATTTAGGAATGTTTTGAGACTAGCATGACAAGCTGTCATTGTTGCTGTTGAATATTGCATCGGAAGCTATCGACGAAGAAAACAAGCAAAATTTCAGTTTGGATTGTCCAAATCAAGTATCGTTCTTGAGCAAACTTTTATCCACTGTTCGAGCAGTTGCATCATGTATAGAACAGAGTTTCATGTTGAAATAAACGATCGACGACAGCTGAAGAAATTTTTCTTTTGATGTAATACATTTCAATGCTACAATGATTGATGCTGCTTCATAGATGATCTCATTTCATTGTCACAACATCAGCATCAAACATTTGAACTATTCATTCTAGAAGCAACAAAAATAACCTGGATTTGCTCTTCATTGTAAAATTGCCAATTGTTCTCTTACTTCTTCACCGTCTTCATTGATCGGATGGACTATAATACACGAAAGAGAAAACAATATGCATATGAACTTCGACGATCAGTTTTCGAAAAGTTTCACTATGAATTATCGAATGACATGTTGATTCGATCAAGCGAATTTGATAGAGAAAACCAAGAGCATAGGATGACACGATGATATTATTCCCTCTTCAGAAAGAAAGGGGTTATACAGTTTTAAAATCCTGGGTTCGAAAAGCTAAAAGTTTATCTGTCCTAGCCAATCAGAATTCAGCATTCACTTAGATAGTAAAAATAGTCGTATGGTCAAACGAAAAGCATTCACCAAAGGGTTTTCGAGGTCGAAGAATTGGAATCTGCCGTTAGCTTTGATTAATTATTAATTATTTATTGACTAGTTACAGTACTTATCCCTAATGACGACACTAAAATGAAATTCTATTTTGTTTTTATCCGTGTTCATCTACGTAGGATCATGTCGAATGTTCGGTACGTCTTCAGCACATCTGAAGCGCATCCTCTTTTCGGCGTACGTGATGCCGTTATTCACTTGGCTACATAGTGTATATCCACTCTTTACAGATAGACAGCGTGACGACTGGGGTCATTTCTACTATTCGACGTTGAAGAGGACTTATGGAATTAACCAATGGTGCAACTCGATATTTGCGTCGAAATTCAGGGAACCACCATTAGAAAATCTCGTTAAATCATACTGGGAAAGATACAGGCGGTTGATAAGACGCTCCGTAGATGAAGGTCTGCTGTTCGAACAAGCTACATTCAGTAGGTTTAGGGAACTATGGTTAGAAAAAGAAATGATCATTAAACACCTTAGAAGGTCCAAAAGAATAGTACCACATGAATCGTGTATTGGAAGGTGTCTAAAGTGGAGCGAGGGCTACATACCGTATGCTGATTCACTAATAGATGAAAAAGATCTAAAGATCCTAGCGGAGTTCCCCGAGTCATTCGGGTAAGACAGTCGAGAAAGATATGAGACTCTACTTCTTCCTATCTCTACATAGCCATCGTCTCTGACATTGGAAAGAAGTCTATAGTGGTTCTAACGCTGCATGCAAGGTTGTTGTTGTTACGGTTGTGGAAAAATGACGAGGTGTCAAACACTCTCTCTCTCTCTTTTCTATACTTCTCTTCTTCGCCTACTTTTATGTCTCTTCCTTCTTGTGCTTACCTTCTTCATACAGTGTGAAAGTTTACATCAGGTGGTATTGTCAGGCCTCTTAGGGCAAAAATCAACTAAATAAACGGCTAAAGAATCATCAATTTCTGTTTCATTCAATAATGATTGATGAACTTCACCTTGAAACATATCTGGATGGCTTATCATAGTTGCTTCGTCCATTGCTTCTTCTCTTCGAAGTATATTTTACTTAATAATTGAGAAAAGCAAACAATACGAAGCACAAAAATACGCTGTGCCACAGATACAAATAATAGGAAAATAATGATTTTCTTGTCGAGGACAATTAATACACATAGTGAATCTTGTGTTGGTAAAGCGCGTGGATGTTATCAGTTAACTGTCGGCTGAATAACTTATTGATCAGCTTTACAGTGTTTTTGCTAAAAAGACGAGTGTTATTTCTTACCAAGTAAAGGTTAACTGGTTTTTCATTCATCGTTTCAAATAAACCCTGTTTTTATCTTTATTTTAATTCGTATCAACATGCGCGAATACGTTCGTTAACTTCATTCTCATATGAACGATAAGAAACGATATCATGGAGTGAGTTACTTGATGGATAGAACTTTTCTAATCATTTTCTAGCAACAAATACCATACTAGACCGAAAAGCGGATTCATAATTTTAACAGGCAATTGAGATCTTTTTTCCGAGAGGGGTTCAGTTGAGTTTGTTAAAAAGGTTTGCAGACGGTCAATAATGTTGCGGAAGACTTGTATGTTGCTCGAGAGCGAGAATTCGATTTTCACCGAAATTCTTTCTCACCCTCATACTCGAGTTGCTCTTCTTCACAGCGTAGATTTTAATACATTGATCAGATTTAATGAGTACTCTATTCTATTCGATGAGTTTTAAAGAACTTTTCCTACAACTCAAACAATATTGCAGATGAACACAATAATCAGTTCTATTTAACAGTCTAATCCGGCAATATTCATATGCTTCATTGGCATGATGTATTGGAATATTTGGGATTATTATTCATGAAAATAAAGTACATATTGGTTTGAAACATTTCTTTTTCGCATAATTATGTCGATATTACTTTCTTTTCAGTGTATTATCACATAGCATACATAATCTGATGTTGATCGACGATTATTTGTACAAGGGGCAACTAATATTGAAGTAGAGAGAAAAGAAAACGACGGTATTTCGAAAGCAATTATGTGGAAAGAGAAAATATAATTTTGAAAGACTTATAAAAGGAACATCTATTCATACAATATTTCAATATTCTCAAGAAACAAATCAACATAAACCTCGATCAAGGTACAGATTTTTTCGTGTTATATTCTGACTGTATTTGATCTGGAATAAAACATTTGAAAATTTAGGATTTGAAATTGACCATGCACTCAACAATTGTTTTTACATTATTCTTGGCCTTATTCATGATCACTTTCATCAACATGGGCAATGCTCGTCAAATACGAATGGATGACGATGATGATGATCTCGGAATCGAAATAGCAGATGCTAAAGCGCGCTCATTTTTGGATTCGGATGAAGATTTTATGAAACGTGCCGATAGTAATTGTCCAATTTGTAGCACGTTAACACGCAGTCGTTGCTGTGCACCGAACTTATGTGTGAAAAAAACATTTCATAATGAATGTATCAAAATCAAAACTGGTAAATAATCCACAACGAAAACAACATTTTCACTATATAAACGAACATTTTTTTCCTCCTTTTAATCATTTATATTACTATACAAGCCTTGTTAATTGACTTCTTTACTTTTTTTAATAGTGTTGAAAATAGAAGTTTATCATTTTTGCATTCAACTCTGATGTGCGACTATTCAGATGAACGTTCAGTAGTTCATGATATTTTGATTAAGTCAAGAACATTTCGACATCATAGATCAGTGAGATCGTGAATAGACCTTTGTTTTTTTCAACGATGAACCGCCTATGTCTAAATAGACTTCAGTATTATTCAACAATGTCAGCTGCATTCGACCAGATGTATAGGTAAGCGAATAACAATAAAGACTTATGATGTCGAATGTGAAGTTTTCTTTATCATTCACTCGTACAATAAGATGCAATGGGTCGAGTTATGTATTCGCATCTTGCAAATCCAAAGTCATAGTCGTAAACGATTGTATTCATTTTCACTTACCCGATTTAGTGTAAAATAAAGTTTCAGCTGTGCTTGTGCAACATCGAAGAATTTCGAAGTGTTATTGTTGATGTTGAAGTAACACTTTTACTCTTGACATAATATTCAGATTCTTTTTTTTTTACGTAAAGCTTTTCTCTTTATCACTATACAATGAGAGTCGTTAGAGATACCTTCTTTTCTTTTATACGTCATATCTAAATATCACAAATTGTATAAAATCCATCAGAGAGAAATCTTTGTTAAATATTCTTTCTAGAAATATGATACCATCATCGGTAAAAGATTCGTTGGCGGATAGATATGACGAAGAAAATTTTGTCGAAGTGTTAGAAGAACCATATCACAAACCATTCATTCGAAATTCACGTGTTAATGTTTTTATCGCCAAATTACCGCGTAATTCTGTCACAATGTATCATCGACATAGACAAAACACGATCTATATGGTCATTGTTGGTTCATGTTGTCAAAGTCAAGTATATGGATCGAATAGCTGTGCACAAGAATATGTGAGTGGTGATTGTTTCTCTGGAGAATATCGAAACAATCCGCTTATACATCGTGTGGAATGTCTGAATGAAAGTCTTACTGATGCTTGGTTTGTTGGCATTGAAGTCTTACAAGAGAAATCTTTTCCTTTGGATAATAATCTTGAATATGATAAATACACTCCTATTGCAAAAGTAAATCTTGTTGGATGTCGAGCGTATCGATTGAAATTAAATGCGAATGAAACGAGTGGAGATCAGTTATTCGAGTTTTCTGGAATTTTCATTTCATTAACAAATGGTCAATTGAAAATCAATTCTAAACATGATTTTCCCTTATCGTCTGGCCATATCGACAGGGGACACGTCGTCTGGTTTGATGGACCCGTTCAATTTCAATTACAAAATGTTTCATCTGAATTATATGAAGCAATTCTTATACTCTTCTCCTAATTTCATAGTTTTGCCTTCATTTACGTCGTCAAACTCATTGTATTTACTAAATAAATTCTGTGCAGAAATTAAACATATACTGGTAAATATTGTTTTATCCTCTAAAGATTCGTTTATACTATCAAATGTTACGAAAATAAAACGAAATTTTTCTTATACACAACACTTGAGAGCTTTTCAAATGTTATCTGTTATCAGTTTTTATTTCCCATGATGCTGTGTCATGAAAAGCAAATAAGGATTGTAAACCATGGAAAGAACTGAAGAGAAAACAGTATGTTTTTTCGTGTTTATATGAGAGGATATCAGCAATAGATAGCTAACTGAGTCTATATAGATCGTAACTGGCGAGATTATTAAATAAGGCGTGTATCATCTGTTAACTCACTCTAAATATTTATGCTATCTAATATGCGCTCTTTTCTTGTTCTTATTTTTGTGTTTGCAGTATTATTTATTCATCAAAAGAATTCGTTTGTCATTGGATCAGGTATGTTCGAGTATAGTCATCCTATTCTGTAATGTTGAACAACAGAGAATAGGATGTATTTTTCAATTCATATACTTTTCTCAAACTAGTTTGAGAATGTGGAATTCTTTCGTAGGATCTTTTGCTCTAAATATAATTATTTTAGGTGAATCAATTGATAACAAACATATAATAACTGATGTACAGGCAATCGTCAACATAGTCGCGGGAACAGCATCACTTCCACAGGTATATGAATATCCAAGGCATTTGTCCAAACTGTCATTCCTCATATTGCAGCTTAATTAATATTTGCGTTTGTATCCATATTGTCCGCACTATGGTCACACAATGAAATTAGATAATATTATTGAGGATCACGATGTAATTGGTGCTGTAGTCACTTTTATACAAAAGGGTAATGTGGCAAATGCTAAATTTCGATTGACACATAAAGCACTAGAAACGCGAAATATAAAACAAGTGATTCAAAAAGTGGATATGGTGAAATCTGATTTGTGAAAATCGATTTATTTAATAACTAAAAATAAAATTAGTTTTCATCTGTTCTTCTTTCACACTAAGATATCGAAGCAAACTCCAGACACGTTTCGACCTTGTTGAAAGGTTTCATCAGTTGGTTTTCGACTATGTTCCATCCACAATAGTAATGAATGTCGCATTGTATAGAAGTTTGATGTTTCTTCTATATTGAACTTGATGATGGAGAAGAAAAGGTTTCAGTGATGTTTTTCGTCGCAAGTTCGAAAAATATTTCTTGTCCATGGAATCCGTTGGATTGAAATCAGTTTACTATACAACATATATGTATATATCACAATCGTGATTTATAGAAGTTTTTCTTTATTGTCTAAAGAATATAATTTGGATTTTCCCACTCAATACTTCTTGTTTCAAATCAAAGTTTATATGTCAAAAAATGCTCGACCAAAGAAATTTCGTCTGTTATACTCGTTGTTAAATATTTTATTTATAAAATAGTGGCTGAAGTCGATGAGACCCTTGTAATGTAAACTGAAATGTAGAGAATGATTATAGGTATAGAAAAATTGAATATATCTCGTAATCATAACAATGGAAATACGTGTTGTTTCTGTTTTTTAATTATCATATCAACTTTTTTCTTGGAACCTTTGTATCGGCAAACTGTGCATAGAAAAACACTACAAGAATTTTTTTCCGAGTAGATGTCGAATGGAAATTAAATGAATGAATGTTATTTTCCTTGATACTCAAGCGTTAAAAGTCCATAAAAATGAGATTTTCGAATTCTTGAATAAAATCTGTTCACTTAAATCTCGCGTTTATAAAATATCGATTACAATTTCCTGACTAAAAAGATTAATGAGAATCAATCATCTCTGCGCAATTCTTGCCATTTTTCTTCGTATTCTTCGTTGGTTACACAAGCATTTTCCCACTGTTCGATTGTCACTTGTTGTGGTGGGTTGATCTTTTTCGTGCTCACCCCATGAACTGATGGTTGATATTCATTCCAAAAGAAACCGTGTTTGCCTCTTTTACACCCACCTTTGCACACACCAGAAAACGTTTCGTTACAGCAGATCCACTTGAACTTATTTTTTTGCCGTTCGTATGTATCCGATGAATCTCGCTTTTGAAAAGCATCGCATTCCAGTACGTTTAACTCTTTTAATGCTTCGCTTGGGGTACATCTCCTCAGCTCATCTGTTGAGATGTCGTAGAGAAATCCGTCGTGAAAATTACAGCTACCTACAATGAACATTGTGATTAGGTTTCAGTGTTTGTATTCAGAAACGTACCCATTCGATTTTCTCTTTCGATGTAGAAATCTTGGCATTTGACACATTTGAGAAGTTTTTCTGCCAAACGTCGTTCCGTTTCAAGTTCTTCTTCTTCACGTTGTGATCGCGGAAATTGAACGTCTGCGACAAATTGACGTAAAAGATACGGCTCACGAATAATAGCAACTGCCCATCGTTGAATACTGTCTCCTTTTTCTCCTTGATTATCTTCCATGACTCGATCACGAAATCGAGCAAGTACATAAGCATATATACCTTGATTGCTGATCGTATAACTCGTCGATGAGCCCATATTTGAATCATTCTCTGATTTGTTGACACCTACTAATGCATCCATATCATAAATAATCATCGAACGAGTATATGAAACATATTCATCATAACGATCTTTCAGCGTTTCATAGATCTTTGTCTGATCGTAGGCGCTCTGTGACGCAAGTAAATTCAGATCGATTAATTGAAGAAGTTGAACATTTTGACTTTTGCCATATGCAGTTAGGCGTTCTAATAAAGTTTGAACGTTTGTTTCATTCGGATATAATTTACGTTCGATGACTGATAAAACGCATTCATTTTCCTTCGCTTTTGGTTCGAACACTTCCATACGTACGTATTGTTCATGCAAATCGACAATCATACGGCCAGTATACTTTTCATCGGTCGACAATGAATGAATAGGACGACGAGAGGTATCTTGCTGATTGCGTTTGAGTAAACGAGGTAAAGTTTCACTGCCAATATAGATTTGATGATATTGAGCTATTTGATCTGCTAATGTCAGAGCATCCATTTCTGAAATGGGCTTAGCGTTATTCATTTTGATACATTTAGTTGTTATTGCTCGACCCAATGCTCTAGAAATATCAGTGTGAGTTTTACAGACAAAAGATGATGAAAGTGTTTACTTGACAGCAGCTCCACTAAAGTTAGTCGTGGCAATAGAAAGTTGATCGAGCAATTCAGGATCGAGAGCCCAGAAAGGAATTCTCCCGAGCATACTAGTGCGTGATTGCGACGATGGTCGACCAACGAAAAATTTACCCGACAGACGGCGTAGAAATGCTTCGTCCATCATATGCAATCGATTGGTTGCACTGAAGATCATCAAGTTCGGCACATCCTTGATACCTTCGATTAACGATAAGAGAACTGAGATCTTATCGACTTTGCCTTCACTGGAATTTTCGCCACGTTTAGGAGCTAAAGAATCGATTTCATCGATGGCAAGTGCACACATCGCATAGGGTATGTGTGAACAACGAGAACATAAGGCAATCAAGATCTCTTCGCTTTGTCCAACGAGTGGTCGATTCAATTCACCAGCAGCTAAGGGTTGACTGACCAGAGTGATGCCTAATTTCTGTGCCAGTCTTTTCAATATGTCTGATTTACCCGTACCTGTTCCATAGAGAAACAAATGACAATTAATTTCATCCTGTTCTCGGAACGAGTAGCTGAGATTTACCTGGTGGTCCATAGAGAATCAGTCCACGTGGTGGTTTTACTAACTGAGTATCGACTGGTCCAGGTTTTTTGTCGAGTTTGGTATTAATCCTGTTTAAGGCCACCTTTGTTTCTTCGATTTGATTCTCCAAATCTTCGACTTTCTCGCTAGCTTTCTTTTCTTTCTCTTTACATTTGCTCAATTGGCTCATCAGTTTATCTTTGATCTGTTTACATCGTTGGTATTCTTCGCAAACGGCTTCAATTTCCTTTTCAGTTCTCTTTCCTTGCTTCAGCTTCTTTTGCAGAAATCGGGTAACCATGTTCTTTTGTTTGTAACTGTCTTCAAGAGAATCTTGTCTTTCTTTTATCGCCAACGATTTTTTCGCTGTTTCATCAATTTGCTCTTCGATTTCATCTGTTTTCGACGATAATTCTTGTTCGATTTGTTGTGCTTCGACCAACTTACGCTCGAGTTCCTTCCCTTTCCTGTGCAAGTTTTGGCGTTTTTCTTCCCAAACGCATTGAATATTTCCGTTCGAAGACCAGTGTCGTCGTAATTCTTCTTCTGAGATTGTCAACGGAAGGAAAAACTCCTTCATTCTCTCAAACAATTTGTCATCGTTGAAAATTTCCGATTCAATCTCTTCAAATGCAAAACTTAAACACTTGATGTCAATTTTAGCCAGATCTTCAATCTCTTTCACAGCTGGATGTTCACGTAGCATATAACGAAAATAAAGTTTGACTAAATGTAGATCAGCATAAAGTTCTGCAACGGACGGAACGCTCTTCTCTGAAAATCAAAAACCAATTTGATATTAAATAAGATATTTGTAAACAAACCTTTCATCAACGAAAATAAGTCATCACGTTCATCATCTGTTCCCTGTCCATCTTGTTTCCGACTTCCATTAACGGAATTCGGATACTCAGATATACTTCTGTCAAGGAATGGGGCACGCCGAGTACTGCTCCGACCGCTGTTATCTTGGGAACGACTATGACGTAGAAATTTATCAACTGGAATCGAGGTTGATCGATCAGAGTTTTTTAATGAAGATGGAGTACTTCCAGTGGAATCTATCTGTTGAATGCGACAGTAGATTGAAACATTGTCGGACAAACACCACCGAGTTGGAAAGGTTGTATTGCTGGTGTGAGGCTTGAGATCCAAATCAAATAGACCACGTAGATGATCGTAAGTCCATTCATCAAAAGCATCTTTCACTTTGATCGGCTCGACAAGACGAAAATTGGTTAGATCCGAAGGACTAGCGGACGCATTTGTGTGCCTTTCAGAGACTTGTTGGCCAATAAAGTGATAAAGTATCGATTGATTATCAAGTAACACTTCCTGATCGGAATTCAAAATGGTTGATGGCTGGTTTGTGCTGAATAGAGAAACTCGAAAATCGTATCTTTTTTGTTGAAACTAAAACTCACCGATTGATTGGTTTCAATAGAAATGATTGAATAAAGCCCGAAACTTCAGAGAAAGCCTTCTTGATGGTGAGTACACAATCAATTTCGGTGAGTGTTGTAATCATTCCACGAATGGTCGATGAAGAAAAGCCTGAAAGGAGATACTGAAATAATCAAACAATATCGCTTCCAAAGATTACCACTTGCAATCGGTTTGACCGATGTAGTGGGGTCCGATTTTCTTGGAGTGATTGGTTTCATTTGAGAGAGTTTATGTTCGACAAGAGTTCGACATTGGCTTTCGTCATCTGATACAACACATTGACGTAACAATGCCATGCCTTGATCATCATCATCATCTAGCTTGATTTTCAGTTGATTTGCCATCTTTTGCAAAACTTCTTGTTCATCTTCTACCGAATCGAAATCTCCACCACATTTTTCCGTATACCAGTGATGAATTTTGTGAAAATTTTCTTCATTGAAGCCTGTCTTGGATTGCAAATAATCAAAAGCCGATACCCATGAATGATCTGTCATTGCTAGATAGACCAATGGATTATACAGTTTATTGTATTTTTAACGTACGGATCTTAGTTTCTAACAAAGTAAAACAAAACGAATCGTTTTTGAGTGTCAAATAGCGGACAAAAGGTTCTAATAACTGTGACGTTGGCTTATTCGATCTCATATAAGTGGGGAAAAGGCAAGTTTCATGGAAATTGTACCCACAATTTCCACTATCGCAGCAGATATTATAAATCACTGAGACTAAAAGAATGATGTTGAAGGAAGCAAGAAAAAAGTCTCCTAACGGTAAATATTGTCCCTTTCTCAACGCCGATCAGCAGCATGAATGAGACGAGAGAAAAACATAATCTTATATACTGATGGCACAGGAAGAATCCAGTTAAAAAAGGTAATGAAAGAGAATAATAAAAAATGTCAATCCTTCTTGCAGCACATTCTTTCCAACACAAGAAACAGGGTGATTTCATTTTTTTTGTTTTTGGATCTGTTTTTGTCGGATATCATAAGAGAACAGCAATAGGCAAGCGAAATTCATGATAAAAAACCCAGTATGCCTTTTTCTCATCGTTGCGAAAGGAAGAATTTTCCAGTGACGTCATTAAGCACAGTTTGGGTATAAAAACAGAATTCTTTGGCTTATAAGGAAAGATTTGTCACAATGATAGACGAGGTAGAAAATGGCAACACGATGCCTTACATGATGAAAGATATCGACGAAGAATTTTTAGAACAAAACACAACTCAGCAGACGAATAAGATAAAACTTCAAAAGGCAGAAGCTGCTAAATTACTCATGTCGAAAGAAGTTGAAGACTTTAAACGTAAGATCGAAGAACAGTCGGGGAAAATAGATCGATTGAAAGATGAATTAGAAGGAACAAACGCGAACATAGAAAAGATCAACGACGAAGTTCAAAATTTACATAATGACAAGATCAAGTGGCAAAAGAAATGTCAGAACTATGAATCGGAATCCAATCGTTTAGAAAAAGAAATACAACGCAATGAAGATCAAATCGAAAGTTTGCAAGAAGAAAAATCTCGACTCCTTAGTGAGAAGACTCGTCTACTCGAACAAGTCAAAGAACTCGAATACGAACAACAGCAGATTGCAAACAAACAAAAGCAATTTGCCGAGCAGGGTGAACGATTGAATGAACAATTGGAAGAATTGAAAAAAGACTCGGAACAGCTGAACAAAGAAGTTCGACAAATCGAACGAAAAATTGGCCAATGTCAAAGTGATTTAGCAGAAATTGAGAGACAACTTGCTGTTGTGGAAGAACGACAACGCGAACTCGAACGACAATTGAACGAAACTGAATTGAATCGTGATCGTCTTGAATTAGAAATGAAAAAAGTCGCCAGTTGCATTCAACATATCGAACAAGCCATCGATATGAAGAAAAATCGAATCAATGAATACAATCAATACAAAGAACAACTACAAGCAGAAGAAAATCAAGCTCAACTAGAATTCGAACGTGTTCAACAAACAAAAAGCGACATACAAAGCAAAATCAAAGAATTAGAAGCGAAAGCTCAACTGAGTCGAACAGAGTTGAACAGGTTAAAAGCGTTAATTGTTAAAGAGGAACAATTATCTAAAGAATTATTGGAAAGAAAACAAAGAACTGAGTAAGTTCAATGAGGAGAGATCAAATCAATTCAACCATTCTCTTTTCCAGACGTGACATACAAGCGAAAAACCAAGAGAGGATCACATTGAATGATGAAAAACAGAAGCTTTCTCAGAAGTTCACTCTTAAAAACGATGAACTCAGAAGAGCTGAAGAAAACCACGCAGCACTCGAAGAACGTTTAAAGACTCTGCAAACTGAATTAAACGCTTTGAAAACGGATTTGGACAAGCAAATGAAAGAACGAAATCAGTTTCAAATAGAATTAGGACAAGAAATCCAAAAGAAACAGCAACTTAGTTTCGAGTTGCACAGTAAGCAACAGCAATGTCGTACAGCCGAACAAGATGTCAAAGAACAAACGAAAAAAGTGCAACAAATTGAAAAGAGTTTGCGACAAAGTGAGGCCAAAGAAGAAGAAGCTCGAGACCAAGAAACCCGAATCAAACAGCAAGAAAATCGACTTATAAATCAACTTATAGGACTCCAAGCAAAACTCGATAGTGCGAAGAGAAAACTGCAGGAAACGAACGCCAAAGATCAAACCGCTCTTCAACAAGCTCGAGATCTCGTTGATCAATGCCAAAATGATGTTGAGAGAACTAAAGTGATTCTCCAGCAATGCACAAATGCTCGAGTAGCACAAGAACAGATACATTTCAAAAAGCAAAAGGCAACAAATCAATATCAGGAAGAACTCAATGCAGCGAAAGAGACTTTAAAAACAGCTGAAGAACAACGAGACAAACAGGTACGCGAGGTAATCGAGTTGAAGACCCAAGTGGGAAACCAGACTGTAGCTATTAATGCCGCAAAAAGCAACTGGGAACGGTTATCGACAGATTGCAAAGAAACTACAAAGAAAATCAAGGAGAAGAACAAAGCGATCAGCAAAGTTCAGTCCGAAGATGATAAGGAGAACAGAAAAATAAACAGTTTGAAAAGAGAAATCTCTTCGCTGCAGCAATCGCAAGAAGCTCTTCAATCGAAAATCGAACAAACAAATCTCGACATCAGCCAATACGAAGAACAACTACGTCAACTGGATCAACAGTATTCATCGAAACAGAACGATATTAAACAGATGCAAAGCGAACAAACTGCTTGTCTTGTTGAACTTGAGCCATGTGAGCAACAACTTCGACAACAACAACAACTGATTCATGAGACAGATCTTTTTTTGCAAAGTGCCGTTCACACTTTAGAAAATATTCAAACCAACAAGAAAAACGCTTTTAAATCAGCGCTGCAATTGGAAAACGATCTGATTGAACAACAACAATTACTACACCAAGCACAAAAACAAAAAGTCAAATTCGATGAAAAACATGCACAAAATCAGATAGAATTAGGAAAACAAAACCAGCAGAAGGAAAAACATCAGAACGAGATTAGCCGTTTGACAGATAGAATGAAACTATGCCAACGGTCTTTCGATGAGAAACAAATGGAATTGGATGATTTACAATCGAAAATCAAACGAAAAGAATCAGACATATCCAAAGTTCAACAAAAGCGTGACGAACAAGATCAGAAATTGGAAAATAATCGTATCGAATTGAAACAAATCAATAGTAAAGTAGTGAACATTGATACTCATATGGAGAAGATCGACGAGAATATTAAACGAAGTCGAACTAACAAAAGCAAAGACGAGGAACTCCTTAAGATGAAGAAGACTTCATTGGAAAATGCAGAACAATCGTTGAAACAAATCTTGGATAACTACGACGGTAAAGTGAATCTTGTCAATGCTATGAACAAAGTGAGAATCAAAAGAGAGACAGAACAACAGAAGGTCGAAGAAAAGCTAAGCGAGATGAAGAGAAAGCAAGCCGTATTGACAAGAGCATCTAGTATACAACAGCGACAAATTCAACATTGGAGAAATGTTTGTGCAACGCAAGATCCCAATTTTGAAACAGAGAATGTTGGACAACCAGCAGAAGTTGAAGCATCGAAGATACATCAAATGAAACAAACAGACGAATACAACAAACTCAATCAAAATCATATGACTCAACTGCGATATAATTACGCTTAGCCGCATTTTGATATATCTTTCAGCTGTAGATTTATCTATGTCTATGAGATATTCCTATGACACACTATAAGGAATTATCCTGTTCTTTTTACCCAGTATAACCGTGAGAATCTCTATGTACTTTGGCATTTTCCGATGAGATAGCCTATTCGAAGTATTTAATGATCATGTTGTTTATGTTAGCAAAGAAATTTTGGTTTTTATCGTAGTTATTCAAATAAACTTATCACATTTTCAGATGTTTTTGTATCATGATACACAAAAACAGATTTGAGTTATTGCTATTACAAATAATCAACGGTTTGTTTCATAGTCTGAAACAATGACGTTTTTATCGGTCTTTTCCCTTCCTGTCACTGCTGTTAGTATATAAAACTGCGTGTAATGCCATTAGCGCTCTCACTTCTTCTTTCAAAAGTTGTCAAAGAGCAGAAGAATATCTTTATTTCAGGAGAAGAAGTAATCAAACTAATTATCTTAGTCTATTTGAAATTTGTTGAATTTGCTGTTGGACTGCAGCTATAAACGGATGAGTTGCAGATAGAGTTGCCTTGAAAATCTCTGCCGCTTTTTGAAAATTCGTCAACGCTAATTGAAAGTTGTTTTTCCCATTATAAAGAAGACCAAGATTATAATATAGCATAGCTAAATCCGAATGTGTACTCGGTAATGTCTTTTGATAGATTTTCAATGCTTTGTTATAATAATCCAATGCTTGATCGGGGTAATTCATACATAGATAAATTCCGGCAAGACAGTGAAGACTTGCTCCTAGATCTGGATGAACATTCGGAAGATGTTTTTGTCGGATGAGAAAAGATTTTTGATGATATTCAAACGCCTGTTGGAATTTCCGTTCTTCTTGATAAATATTTCCAATATTATGATAACACATAGCAACGAGTAAATGATCTTCGCCGAAAGCTTTTTTACGGATGTTTAACGCCTTTGTAAACGATTCCAATGCACTACTCTTATCTCCTGTTCGTAATTGCACTTCCCCGATGCTGTTATAAGTGCGCGCAATGATTGGATCATCCGATTTCAACGTTTGGGTATACATTTGAAGAGCTTTGTTCAACCATTGCAAACTTTCCGTATAATTTCCACGGTGATTTTCCATCATACCTAGATTATGATAACAAGAAGGTAAATCTTCATGATCATTCGGTAATTCCTTGAGTAAACCATAAAGTGGCAAATTTAAAATTGGTACCATTTTTCAAAGAAATATGGCAAAATTTCTGAAAATTTAAATTTTGAAAACTGAAACTTTCAAAATTTTAAAAATTTTCGCATTTTGAAATTCGAGAACTCCGTACGGTTTCTGTGGACTAAATATGAGCAAAATAATATGCTTAAATTTAAGAATCAAGACTTAAAAATATATTGTTTGATCCAAGTCAGATAATCAGAAATCAGAAATCTACTCTTCAATCAAAATTTAAAATATTCTTCGGTAATATCAGTTAATATTTTCACCATCATGTTGCGACTAATTTCAATTATTCTTAGAAAAGTAGAAATCAGAAATCTACTCTTTGATGTAAATGTTTCAAAATGTTCTATGATATATAGACTACTGTTTCATTCTGAGAGAACTAGAAATCAGAAATCTACTTTCTAATCAAAATTCTAAATATTCTTCGGTAATATCAGTTAATATTTTATCGTCATGTTGAGGCTAGTTTCAATTATCCTTAGAAAAGCAGAAATCAGAAATCTACCTTTAAATGTAAAATTTGGAAGATTTTTCTATATAATCTGTGGAAATTTTATAATTTATACAATAAACTGAGTGAATAGCAGAAAAGTAGAGGTCAGAAAAGAGGAGGATTAGTCTGCAAGTCAAATGGTAAGTAAATGAAAACAAAATAGTGAAGTCATTCATATATGACGTGTTATTTCTTCTTTTTCCTTATCGCAGTGTTTAGAGCGAAGATCGCCCAATTTCTCGGACGTTCGAAAATATAGTTATATTGGCAGATTTCTTTGGTTCTATTTATGGCACATGTCATGGACAATATCACAAGTATGTTTAACGAAAATAAAGATGAGAAGGAAATAATATTTTGTTGCTGTTGCAGTATTTCATTTATTTTATTTTTTTGTGATCACAATAGCAAACTGGACGAATAACGTTATCGCGTTATTCTTCATGTAGATGATGTTCAGTATATTATATTACATTCCAGTTGTATCTTATATTATACAGAACAGTGTCTTTTATAGATGATACAACGAAGAAGAAAGATTGAAAGAAAGAGGTGAAAGAGGAGCAGATACACTGATAAAATCTTCTACAGTATACTTGTTGGCACAGTATGGTTGAGATCTAAGTCATCTACATAAGTACTCTTAATTCGGCCTAAAGAGAGTTAATTTGGATTTACAAAACGACACTTCTGGTGTAAAAAAATACAATATGCTCTGTCGGCGACGACATATTGGTTTTATATACACCTAAAATTCAAACATTAGAAGGTTCGATTCCTCACCACGATAAAGAGGTGTCATTAGCAGAATAATGCACGATATCAGAAGATCAGGTAATCAATTACTTTATTATATGTTTATGACGCTTTTGGCAATTTTTTTCTTTTCTCCATTCCTGATTCTTGCCTTCTATCTCTTTTTCTTGGTTTGTTACTGTTATCCGAATCGTTGATTCTTCGCTCGTGTTTTAGGTTTTGTAAACCAACGTGCTATCCAGAGCTACTGGTCGTCGGCTAGAAGTATAATAAAAACGAATACAATACGCTCTGGATTAAGTATTTAACATATTACGGAAAATACGAAATGATGCACATGTCACATTTCACCAACATATTGTACAATAATTGTATTGAGTATCAGAAATCTGACAATGGGTAGGACAGAACGTTTATAATTTTTTATCAGATACGACTCGCGAGATGATTATAATCCTCCCGCTTACATGCGCTGCACACATACTGTTTGTCCTTTCGATTGTCTTATCCAACGGATTATTCGCATTGTGTCCTTGCTTTGGTGCATTTTTATGTTATTTGACATGATCTTTTCTTGCGTTCTCTCTTATGAACGAGTATTTAAATAGATGTCTTGTATCAGAACGATGCAATTCAAAAGGAAGAAATAAACGAAGGTATAATTTTATCTGCGCATACAGCTCTTCCGTATAAAATTATATGTCACAATAATGTGGACAACAATGTCTATAAGAAAGACTTGAATGAGTGCTCATATTATGTAGTTTGCAGCGATTTATTAAATGGTAGTCCTTTTTCTCAGTTTCTTCTTTAGATTGTATGACTGAAAGCTTGCAGATGTATTCCGAAGAGTTGCAAGAAAATGCACTATTTTGTGTGAAAATCAATGTGCCATTAAAAGCTGACTTATAGGGAAACATAACAACGGTTAGCCGTGAGTGGCCGACCGGAGGGAGGCCGACGAACGACTAGACGTTCACATGTAAGGTTGCGTAGAAGAAAAGAGGTTCTAAAATGAAACTGAAGTAAATTAAGTCCTCCTATTTATAAAAAGTAAATTACTATTGCTTCAATAGTAACACCAGTGGTATATCACGCTATTAATGTTAAAGAAAAATGTCAAATCGTAAGGCAGTATAGAAAATCCTATGCAAGTATTGGATATTTAGGGCTGCCTATTAGTTATGATATACGTCTTAGTTTTTGCTCGAATTACGTTTCTCTTTTGATTTTATCGTAAGGACAACAAATAAGAGTTGCACTATTTTGACAAACTGGCAAGGAATTCCATCTTTCAACTAAAACTATTTTCTATTAACCGTCGAGAGTAAATACTCTAAGGAGTCGATGGTATATTAATTCTAGTACAATGCTGTGTACTCACAGCAGGATTTAGCAGAAATTTTTACATCCTTACGTGCTTCTAAAAGTTTTAGGAACGTATCACACTTTTTAATGGTTTGGTACTGATTTTCGCAGCGCTTCTGTAGGAAAATGCCATCTTAGATGTATTCTGAAACCAAAAAGTAATAAATAATGTTTTTTCCATGAACATTGAGTCAAAGCGACAGACATTCTATGGAATTAATATGTATTTTCCGAAAAACAATAGTGATAGTGACTTATTACTCGAGAGTTTAGCGTCCACTTCACACTCTTCATTGCAGCATTAGAGACGCCCCGGCTGTTATAGATATCTCTCCCTCGCATGCAGTTTCAAGCGTCAACGTCAGTATATATTTTACAGTTACGTTTAAGACATTATTGCGAAAGTGTCCGTATATATTTACTACTTAAATATGCAAGTAGTATTGAGAAATCTTTTATATCGCATGAAGATAATATTACAAAAAGTTAAGTGCAATAGAGTATCAAATGATTATCGTGTTGTTGATAATTCTACATGAATATTTATTTCAACTATGACTGCCACATTTTACTAATGAGACACTCCGCTCACAAGTCTTCTCATGCTGTATACTATCAGACGTATGGATATCCTGAAAAACTATACGCATAATCGCTAAAAAATGTAAGTTTCCTCATTAACTTTTTTGCAATTAACAAACTTATGACATTACATATAATTACAAACCGCTTCTTTCATCCAGGCTATTCTGATTTTTTTCTTTTCGAATAATAGTGACGATATCCCTTAGATCAGCCTTTTTGTTATGTAGAGGAGAGTATAAATTGAAATAAAGAAGTTGCTAATGTATTACACTTCCAGGTATCATGGAAGTTATCCGGTTCCCGCTGGACATACTGCGATACGGAAAAAAATGACACATCATATGTGAATGACTTCACTATTTTGTTTTCATTTACTTACCATTTGACTTGCAGACTAATCCTCCTCTTTTCTGACCTCTACTTTTCTGCCATTCACTCAGTTTATTGTATAAATTAGAAGATTTCCACGGATTATATAGAAAAATCTTCCAAATTTTACATTTAAAGGTAGATTTCTGATTTCTGCTTTTCTAAGGATAATTGAAATTAGTCTCAACAAGATGATGAAAATATTCACTGATATTACAGAAGAATACTTAAAGTTTTGATTGGAAAGTAGATTTCTGATTTCTAGTTCTCTCAGAATGAAACAGTAGTCTATATATCATAGAACATTTTGAAACAATTACATTGAAGAGTAGATTTCTGATTTCTAGTTCTCTCAGAATAATGCAGAGTAGTTTACATATCATAGAACATTTTAAAACATTTACATAGAAAAGTAGATTTCTGATTTCTGCTTTTCTATGGATAATTGAAGTTAGTCTCAACAAGATGATGAAAATATTAACTGATATTACAGAAGAATATTTAGAATTTTGATTAGAAAGTAGATTTCTGATTTCTAGTTCTCTCAGAATGAAACAGAGTAGTCTACATATAGAAAGTTTTGAAACATTTACATCAAAGAGTAGATTTCTGATTTCTACTTTTCTAAGAATGAAACAGTAGTCTATATATCATAGAATATTTTGAAACTTTTACATCGAAGAGTAGATTTCTGATTTCTAGTTCTCTAAGGATAACTGAAACTGGTCCTAATATGTTGATGAAAATATTAACGTATATTACCGAAGAATACCTAACATTTTGATTGGAAAGTAGATTTCTGATTTCTAATTCTTTGAGAATAACGCAGAGTATATTCTATATATTATAGAACATTTTGAAACTTTTACATCGAAGAGTAGATTTCTGATTTCTAGTCCTCTGAGAATAACACAGAGTAGTCTGTATATGACAGAAGATCTTGAAAAATTTACATCGAAGAACAGATTTCTGATTTCTGGCTTTCTTAGAATAATGCAGAGTAGTCTATATATCAAAGATGATTTTGAAACTGTTACATTGAAAAGTGGATTTCTGATTTCTTCTTTTCCGTTTATTTCCACACAATACTGCTGAAAAATCAGAAATCAGAAATCAGAAACCAGAAATTCACTCAAAACTGGTTCCACTCCAAATTTTGCCACGTCCTCGAGTAAACGACGATAATACTGTTCAGCTTTCTCATATTGACCCATTTTGAAAAGAAGAACACCAAATGAGAAAAGACTTGAGCCCTGTTCGCCTTCTCCGTATTCATTTCTAATATAATCATAAACTGCTTTCGTGTCATTATCTTCATCACTGCATAAACTCAATTGGGCAGCCCAAACTCGATCTTTGTATTCGAGATTGACCAATCGGAAGATCGATCCTAACATAACTAAAACTTCTTGTTCGTCGGTGAAGAAACTATGCGATGTGATATTAGCGAATGGTTTGATTCCTGCTAAACTCGGATCTAGATCGATTTCGAAAAGAATACGCTGGACATCGGCTGATGCTGTTGAACTGTAAAGAAACGAAAGTGCCGATCGACGATCAACGCTGGTTGAGAGAAAGGAATTCATCGAAATGAACTGTCCGATGGATGTTTTCAATGTTTCTAATTCATCATTGGAGATGACTTGACCTCGATAAACGCGAAGTTTCGTGGATGATTGCAATAGTTTCAATTGATTTTCTAAATCACGAATGAAAAAACGGAATAAAAACAAGAAATCAATGTCTTGCGTTCGCAGTGCTTTGTTTAACAGTCGATAAAGAAATGATTCTCTAGTATACCACCATAATGCCCGATCAGCAACATAATCCCGTTGAAATTCATTAACAATGGCCAATTCTGTTGGATTGTCTTTGTAATATTTTTGACATAAATCAATCAATTGATCTTTATCCGTTAATTTCGGAATCATATTCAAAAGGCAATCGATTAACAAATGACAATGAATAAACTGCCCATTCAACGATGAGGTTGATTGTTCCTGATTGCCTGTTGATGCATTGAAAACATTGAGCGAGAGATTTCCATTGATTCTATCGCAATGATTGGCAATGATCTGCTCTACTAAAAGTTTCAATTCTTTATTCACACCTTTAACCTAAATAGAATTTCATCGAAACGATGATTGTGTAGAGANCCTGTTCGTAATTGCACTTCCCCGATGCTGTTATAAGTGCGCGCAATGATTGGATCATCCGATTTCAACGTTTGGGTATACATTTGAAGAGCTTTGTTCAACCATTGCAAACTTTCCGTATAATTTCCACGATGATTTTCCATCATACCCAAATTATGATAACAAGAAGGTAAATCTTCATGATCATTCGGTAATTCATTGAGTAAACGATGATAATACTGTTCAGCTTTCTCATATTGACCCATTTTGAAAAGAAGAACACCAAATGAGAAAAGACTTGAGCCCTGTTCGCCTTCTCCGTATTCATTTCTAATATAATCATAAACTGCTTTTGTGTCATTATCTTCATCACTGCATAAACTCAATTGGGCAACCCAAGCTCGATCTTTGTATTCGAGATTGACCAAGCGGAAGATCGATCCTAACATAACTAAAACTTCTTGTTCATCGGTGAAGAAACTATGCGATGTGATATTGGCAAATGGTTTGATTCCTGCTAAACTCGGATCAAGATCGATTTCGAAAAGAATACGCTGGAGATCGGCTGATGCTGTTGAACTGTAAAGAAACGAAACTGCCGATCGACGATCAACGCTGGTTGAGAGAAAGGAATTCATGGAAATAAACTGTCCAATGGATGTTTTCAATGCTTCCAATTCATCATTGGAGATAACTTGACCCCGGTAAACGCGAAGTTTCGTGGGTGATTGTAGTTGTTTCAATTGATTTTCGAGATCACGAATGAAAAAACGGAATAAAAACAAGAAATCGATGTCTTGCGTTCGTAGTGCTTTGTTTAACAGTCGATAAAGAAACGATTCTCTAGTATACCACCATAATGCCCGATCAGCAACATAATTCCGTTGAAATTCATTAACAATGGCCAATTCCGTTGGATTGTCTTTGTAATATTTTCGACATAAATCAATTAATTGATCTTTATCCGTTGATTTCGGAATCATATTCAAAAGGCAATCGATTAACAAATGACAATGAATAAACTGTCCATTCAACGATGAGGTTGATTGTTCCTGATTGCGTGTTGATGCATTGAAAACATTGAGAGAGAGATTTCCATTGATTCTATCGCAATGATTGGCAATGATCTGCTCTACTAAAAGTTTCAATTCTTTATTCACACCTTTAACCTAAATAGAATTTCATCGAAACGATGATTGTGTAGAGATTGACCTACTTTATTGAATTCTGCCATACAGTCAGTAATTTCCGAATCGTAAATATAAATTGCAAAGATTTGTGGTAATAAATGGATTCGGGAGATGATTTCATGACTGCATTTGCCATTGACAACGAACACAATTTGATCTTCTTTTGAAACAGATTGAATATAAGATTCAGTTTGATCGATACCGTCGAACTTTTTCAGGTGACTGATCACCGTACGAAGTCGTTTTTCCTCGTCTGGATGCTTCGATGCGGTTTCGTCGAGCCAAACTAAAGAGAAATTCTCAAGATTCTTCTCACCAAGTTTATCGGTGGTTGTTGCTGCTGACATTTTTCAATGTTTTCTTCCAAATGATTCTGATGTCGCAATAACCACATTTTTTTTTGCGCGACATTATTTCAGTTTCTAAGCGACGTTGTTCAGAACGAAGAAGAAGATTCTACTTTGTTTACGCAGAACGCCAGTCTCGTGACGATTACTCGTATTCGAGTCACTCTACTAACAAAAAATCCGAATTGGAAACATTTCAATTTTTATCAGAACGAAAGAATGTGAACACTATCATTTTAGTGAAAAATTGGACTTCGTGAATTTTATCCGCATTAGTCATCCGAATTTAGTCGTTGTATGCAATTAATTTCATACACGTTATCGTGTGCCTCCTCTTTTTCTCTCGACAGTGTTGGTAAGAAATGAAAACAGATGAAGCATAAAAAAATCGTTTCTTATTAGAAAAAATATCGAGTTTCTCGTTAATGTGCAAGCCGAATATTTTTTAACAAGTCGAATCAATGGTAGAAAGTAGAAACATTAAATATATATCATCAGTCGATCACATTCGGGCTTATGCAGCTATATTAATTGTGCTTTATCATGGAATTGAATTAATTCATCAACTATCTTCTGATAAGAAAAATTCACAATGGCCAGTCTCATCGAAGAATCCATTGAAGTCGTTTATTATCGAAGGTAAAACAGCAGTTTCATTATTCATGGTTTTAAGTGGATTTATCTTTACATATGGAAATAATGGTGAACAAATCGAATATTTTCGGTTTTTATACAATCGAATCTTGCGAATTTATCCGTTGATGATAACAATGATGATGATTGGGATCAGTGTGTACCCATGGAGGTTTTCGATCGAGAAATTGTTCGGTACGTTATTACCATTTCAGAATATTAATAATAGTTCTCTTCGTCTTGGCGAATATACGATTGTCTTTTGGACAATCGCGGTTGAATTTCAATTTTATCTGATTTTTCCTTATCTCAATCAATTTTTATACAAAAAAGGCTTGATGAGATTCTCATTAATGTTTGTTTTGACATTCATCATACGAATTAGTGCGGTAGTTGAGGGTGCGAACTCGCGAGATATTTCTTATTGGACAATTCTAGGAAGATTAGATCAATTCATGTGTGGAATGGTCGCTGCATATCTTTTGAAAAATTTTAATATCCAAAATCGAATGTTAGTTCGGTTATTACCAGCTGGTCTAATAGGAATAATAATAAGTATAACTATTTTTCATCGAATGGGTGGTTGGAATGAAATTGCATCATGGAAAATTATTTGGCCAATTATTGAAGGCTCGTTATGGGCAACTTTCCTTATTGGATATTTAACATTTTTTCACCAAAAAGATAATATCGTCTTACGTTTTATTGCGAATATTGGTACAATTAGTTATTCAATGTATCTTATTCATCATTTCGTGGCATTTCACATTGCCAAACGCTCGTTAGTTATTTCATTGTTCAAGGATTTGTTTTTGAATGCTTTTTTCACTTCGTTGATACTAACATTGCCATTGACAATGCTAATCTCTACACTGACGTATTATTTGATTGAAAAACCGTTTCTCGGCATGCGTAAGTCGTATTCATCAACTAATAAAGAAACAGTTAGGCCTGTAATAAGAGTATTTTGAAATAAAGTATCTCGGAAGGTGTCGGAATTGTTGTTCTTCAATATATCAGCTTGTTCGGAAAGTTCGTGCAACTCAGTGAGTTGAGCCCACATCCACTTAGATCACTATCAATCACACGTTGCCAGCAATCACGCACTACGAGGGCGTGCGTGTGGGTGAGGGTACGCGGAAAGACCCGGTACGTGGACAAAAGAACTTGAGGGTTTCAACTCGAAAAAGTGATGCATCGCGGAGGGCTTCGTATGCTCATCTACTCTAGCTCGAAAACTTAGGCGTTAAGTGCCGAATCACCTTCTCTTATAGATTCTGAGAGCATTTATTGCCACTAATACCATTATGTGTTTCCATTATACTCTGGTCTTAAACATCAACTTCTTTTAAGGCGATTCGTCGATATCTATCTCGTTACCCGCTGAGTGTCGACCAAATTCACTAGAATTCCTCCGGGTTTTTGGATATACTGTTGTCGATTTTTTAACGGATACCCAGGGTAATGGTATTATGACATCACTCATAATAAGAGAAATCAATAATTGTAAAGCTAATTTGTTTTTTTACTTTTGATATCGATATTCTGAAAAATGGAAAATATTATAATCAAAGTTTGTATCGAAAATGTTGAAATGTTAACGAATTGATCTGATTTTTCATCTGTTACATATTTAGATGAAACTTAATTATAATCGAAAAAACGAACGTTCAATGTGTCAATGGCCTCGAAGGATTCGATAGGAGAATTATTGATTTCTCTTATTATTATTACTACTGATGTCAATGATAAATTAGATACATATACCATCTTTTATTTTTAAAATATAGTTATAACCTAGAATATAAAAATCGAAATTTGATCTATTTTTTTCAAAACCTTGATCATCGCAGTGTTTTCTTAGGACTAATACAAATCCATTGCAATCTCTCCTGGATGGTAGCTTAGAAGCTGCTCTTCGACGACATATGGCCGCCATCTGTCTATTTTTGAATATAGCAAAGATAAAACAAAAACAAAAATGGAACCGTTACTTTTTATAAAACATCCTTTATTATAGCGCGCACTGTAATCGTGCCATAAGGGAAAAATTTGTTTGCTATAGTTTATTGGTATTCATCTGGGTATACAGCATCATTTTTTCTTTCTCTTCTACGACCACGCGCTGATCATGGCATGTATCATCTTTTTCTCGTCCATTTCTATACATTCAAGTATGTTTAAATACATTCTGTTTTCTTTTGATTTGACAGAAGTGTATTTCACTACTTTTAGTGTGATTTGGTTTCTCTGTACTCAAATATTTGTACTGATTATTTTGTGTGAAAGTTGTATCTGTTTTGTAAATAAATAGTGGATGCAACAATATTTTCAGGTGATACACACATTGTAAGTTACGTTACACAAATTCTCCCACTAGAACGATCGCAAATATATTACGTCCAAGCAAATTGAAGAGATCATTACATCAATTTTTTTAAAATTTTCTATTTGGAAAATGTATACTTCGGTACCTGATGAAATGATTGGTCATATCGATGAAAACTTCGATGAAGATGATCAAAATCCATCTTCAAAAAGAAGAAATCAAATGGAAACGTCAAAAGTTTAAGTCATTTGATATTCCTGAAAGCCACTTGAATCCCATCATATATTTTGGCAATCTACCCAGAAAAACGCCGCTTGCTGCTTTTTCGCTTATTTTGTTGATGTGACATTGATTACAAAAATTACATCTGAATCAAACAGATGTAAACATCAAAAGTTATTTCAAACTTCTGATATATCAGAAATAGACATCAGAAAATTTATTGTCGCATTGATATATATGTCAGTAATTCGTCTTCCAAGACATCGAATGTATTGGTCGAAGCCTACAAAACAAGCACTTATATCATCTATTTTGACCTGTCATAGGTTTGATGAAGTTCTGTCAATTCTTCATTTCAATAACAATGAAGAAGAACCAACAAAAGCCGATAATAACTATGATAAACTGTTCAAAATCCGACCACTTATAAATCATTTTAATACAAAGTTTCAGTCAGCAGCAATACCAGAAGTAATTTGTAGTGCCGATGAACAAATCGTTCCTTACAAAGGATTTAGCAATTTGAAAAGATATAATTCGTCGAAACCTCATAGTTGGGGTTACAAAATATATGCACGTGAGGGAAAATCAAGTTATTTGTATCAATTTGAAATCGAAGGTGACAATCAGTTGATAACTATTGATTCGAATATTGGATCAGCTGGTAATGTAGTGATCCGGCTTACTCAAAATTTACATCCAAATTCATTTATTGCTTACGATAATTATTACGCAACAATCAGATTGATCAAATTTCTAAATGTCAAGCAATATCATGTTGTATCTACAATGAGAACAAATCGTTTACATGTGCCATTACTAAAACCTGTCAAACTGCTGAAGCGAGAAGGCAGGGGTTCATTTGATTTTCTAACTACTGATGATGGTCATATAGTGGTTACTAAATGGTTTGACACTAAAGCAGTTTACATACTCTCAAACTGTTTTGGTCCGACACCTGCAGGTGAAGTCGAAAGGTATGATTGAAAGAGTAAGCCTGACAGAACTATATCATGGCCACATTCAATAAACGGATACAATCAATGCATGGGTGGCGCCGATTCGTTCGATATGCTCATGGGTTTATATTGAATTCAACTAAAAGGAAACAAGTGGTATCGCAATTTTTTTACAATTTTTTTGATTCATTTATCGTCAATTCGTGACTCATATACAAACAAATAACATCTTCTGAAATTTATCTGTTGAATTTTAAGTTGAGTTTATAGCTCAACAATTGGTTATATCTCTTGGTGGTGCTCAATCGGAATCATTTGGTATGAATGATTTTTCAAGGTATGATCAAATTGGACACTTTCCTGGTTGGAAAAATTTGAATGGTACAACAAAAAATTTCAAAAGTAAACGATGACATTTATCAGGATGTCGAAGATGAACCAGTAATTACTGTAAGAAATGTAAAGTTTGACTTTCCTACGCTGAAACTAATCATTTCTAATTATACCACCAGTTACAAGAATAGCTTTTTCAAATCTCTCAAAGGACGACAATGCAACTGTCAGTGTGTGACATGAATGTAACGTTGATGTATTCACAGAAATCATGTTATCGCTTCTGCTTGTTGTAAGTTAGCGTTACGTAATTAATATATGGACGTTGACGGATTTAGCTCAAACTTTTAGAGCGAATATGAGAGGTAATAAGGTTGATGTTACTAAGCGAATTGCCCTTTCTAACTGTCGAGTCTAGCCAAAAGCCAGAAAGGGTTAAGTTTGAAAATGTACAAAATTTATATAAGAATTCTGTATGGACAGATGAACAATATTTGTTTGAATTAAATAAATATTTCATTCTTTTCTACTTTCAGATGCTATCTTGAGGGTGTGGCTTGAAAGTGACAAACAGGAGAATCTCTATACCACCACCTATCCACACCCACACTCAAAGAATGTTCTGTTTTTGAGTTTTTGATAAAGAATAAAATAAGAAAAAAGCTTGATTTATTTTTTTAGAGAAATTTGAGTGAATTATTTGGAAGGTGTTTATTGAACTTTCAATTAAGTCAATCTGCTTTTGTATTCTTTCAAATATCGTCAAAATAAAATGTTGTCTTTAAAACCTTTATTTCAATATTATACTTTTCTTCTTCTCAGGAAATCCGTATTTCCTTAAGCGACCCTGATTTTCAATGTTTTTGAAGGAAAAATCACACTAAATTTTGACTGAAATATTTTTCTTCCGCATCCTACCTAAAGAATTACAATATTCATATCATGCGCTCCTTATATACAATAGAAACTAACTAACATCTGGTAACATTTTGTGTCACACTAATTTTAAAAAAGGAAACGCGTTCATTGTAGTTAACTGATTTCAATGTGAAGTTTGTTACAAAAGACTTTTTTGACAATTTATGATGGTAAGACTTTGTAGATCACGAAATATTTTTATTCATTTGATGAGAAACAATAACATATATCAAAGTCTCCTATTCATTTATAATTATTTTTAAGTTTTCTTTTTTTTTGACTTTACCTTAATTAGTCACTGAGAATTAAATCAACAAAAGCTAGATGTTACTCCACATAGAGAAGTTGCAATTATTTTATTCCTTCTGCACTATTTACTGATAAAATTTTCAAAAAACTATTCCGTGTTATTTATCGCTCATCTATCCATATCGATATTCTCTAGATTTATTGAATGATTTAAATCGAGGTCAGATTCAAATTCTATCCCCTTGATTACCTTTGGTCAAGTTTTTCTGGAAATCATCTCATATTATTCTCGAACTCATCTGCGAAATAAGTTATTAATAAATCGTTATGAAAATGTTGAAAAATAGTTCACTTTTTCTCATTATATTTTAAGAAACTATTGTCATATGCCTCTAAGAGTGTTATTGCCATCTTTATATAAGAGTATACGCGAAAAATGGATTCCATGGAATCTTTTTGATTCACGAACGACAGATCCATTAATAATTCGTCGTGAGATCTTATCAACTCGTCTATATATTATTCTTGTTCTTGTTTCTCTTATTATTTTAACAACATACGCTTCCCTTAGTCAACAAAATGAGACTAAAACTGTATTATTTCCAAGTGAATCTGTTTATAAAAATCTATTAAAAACATATACTAATAATTTACAATGTACATGTACAAAAGTTTTAATTCCTTATGAAAAATTTGTTAAAACAAATCCATCATTTCATCAAGTGTGTTCAAGTGATTTTATTTCTCAAAAATGGATTGATTTTATATTTAAAGCAGATTCAACATTAATTTGGCCAATAGATGTTCGAACAAGTTTAAGTTCAATGTGGCAATTAATTCGAACATTTTGTCAAAATGCAAAAACTACAGTTTTAAATGCATTTAAACAATTTAATAATTCTCGTTTAATTACTTCAATATTATTAAATGAAGAATTATTAGAAACAAAAGTTTCAACTACTTTGAATTTCTTATATCGAACAATATCATCAAATTTGATACAATCGAGAAAAATTATTGAAAGAATAACTCAAGCAAATGAATTAATGACAGGATTATTAACAAATTATATTGTTGTAACAGATAAATTTCGTTTGTCACAATTACCCAATGATGCTTTTGTTTCATCTACAGTAAATATATCTGCTTATATTGGAATCTTTGCAAATAAATATATATCAAAAAATTCGACAAAAATCTGTTCTTGTAAAAATAATGGTTCATGTCCTTTACCTGGTAATATTTATTTATATCATATTTCGGAAAAATTTGCAATTTATGATATGAATAAAATTGAAATAAATGAAAGTTTATCTGGTATAATAATTGATTGTTTACCAATTCAAATGACATTATCATCAACATTAGAATGTTTTTATAATGAAATATGTTTAAATATTCTTCTTTCATCTTATTCAAATAAAATGAATATTTCAATTTTAAATCAATCATTATTAACTCGTTTTAATCCAAAAACAAAAATTGAATTACTTATAAATCAACTTTTTATTGAAAATATATTTAATCAAACAAATTATAGTGAATATTATTTGCAATGCTTACCAAATATTTGTCATTATAATTATTTAAATCGTTTTAATGTGATTTATATCTTAACTATATTTATTAGTCTTTTTGGAGGAATATCAACAATATTACGTGCCATTTCTCCATTAATTATTCAATTATTTTTCTTTTTAAAAAAACGATTTTGTTCAAAACAAATACAAGAAATACAAAATCAATCTGAAAATAAAATTCGTTTATTAAAATTATTTCGAGAAATAGAAACAAAAATAATTAATTTTAATTTATATACAAAATATTCACATAATCCTATTCGTATTTATCATAGTATTTTATCAACACGTTTATATATTATTTCAATGTTTATTTCATTATGTATTATTATTTTATCATCAAATTTCGTAAATCAAACAATACATGAAACAATATTAAATCCATCTCGAGAGGAATATGAAAAATTAGAAATACAATATTCATCAACTTTACAATGTCCATGCACACAAATATCAATACCATATGGAGATTTTCTAAATGTTCAAGTTAAATATCATCAAATATGTTCAAGTGATTTTATTCAATCATGGTGGTATCAAAGTTTTCTTCCAAGAAATAGTTCTGATGTAATACGAAATTTTTTATCAATAGCTTCATCACATTTTCAAGCATTATCAACATTTTGTGATATTGTAAACATAACAATAAATGATGCGATTGAAAAATTTTTAACAAGAAATTTTATTAATTCTCAACTTTTATCAAATGATTCATTTATTTTACAAGTTAATTCATTAAATAATACATTTGCAACATTAACACGAACTGAATTTCTTTATAGAATATCTTTAACTAATCTATTACTTCATAGTAATCAATATTTAAGTAATATACAAATGAATACTTATCTTAATTTACGATTAACTTCAAATTCCTATCGTGAACCAATGTATATAAGTATTGACGTAAATCCTCGATTTGGTTTAAATGAAAATGATACTGAATGTGATTGTATTCTTGATTCAACATGTAGTTTTGATTATAAAATAAGTCAAAATGGACAAAGATTACCTATTGATTGGCAACTTGAAGGAATACACGGTGGTTGTTATATTATTAATTCTGTATTAAAGTCATCAATGATATGTTGGTTTAAAGATACTTGTTTAAATCAATTACGAAAGATTTTTTATGAAATTGGTGTTGTAATACCTTCGTCTATAACTCCACTTAATTCAACATTACCTAGTCGATATTCTCCATCGACATTAATTGAAACAATTTTTAATGAAATGATGATTGAAGAATGGAATTTTTCTTATTCATTTGATAAATTTTATCATAAATGTAAACCATCATTTTGTTCATTTACATATGAAAAAGAAATAAATATTATTTATATTATCACCATTATTGTTAGTCTTATGGGTGGAATTAATACTATTCTCAAATTTATTTCTCCAGTCATCATTAAGATTAGTTTCAAATTTATTTCTCTATTAACACATATAAGATCATCACGATTTTCATTTATACAACAAACAAATCATCGTAAGTTATTCATAAGTTTTGAAACTTGATCTAGAATTTTTCTCATATATGATTCTCCTTATAAATTATATTTATGAGTCACAACGTTTAAATCTTTATCTATGAAAAGTAATAATTACAGGAACACTTTTTCAAAATTGTCATTTATATTCGAAGTTGCTTCAGAGATGTTCACAGTGGCAGCTTCTATGGAAAAAAAGATTTCGAAAAAAATGAGAATTTAAACATAAGTTCGGTATTGGCACATAGTATGCGAAAAGATTTGATGAGTTTGATCGATTAGTGTCACAGGTTATGTAGGTTTTGTTTGAAAAAAACGATCGCGGTAGTAGTACATTCTGAACCGCAGTGGACATTTCTGAATTCAATTAAATAATTCTAATTATTTAGAAAATGGTGGAATTTCTAATATTATTATAAATTTAATTAATCGATTAAAAGATGCATTATTAATGTTAAATTTATTTGATAGTGAATCAAATGATGTTGATACAAATTATCGTGAACGAATATCAACAAGAATTTATTTAACATTTTTTTTAATATCAATTTTTATTATAATCTTTTATACAATTTCTTTAAACATAATTGTATATAAATCTCTTTCAAATCCTTCTGAAAATGAATATAAGAATTTATTAATGATTTATTCTGAATCACTTTATTGTCCTTGTAAAAATATCTCAATTGAATATAAATATTTTCTTCAAATAGAAACAAAATTTCATTCAATATGTTCAAGTGATTTTATTAGCAAAAAATGGCTGAAGTATTTATTTCTTGATAAACATTGGATTGGTTATGATCGACGGGATATTCGTGTACGTGGTTCTGCCTATTTTTCATTTCTTTTATCTTTATGTAAAATATCTGAAACAACAATAGATAATTCTATTAATCAATTTCTTAATGATGTATTTATTAATACTCAATTAATAACAGAATCTCAACTTGAAATTCAAATTAATTCGATTATTTTACAATTTCGAAATGTTACTTTAGAAAAATTCTCAGAAAGTTTTAAACTTTTACGTGATATAATGAATGGAAATGCTTTTATATCATCTTATTATTTAAATTGGTATTGGTGGAAAGATATAAAACATACTTTTGTTACATTTCCTATTAAATCAGTTGTAATGAAAGATGAATGTTCATGTGCAACACGAAGTGATTGTATTGATTCAGGTGGAATTTATCGGGATTCTAGTAAGAAACAAAGATTTGTAATGCCTGGATGGAATATTGGATGTTCAGTTGTAGAAACATTATTAAGTTCAACATTAGAATGTTTATATAATCAAAAATGTGTTGATTTATTAGTATTTTATTTAACAAGTGAATTGTCAATATTTCCTTATCGAATAAATATGTCTGCTATGAATTTTTCAAATGAAAGTCATTTTAAACCAGATATATATATTCAAAATATATCAGATGAATTATTTGTTGAAGAATGGAAGCATAAGACATCTTATTCATCATTTTATCATCAATGTGCTCCAATTTATTGTTCTTATAAAACTAAAAAAGATGATTATATTATTTATACAATATCAAAAGTTTTAGGTTTATGTGGAGGATTAACAATTGCTTTACGATTTACAATTCCACTTATAATTAAAATAATATTTCAAATTCGAAAGAAATGTCGAAGAAATACAATTCAACCTAATGAATAATTTCTACAATTGCATCAAATTTGACTATCTTAAGAAAGAATTTGAATGAGAATAAGTTTATTATATTTAATCATATATATTCAAGTCAAAAATAAACATACAATAAAAAAAGACAGATTTCATGAATTTTGAATATGAACTAGTTTAGTTATGCATTATAAATCGGGAAAATAAGTCAAAACACGTGACTGCGAAAAGAAAATCAATTAAGAAGAAACATATTTTTAGAGTTGACGATACTAGCTACATCTAAGATTTCAATCAAGAAGATAAATATTCATAATTATTATTGATTCAATTAATAATAATGAAAACAGTATAATTGATAGTTTGGTGTATCTAAGATTCAGTCTGTAAAGGTAAAACATTCCAATGTGCAATGTGACAAAACAGAACCTATCTAATCAGATTTTAATATGTTATAGTGTATCATATGAGATGATGCTATAAAGTCTCCATTATCTTTAATAAATATTTGAACTCATAAACTAAGCGACATTAGTCGATGTCACTGCCACCAGATGATTCGGCACACATTACACACAAGTAACGCTCGTCGTGCCAACTCATTCTGTAAAACCAATTTCGCCTAATACGCAACTCTGTACCCCCACCCTTGGACGTGCCTTCACTGATGTTTTTGACCTTCGACCTTGACACAAACCCGCAGACAGACAATCAAACTATTTTTTTTCATACGACCCACCTTACAATCGAGAGAATATCATACGTTGAGATTTTACCTCAAATCTGACAGTTTTCGATTGGTTTTAGCGCCATAAATTCAACAAAGAATAAAATGAAGACTTAAATCAGTGGATTAACATAAACCATGAGATTTTAATCAATTAAATATAGTAACAAGACTTGAACTAATAGTATATAGACTATATTTGAATTTTTGAAATTCTCGACCTTTTATTGTTGGTTATCGATCATTTTCAACTACGCCTTATCTTTACATCAAAAACATATACAAAGATGGTAACGAAACTGAACTGTGAACATGACAAGCAATAACATGACATTTAACGAAACAACATGAACTTCCGTTTATATAACACGAATAACAGGACACGAATCATTGACTTTTAGTTGGAATTAGTCATTAATTAAAACAATATCTGTGTGATGTTGATGACAACAGATATTAACAAACTCTACCTAATTTTAATTTTATCACTCATGTTGGTTGATTCTCTCTCTTTGAGTTGAACATAACTTGACATAAATCATGAGGTGTTCCTAGTTTAAGTTCGTTACCATCTTTGTATATGTTTTTGTTGTATAGATAAGGTGTAGTTGAAAATGATCGATAACCAACGATAAAAGATCGAAAATTTCAAAAATTCAAATATAGTCTATATACTATTAGTTCAAGTCTTGTTATTATATTTACTTAAATCAGTGACCTGTTCAGAGGAAGATATTCGGAAAGCATTCTCTACTGGGAGAATAAAAAAGCACAGCCCTCACTTAAAGTGAACAAATATTATTCAAAGAAATATGTTCATAAAACGCTTTTTTCTCATCTATAGGCTTTTACATTCACGGAAACTTTTATTTCCTTATGAAATCCTGATTTTCGATGTTTTCTTTAATCAAAATCATGACAGACGTTGTTTAAAACAGTTTATTTCTGCCTCCTTTCCGAAATATTCCAATAACTCTCCTCTTCTTTTCTGTATATCTCATCTAATGGGGGTAAAATAAATTCCAACGTTTTATTTTTTTTTGTGATAATAAATATAAAGAAAAAGCTAATAGAAGCCAGATGTTAAACTAGAAAGGTGATTTCATAATCATTTTTTGTAAAAACGAACGGTATGGATAGATACTTTTATCTGTAGAAAACAAGAGAAGAAATATTTAAGAAACGTATAGAATGTTGAAATAAAGACTGACGAAAATCATATAAAAGACTTGAGAGATGGTCGAAAACGTGTAAGCAGATAGTCATTTATTGTTTTTTCAAATAATTTTAATAGGAGTTGAGCATTTCTAGTAAATCATTCTACATGTATATACCACGATTAATTAAGATTAGATAATTCATCATGGTTTCATGAATGTAGTATAATCAGTAGAAAGACAAATATCGAATATGTCTGTTATATTTTCAGCTCATCATTAATTGTCTTTAACCCTTTCGAGACCGCTGACACTTCAAAGTGTTATTGAGATTTTATGTAGTCTTATGCGTAAAAATTCGAATTTTTTTCGCGTCTTTTTGAAGTAAATGTTGTAAATGCTGTCTTAGACGTTCGTGTTACGATCGGTATCTTCTTTTTTCTTTCTCTTCTTTGTCGAATGACAAAAATTCGAATTCTTACGCATGAGACTTTAAAGTGCCAGCGGTCTCGAAAGGGTTAAGTTTATACAAGTTTATGAGATATTCACAAGACTAGTTTTAATAAAGATCTCCACACACCAATGACAATTGTGTGCACTATTTCGTTCGAAAATGTATTACAATGTTTCTCTATTGTCAACTGTTCTGTGACAAAACAAAACATATCTTCAATTTAATCCTTATTTGTTGTCAGTTGAGAAAGAAAAGAAAAAACGATTACATTTATATTATTTATTTGTTTTTCTTGTTTTCAAAGAAAATCTTTTCTTATCGAAATATAATTTATCACACAGATATTTCGGAATGAAAGATGTTTCTTTCCTTAGCTATTTTCTAATCCTAATAGCTTTTAGATTGTCAAAACTTTAGAATAGCTTTCAACTTCAATCAAAACTCTACTATGAGTCACAACAAGATAGGCATTCATCATGTAATCTTTTAAGAAAAACTAATCGAAAAACCAATCTTGATTATTTTAGTCAGAAACAGTTAATTCTATTTCAATCAAAATAGCAAATACTCAATCAAGAGTATTGTATGTATAGTGTAACTACGATATAAATGATAGAAAAAGATTTTTATTTTAGATGTGGTCATTATCAAAACAGAAAATCCATTTGGATTATATGTTTTATTATTGTTGCTATTTCGATTATATCAGGAGTAATTATTGCAAAAACTATTACTACGAAAAGAATGAAGAATTCACAAGAAAAAATCTCAACTACAATAATAACGACAACATCAACAACATCAACAGCATCAACATCAACAGCTTCAACGTCAACATCAGCAACAGAAACAACAACAGGAAGAGGTATATATCTTTCCAACAAAGTAATCATTCTTTATGAAAGATGAGTTATTTACATAGAGTTGATTCTATGAGATGAAAATTTTCTTCTTTGATTTTCACATTTGTGATGACCTTATCCGAGAAAAAAACTGATTTAAACATTTAACCTTGAGTATTACTCGGTCGATTAATTTCTTTCATTTATATTAGTTAATACTAATACCAAATGGAAACAAAATGGAATTACCTTCGCTGGAGGCGGTGGGCAGGGTAAAGAATTAGATCAACTTACTGACAGAGCCAGGATTTTTTCGGATGCTGTATCTCAGCTTCAGAGCATGGATCCCAGTTAAAACTTATGGTGGATAACATTGACCTCAAATGATGAGTTTCTATCAACTCATTTTTGTGATCGAAATTTGCAAAAACAATTAGAATTTTTCTGAGTCCGCCCAGGAAATATCCAATACTGTTAATAGTGTCTCATTTTTGAGAATGCCACAGTAAGCTAAAAAAAAATTTAATCAACAGATTTCAAATTTCATGCTAAAATGTCGATCCGTTCAGGGCTTATGACGTTTTGAATCTCTGTGGGAGTTTTTACCTACAGCTTAAAAAGTGCAAAACGTCATAAGTCCTGAACGGATCGACATTTTAGCATGAAATTTGAAATCTGTTGATTAAATTTTTTTTTAGCTTACTGTGGCATTCTAAAAAATGAGACACTATTAACAGTATTGGATATTTCCTGGGCGGACTCAGAAAAATTCTAATTGTTTTTGCAAATTTCGATCACAAAAATGAGTTGATAGAAACTCATCATTTGAGGTCAATGTTATCCACCATAAGTTTTAACTGGGATCCATGCTCTGAAGCTGAGATACAGCATCCGAAAAAATCCTGGCTCTGCCACTAGGTCGACTCGATCCACCTTACGGAATGGATATTGATGATGATGGATCAGTTTATATTTGTGATCACTACAATCATCGTGTTGTTAAATGGATTTCAGATGCAAACTATGGTGCAACTGTTGCAGGTGGGAACGGTCCTGGAGATAGCATAAATCAGTTATTTTTTCCAACAGATGTGGTGATTGATAAAGAGACTAATTCACTCATCATTTGCGATTCAGATAATAGTCGAGTTGTGAAATGGTTTCTTCAAAGTTCGAAAAACCCAGAAATAATCGTATCAGAAATTATCTGCGATGGGTTGGCCTTAGATAATAATGGAGATCTTTATTTCACTGATCCGATGAATCATACAGTAATACAATGGAAACAAGAGGCAAAAAATGGAATAGTTGTAGCTGGTGGAAATGGAGAAGGAAATGATTTCAATCAACTCTTTGCTCCTGGTACTCTCTGGGTCGATAAAGATTATTCAGTTTATGTATCGGATACCAGAAATCATCGTGTGATGAAATGGTTAAAAGGCGCAAAAGAAGGAATTGTCGTTGCTGGTGGGCATGGTAAAGGTAATGAGCTCAATCAATTAAATCTTCCCCGAGGATTGATTGTCGACCATTTGAGTAATGTTTATGTGGGTGACACTGGCACTTATCGAGTGATGCGTTGGCCAAATGGATCTCGAGAAGGTAGTATTATTGTTGGTCCACATAGCTGTGTAGAAAACTCAAATAATTTTTGCACTATCCACGATATATGTTTCGATCGACAAGGAAATCTATATATCGCGGATCGTTTCACTCATATAGTGCAAAAGTTTTATATTGATGACTTAAATTGGTCTTATACCAAAATGATTTATGAATAATATTTGTCGTTTGTGCATGCATGTAAAAGTCGAAGAGACTATTCGAGTATTAAACTTTCAGTTCGAGTTTTCAACTCTTAACTAATTGGCTATTAAATATCCACTAATTAAACGATAATTATTAAATGACTAACTGATTATCAATTATTATGTAACTGATTACGACGGGGGTGTGGATGTTGGGTGGGGCGCAGCTGGCAGCGTCGTAGTCAGAGTCTATTTGAACGGGATTCGTTATGGTCAGTTGGCTGGTAATTCATAGTTTTATTGTGAATAAATGATTAAGTAGCATTCACTATTGAGATGCCTATTACTCGATAGCCCGTTGATTGTTAATAAGTAATCGGTTGGTCAATATTCAATCAACAGTTACATAATAGTTAATATTGAGTCACTCCAAGATTGACGATCAATTACTTGCTAGTTGCTAAGGGGAAAACTCGAAGCTTCAAGTTCTAAAGTAGAAGATTTAGAATTCGAAGGAAGTTCTAATACTCGAATCGAGTTAACGATTTCTACACTACTCAAACAAAGAAAGTGAGAAGAACGTCAGACGCGCTATTATCGAAAATAAGATAGAGCACTGACAGCAATGATATAAAATAGATTTTATTGACTATTTCAACAACAACAACTAAAGTAAGAGATTTATTTCCGAAAGAGATTGGCTAATGTTTTTCGAAAAACATGTCCTCCGGTTAACGTATAAATGTAAAATGGCATTCCCGAAGCCACATTAATGAACAGAAGAAATAAATTGAAAATGAAACTTTCAGTTGTACTTTGCAAAGATGATTTCGGTAAATATCTTGTTATTGTTGAATAGAATTTTGAGAAAGCAAATGGAAATGAAAATAAAAGAATAAGAATAATTTGAGCGAGAAGCATTGATAATAAATGTCGATCTGTTCTTCGTTGTGGATTTACTCGCCCATTATGAACATAGATTTGATTGATCCCTTCATTGCTATATGAGGTTATCGGATTTAAACGTATTTGAGATCGACGAATGTTTGAAAGAATTAATAAACCAAAGATTAACATTAACGTCACCGGAATGAGAACAGTAACGAAAGCAAATGAGACATCTGAGAGAATTGCACATCCGACTGTTTTCGAATAACATTTTAATGGAGTATTTGTTAAATTGGCTTCGTAGCAAAAGATTTGTTGACTTTCAAAAAGACTTGAAAGAATTAAAAGACAAACAAATGATCGTTTAACATTTTTTAATGAACTTCGATTTCGACGAGAAACATCTTGACTTGACAAAAACCACCGATCAATCGTAGCTAATGCTATTAACCAAAAAGCGATGGTTAATGAATTAAAATAAATATAAATACGAAGTTTACATAGGATTTCATTGGTATTTCCTAAATCAGCATCCCATGTTGATAGAAATCGAGGAAAAATGCCCGAACATAAACTAAGAAGATAACAAATTGATGCAAGAAGAAAGAGATACGAACAAGGATTTGAACGAAGTGTTCGTTGTGAAAAAACAATAATATTGAGAAGATTGCCAATTATTCCAAAAAGGAAGATTACCAATGCTAAATAGCGATTCAATTGAGAAGAAATTGTACTTAATAGTGAAATAAGGTAAACATCGCTTCTGATTGAAGACATTTCTTTTATGCAAGAAAAATTGTATCAAATGTTAACGTATAGATGAACTCAACATGTCTTATATCATCGGGAAGAAAATCTATTTCGACGTTAATTCTCTTGAGTTCATTCATCAACTATATTGAAGTCTTATCCTCTTATACCTCGGGATGAGAAGATTTTCTTTTTCTTTTTCAGGTTACCACCTTCGCAACTGCTCCGCAAATTTAACCGAAACATTATTATGAGTTTTAATTATAGATGTTGATGACGGTGTCTTCTTTCCTCATCTTTTTTTATCCCTGTTCACGATCAATGTACGGATAACATATTACGCAATTGGATACTTTGGCTATTTGTAATTATTGATGGTTAAAAAAAGAGAAATATACCAAAAGTTTCATATGTCATCACCGGAAAAAAATAACTTATGAGTCGCCATAATTTGTTATGATTCATATAAAAAAATCGGTTTTCGTTCACTTATCAAAATGAATAGATATCATAAAAAAAGGAAGACCAACCTCTAAAAACATTAAAAATTAAACTTTAGTCATTAAACCTTATTAGTGATCATTTTTAACCAGTTACAATACTGACTTTTGTAGACTCTTAATAGTTTCTAATGATTCACAAAGATTGTTAGTAACAGAAATCAATTTGTATCCTTTCAATGTATCGGATGTTTATGTGTCTAGAAATAATGAAATATTCGGCATTCCAGGTCAAAGCCACTACATCGGATTCGATCATCCAGGATTCCAACATTCGGAACCTGTGGGATTCGACATAAGTCGCCTGTCGGCAAGTGTCAAAACCACTAGGACTTGATACCACCAAATACTATGTAACAGATTTCAGTTAATTCTTACTCGCGATAGGCTTTTTAGTGATCTTTAGGCAATATTTAACCCATAATAACTAGCACATTTATGAATATGTTTGCAAGGAGCAGATTTTTGTTATTTAGAAAGATGAGCTGTATGTTTAAGCGACATTTATTAACAGTTTTTCTAGATATGGTCAGTAAGTCATCCGACGATCTACGTAAAAAAATGTTCATTTCTTCGGCAGTATACAGTCGTTTTACTCGAACTATATTTGAATATAATCTTCATGAGCAATTTTATTTTAGCCTTTTAATCTTGGAATCGAGTATTTTATTAAAACTTTTTTTAGTTTTAAAATAATCTTATCTTTATATTATATATAAGTAGTTTCAATAAATAAATAATATGAAAATATAGAATTTGAAAAAGCAATGAAAACTGCGAATATGAGAAACTATAAAACCCGCTGGATTCTGTTGGTTTCCAAAGCTTCTGACGGAATCAACATTCCGGAATATTCGTCCGGGGATCTTTTGTTAGAAAATATGGAAGAAAATTATTAAATACAGATAATTAATAAGAAATATTCGTGTCATATTAGCTTCTCTTTGATGAACAGTAACTCAGGTGAATCAATCTGACTAGAGGTGTCAGCGTTCCCCGTTCCCTTACGGGGAATGGAGCGGATTTTATCATTCCTCCTACAGCACTTTTTTACGCGTAGTTATACCTTTGACATACGATCGTACACAGTACTAAGTAAAAGTCGTTGTTCGTTCCCCGTTCTGGGAATGGGAACACCAAAGTGACACCCCTAATCGGAGAGAATTGCACATCCAACTGTTTCCGAATAACATTTTAATGGAGTATTTGTTAAATTGACTTCATAGCAAAAGACAAAGAAAAACCGTTTTAGCATTTTTTAATGAACACTTCGCTTTCGATGAGAAACATTTCGACTTGACGAAAACCATCAATCACGTGTAGCTAATGCTATTAAATTTATACAGAGAATTCCATTTATATTTCCTAAGAACGAGAAAATTGCCAGTGCTAAATAACGATTCAATTGAAAAGAAATAACATATAACATCGCTTCTCCAAATGAAAACATTCTTTTTATTCAAGGAAAATTTATGCAAATGTCAACACGCAGATGAACTCGACACGACTTATATCATCTGAAAAATCTATTTTTGACATAAAACATATTGAAGTCTTCTCTAATGCCTCGAAATATGAAAATCTCTCTCATTTCCAACTATCGATCATTTGAGCGAAGAAAAACTAAAAGATACTGAGTACAATACAACAAAATGATTACGATTGATGCGAATTTTACAAGAAAAAGTGTTTGACAGTTGATTTAGACAAATAGAATTCTTCCAAAAGAATTCATTACACAAACATGATGAATCAAATTGAGTTGGAAGTTATTTTTCTTCTATTTATCATATAGGTGCCAATTTGAACTTTATCGATGCATTTTTGTTGTTGATAAATCGCTCGAATTTCTATTGTTGACAAACATCGTTTGAAGGCAGCTAAATCAGCAATTCGAGCTTCGACTGGAGATTCAATTGAATAGTTAATTCGTTTACAGGTGATCGTAATTGCATTTGACCGCGAAATTCCACTCAAATGAGAGTTAAACGTTTGATGAAGATTAAATGAGTTTATGTTTTGCGCATTTATCCATTTACAATAACCACTTTGTGATTCACTATTGGTTATAACAAGATGTATCCATTGATTATCGAAGAGAGTTTGTTTATCATCGCGAAATCCGTATTGTTTGTCAGTATGATGACAGTGATGTAAGTCAAGAACATGTGTCGTTCCAATTCTAACGTTCATTTCACATTGACGAGGTAAGAAGAGCCAAAAAGAAAATGAATAATATCCATCAAAAAATGACTCGGGATATTGTTGTTCAAAGAAATCTTTCCTCGTATTGACATAAAATGGATCAATTACTTGTAAAACGTAACACTGACTTGATCGGAAATTCGTTGGTGAAACAGATCGATCGATATTTTGTGTTAATTCTCGTTGATATTCATTCATTGCCGAACCATTCAGAGGTGATTCTCGAGAGAATTTCAATGATCGATGAAACCATTGATTAAGAAAATGTTCATCATCTGTTATACACGATCGCCAATAGTGACAAACAAATGAGGCACGAATCAGATCTGGTAATTGATCAATGTAGCTTAAGAGGTGCTGAAACAACGCACAAGACAATTCAGCCATTTGCTTTTGTCAATCACGTGGAAATATATGACCTTCAGCCGTCCGATAACTATTTTTCAAGAAAAAGGTCAACGCATAAGTTCAATTGTGTTCGATAGACACTGACCTCTCTTAAAAGAAAATAACACCAGATGAAATTTTCTCATCATAGTATTTAAGTAACTCGATGTGATGAATTAATCACAGAATATCGACCGCGTTACAAAATCGGATCACGCGAAAAGCACGCTTTGATGTGAACTCTCCATTGCCGTCGAAATATGCTCCGAAAGTTTATTCAAAAGCGCAATTTATGGAAATATAAGTAAAGAGAAAAACTAATGATCAGTATGAATAGATTTCCGCAGTACCAACATTTAAATATTCCAAATTTGGACCACTAGTGACTAATACACTACCATCGAATAACATAGAGGTTTGAGCCAAAACTCTACCGAGTTGCATAGAGGCAGTCTGGGACCAGCTTTCTGTCACAGGATCATACAATTCTGCACTTTCAATACCCGTAGAAGTACGATTGTCTCCACCAACAACTAATACTTTTCCATTAGTTAATAACAATGCACCATGTGCTCCCCTTCCGTCATTCATGCTACCGGTGAGCGTCCAATTTCCAGTTTTTGGATCATACAGTTCAGCAGTACTTTGATCACGTGTGGCTCCACCGGCTACTAATACTTTCCCGTTGTTCAACACAGTCGCTGTATGTAATTGTCGATTATAATTTGTCTTCCCAGTAACTGTCCACGATTCTGTCAATGGATCATATAATTCAGCAACTTGTTTGAAATCTATTGTAGTCGAGTCACCAGTAACCAAGACCTTTCCATCTTGTAATAGAGATACTTGGTGTTCAAATGCTCGTCCATTATGCATACCACCAGTAAGTGTCCACATTCCTGTTATAGGATCGTATAGTTCGCATGTTTTACTAATATTACTAAAATAAAATTCGTATTTTCACCAAACATTTTGTCCAAATTCGTTCGAACAAAATTCATACGCGTCAGGTTCATGAAGAAGTTTCTTTTCTGGATTTCCACCGACTACCAAAACCTTTCCATTTTTTAGAACAGTTGCTACATGATGACATCGTGGATAGTTCAAACTACCAGTACTTGTCCAAGTATCTGTTCTTGGATCGTATAATTCAGCACTTTGAAGACATCCATGTTTCCTACAGTTTAATCCACCAACAACTAATACTTTTCCATCAGCTAAAACAGAAGCCGTATGAGAAACTCGTTCAATACTCGAAGATGCAGTCAATGTCCAGTTTCCTGTCGTATGATCGTACAATTCTGCTGTATTGAAACATTCATATCCATATCGACCATATCCACCAACAACTAATACTTTTCCATCGGATAAGACAGATGCTGTATTTTCGAATCGTGTGACGATTAGATTCTTTGTAAATGACCATTCTAAGCATATTCATGAACTTCTTTGTATTTGAAAAGTATAGATATGTTACTTGGTTCTCGAACAGGTGTACTTATTGTGGTTGCTAAATTAGTAAATTTTGAAAAGTGACAAAAATCTTGAAATGATTTTTTTCTTTACTTGTGATTGATGGACATATTTGCTGATTCATCATTGACAATGGATAACAAACAGGATGATTACGACATCGGCGATGTTGGACGCAAATGGAATCTTTTCGAGCACATGTGTTATCCGAAGGACGACATGGTTCAAGTTGAGAGCATGATGCCCAAAGAAAGCCACAAATGCTACTTTCATTAGTATTGATTCGATGGAAACAGCCACAGGCAGTATTTGTTGAGCATCGATCATACTGAGATGTTCCTTTACATGCTTCATAATTCATTTCAGTTGCTAGAGAAGCACTGAAGTAGAGAGGAATATAATGGACTCGAAAGCGAAAGGACTCGAAATGTACCTTATGAAAATAATTAAAACGAAACGATACATTTTCTTCTCAATCATCATTGCTTGTATGTGGAGAAAACACTGAGAATGCGTTTCTTTTTATTTCGAAAAAGACGATAATACCTTAAGCTGTGTTCTTATTAGATTTTTTCCGCTTTAAAATAAATAAGATGACGTCAGATGGATTAGATGTGTCTCAATGACGTTTGTATTTCTCTTAGAGATCTGAATTTTTTTCTGTAAGAACGGACGATACAATCGAAAAGACTCATTCTCTTTGTCTTAAAACTTTATTACATCTCGCTCTAAATAGAAGCGGATCGTAAACAAACATTGCTCGTTCTTTCGTAAGAATTGAAATAACAGAAAAGATTGCCGATTGCTTGGCAATATTTGAGTTGTACTGATTGGTTGTCAGCAGTCAATTGCTTTCAAAATCTCGTTATTCTAAAACGGTAAACTGTCAGTTTCCTGTTTTGAAAGTCATTCGAACGAAGATCAATCGGCAAATCTCCTTCATTTATTAAGTCCACAAATGACGTCAACAACAACAAACGAATCGGGCATAATTAACACAATCATCAAGTTCAAAGACAATGGAAACAAACTTGTAAAGGTAAATATTCGCTCATGCATTAACATAGACTAAAGTTTTGACTCTTTTTTTCATTTAGGCTGAACAATACGACGACGCGATAGATGAATACGACAAAGCTGTTCAACAGTTACAGTTTGTAACAAACGAGGGACAATGTGCTGGTTTGAACGCAGTTTTGTATCTGAACCTGGCGTATTGTAACTTAAAACTACAAAGATATGTCACTTGTATAAGTTTTTGTGATGACGTCCTGAAACTAACTGATGATAAGAACATACGTGAAAAATGTTTATACCGTCGAGGCGAAGCAAATCGATGTTTGATGCATATCGACCGTGCACTTCAAGATTTTCGAGCAGTTTTGGAAATCACATCGACAAATAAAGGTGCTTTGGACGGTATTGCTCGTTGTAAAACTATTCAAGTATGTATAAATCACATGTGGCCCAAAGTTTTCCTATTCTTGATCGTATCAACTTATATCTCCCCTAGATTATCCCGTTCGAAAATGGTACAGCAGAGTATGCGGAAGTATCAGCACACGGACTACTATCGGCACTATGCTGTTATAACCGTCTTGAATATATCACTTCGAATGTGCCACCTGATCTGATGTTCCCATTCGTGTCAGAAGGTCTGTCGTTGCTGATGGAGATGGTGTTCACTGACGATCTTAAAAGTGGAACATTGATAAACGTTATGGAAGCAACGAATTTTGGAGCGTTCAGTCGAACAGAAAAGATGCTGTTGGAACACAATATTATATACGATGAGAACATAACAAATCAATCTTGTAATGAAATGGCATTTACTGAGGCCCTATTCCATGCGATAGTACAACGTCGTGTCCTAAAATATCGAAAAGCATTGGAAATTCTGGAATCTAAGAAAGAACAGTTTTCGACTTCTTCCACAATTCCGCAACGTTTATTATTTTTATTGGAAAAATGCTTCTGTCTGAAGTTAATTCGTCTCGAGGAAAGCACTAATGGAAAAGGTAGTGCAGAACATTCGATCTGCACTATTGATTTACTAAGAGAAGCAACGGAAATCTGTCAAATTAGCCTGAATACCTTAAAAGAGTTAGTTATTGATATTCAAACTTTAATCATAGAAGAATACTTTCAACAAAAACAGGCATCAATGGTTTATGAAGAACTTTCTCGATTGGTATACATTGGTAATCCAATATTCCAAACTCATTTCTGGTTACAAATCGCGAAACACCAGCTCAGCGAAAAGCGAATGCTTGAATTCATCGCATGTCTAGCTGTAGCTGGTTATGCTATTCTTAATGACGACAATGTGCTACAAATTTGTGATTATTATTTGTTAAGCGCAAAAGCGCATCTTTACGAAGGCGATTACGATGGTTTTGTTGGATGTCGCGAAAAGACTGATAGATTATTGACTGAAACATTGTTCAAAAACGATTATTCATCGACTGCTGCGTTTGTATTTCAATACAAGACGATGATCGCTGCATGGTATGACGAGTATGAAGCGTTATGCATCGACTTTTCAAGACGATCAAGAAAGAAGAATTGTAATTTACAAGCGGAAAAATTGGAACGAGAAGCTTTTCGAACAGCAGATTGGAGAATTTCGCGTGGTTATGTAACGGAAGAAATGATTTTAGCTCATTGCTTCGAACTGCAAAGCAAAACGGTAAAAATACCAGAGAACTGCGCATATTTAACATACAAAATCAGTGGCTTTTATAATAAAGGTAAAATTGATTGTTTGATTTTTGCAACTGAATTCCACGATCTCGTCCGTACTGACTTGGACATGGATAAAGAAAAGTTATTGGAACGACTCGCGCCTATATTGAACGATGTGAATAAAGAACATACATTTGAACAAAACATTGACGAAATCAAAAGTAAATATCCCGCATTATACAAAGATTTCCTTACACCTATTGAGGCGTTCCTTAACGAACATAAAATCTTCAATGTGAAAATCGTTTCAAGTGATGACTTTTATCGAAAAGTGTTAGGTATGCAAACAAAACAATTGAGTGAAAAGGATTTGTTAATACCACCGGAACATTGTTATATTCAATACTCATCGTGTACTTTGAAAACGAATGGAACAATTTATTGCTATGTGATCTTTGGTCGACAGAATATCAAATTTGAAATCATTGATTTAAAAGAGCACAATCTCCGAGTAGATCAGTTTTTAGATAATATAACGTTCCTGGCTGAAGGATTCAATGAAAGACCAGACGACAATTCCATTGATAAATCAGATACCGATGTGGAAAAATGGACGAGATTACGAAAAGAATTTTTCAAGATTCTTTTCGAACCAATCATGGTACATCTCAAACAGATCAAATGTATTCAAATCATTGCCGAAGAAGAACTATTGTACATACCTTTCTCTAGTCTGTTAATCTCAGACGATGACGAGAAGTATTTGATAGATATATTTGAAATTTCATTTGTTTTGTCAGCTGGCTTTGATCAACTTTATCAGTTGAATTCGCTTAACAAAGAATCTAATGTATCATGTCAATTAGAAGTATTTACCACAGAAACAGTTCATCCTGAATTCGAAGAAGAGTACGGCTTAGACTATTCATTAGTAGAAATAATCGAAAAACTTCAACATGAGCAAATTCCATTTACACCACATTCAAGTGCAACTAAAGAAGAAGTCGAAATCTTCTTAAAAAGCAGAATTCATTCAAAACCATCCATATTTCACTATGCTGGTCATACATTTTACGATGAGCAACAAGTACAAAGTAATTATGCATTAAGTGGTTGTATGATTTTACAATATGACAATGGCAAAGAACGTCTCGACACAATGCTTTACTCGAATCAAATAGCCAATTATGATCTAAGAAATATACGACTTGCCGTTTTAAATTCATGTAGCACATTGAAAGGTAAATTCTTCTTCTGATATTCAAATCAAATTGTCAATGTGCAGATTTCTATGTTTGGAATTATCTATTTCAGGTAGTTCTCTTACCAGAAGTGGACATCTGGGATTGGCACGTGGATTTATTATAGCTGGTGTTTCGACTGTTGTAGCAACGACGATTGATTTGGAAACAAATATATCAGTTGAATTTGCAAAGAGATTTTATAAATATCTTCAAGAAGGACTTACAATTTCATGTTCATTCACTCGAACAATTCGTGATTTGAAAGAATTGAAAGATTATCGAAGTCCTGATTATTGGGGACCATTTGTACTATTTGGTTGTGGATTTAACAAATTAAACATAGATACTTAATTCTATATCTCCATGGAAAACAATCATAAGCAAAAAAATGAAGCGTTCTTGTTTGTGCTTTTTGCTGTGTCATTAATAAATACTTATTTTTCGAGTATATAGACGTTTTTGATTTCATTGAAATCTATTAACGATAGTATCTAAACTCAGCAAAACTGCATAGATCATCGTTAAACCTTCGAAATTTTATGAAGGATAACTGATTAGAAGAAAAATGATTTCGAAACAAATAAATTTGAATTATTTTTCACAAGTAATTAAACAGTCATTACAAATATGAATTATAAATCACCTAAGCTAAAATGTTCTGTTCTATGAAAGTATGGTTGTGCCTAACGGTATAAATTGTGTTTTCATGCGACATTACGTTCCTCTCTTGTCAGTAGACTTCGTTGTTCGTCTTCAATTTTCTTGGCAGAATCCTAAAGAAGAGAATTCTAAAAAGAAAGCGAAACTTCTTTTAAACTTACTTCGAGTTTCTTCAAAAGAACAGCAACAACAAGGTTAACAAGTACAAATTGAGTCGAGAGAACAAAAATAACAAAGTAAATGGGGGAGATAATCATCACTAAAGAACTTTTCTCTTCATCCATGGACTCATCCTGACGCATTGTATCCTAATCCGAGAATCTCAATCATATCGTTGTTATTTAGAGATGACTTACTGTCATAATCGCATTCCAGTTATCTCCTGTCGCCACTCGATACAAAGTAAGAAGTGCGACTCCGAAATTCTGAAAGTTCGCGTGTTTATTTAACCCCTCGCACGGTTGTTCGTCGGTGCAGTGAATTTTGCCAAATAATTCCACGCCCAATGCAGCGAAGATGAAGAAGATGAGGAAGAACAGAAGAGACAGATTTCCAACTTGAGGAAATGCTTCGATGACAGTGTCGATGAGTGCTTGAATTCCTTTCGCCATTTTCAATAGTCTCAAAACTGCAAAATCAAGAGACTATTGACGAGAATTCAATTGAATTGCTCATTACTTCGTGCAATTCGGAGAAGTCGCATCACTCGGATCAATGTTGGATTGATTGGTAAAACACTTTTATGATTCATTTTATCAATGACGATCCCAATTATTGACAGAAATACAACAAATGCATCGAATCGGTTCCAACTAAAAAAGCGAATTTGAAAAAAAATTTTCAAGAAATTCTAAATCTTACTTGTCACGAAAATACTGCGATATACCAAATGCGATAATTTTCAAGAGAAACTCCATAAAGAAGATAAATGTAAACAAATAATTACAATATTCAAGAAACTTTTCCAACCACTAAACCGCAAACTTCCCGTCAAAAAGTAACACAAAATTCGAAGTTCTTTCCTTACCATTGGCATCTGATAGAATTCCACCGACATTGTTATCACGTTCAAAACAATGACAATAGCAATAGTTATATCAAAAGCTTTACTTTTACATAAATCAAATAAATGCTTTCTCCATGGTGAGAAACGTTTACTTTCTTCTAATTCACAGAGTTCAATCTGTTGATACTCGAGTTCTTTTTGACGATTGATTGCAGTTTGCGCTTCTTGCTGACTTTCAAGTTCTTCTCGACACGACTGAAAATTCTCCACAATTACACCGACGAACACATTCACCACGAAAAAGCCGACCATTAAGATAAAAGCAACGAAATAGACGAATTTTCCTTCACTATGATTTCGTTTCGGTTGCATATCAACACCGACAGCATCAATTCCATTGTACATGATCGACACCCAAGCGTCTTTCGACGACAACACGAATAATGTCAACAAAGCCTAGAGAAACAATTGATCAGAAAACAGACATTTTACTGAAAAGAAAAATACTTGAAACAAATTATCGAAATTATATTGCTGATTGATCCAGTGATGTTCAGGAAGACTTAAACATTCTTGTTTTGTTGTAACAGTATCTGCTTGAGGACCATCACAATGATAAAATTGGCCTTTGAAGAGCTAAAACAAAACAAAAAAAAGTTTTCTCAAACATGGTTCGGAAAAGTTTTACCTGTACACCGAGAATACCGAAGATAACAAAGAATACACAACAGATAACAATTACATTACCGATTGGTTTAATCGATGAAAGTAACGATTCGATAACAAGTTTTAATCCCGGTGCGCGATTGATAACTAAAACAAACTCAGTGAGATCTATAAAAAAAAAAGACCGTATAACTTCGAAGTCTTACGTCTTAAAGGTCTTAATGCTCTTAATATTCGAAGTACTCTTAGGATACCGAGAATACGAGACGTTGTGTTCGAATTCATGGTCGTTGATAGGCTACTTCGATTCGCAATAATTAAATCTACGATTGAAATAAGAACAAGAAACCCATCCATACGATTCCAATTGTTTCGTAAATAAGTATTTCGACCAATAACCAAACCGTCGGCGAGAATTTTAATAATCATTTCAATCGTGAATACTACCGTAAACACATAATTTCCCCAAGTTAAAAATTTTCTCTCCTTCAAACAAATATTCAAACTTGAGAAGAAAACGAACAGTATTCTCTCTTACCAAACTATGCGGAGCGATCGATGGACGTTCCATGGCAAGTGTTATACAGTTGAGTCCGATGCAAATGAGAACTAACGTATCAAAAGATTTTTCTTCGGTTAGTTGTTGTAGAGCTATTCGAAATCTAAATTTAAGAAAGAAGATTTGTTGTTAATCGATTAACTTGGAGAAAACGATACCGGTTTGTAGGTGAAAAAAGATAGAGCGAATAGTTGTGTCGTTTTCGAAAACACGAGAAGAATCCCAACCGAGAATAACAACTACAACATGATTCAGAATTCTAAAGGAAAACAAGGGAATGTGATCGAAGATATGTTTTAAATGGTTTCACTTTCGGATTGTGAGAGTAATCTTCATTTTTTATTCTCTTTGGATCCGAATGACTCGATCGAAACGAAGCTTCTTCGTGTATTGGTAACAAAACATCAACACGATCTGCGTGAGTTTTCGTGTTTTCTACTGTTGCGTAACTACTCGTCGACGAACTGTCGTCCATTGAGAGTGAAATATCCGCTAGCGATGATTGAAGTTGAAGTGATGGACTTTCGCTGGAACTTTCTTCACCAGTATTGCTTCCAGGAGCAGTTAAATACTCGTCCGGTGAAGAAGTCGAAGAATGATCAAAATAAGGAGACATTGTATGCTGCAAAACATTCGACAGTTGAATAAAATCATCTTGGGCTGAATCAACAACGATTTCGCCAGGAACTTCATTTTCTTTCTAGAATAAATCAGTTATATCAAATACAAAAAAAAACTAAATTCAAAGATTCAGTCGCGATAAGTCAATTATGCAATAACATACGAAAGAATTTTTTCAAGTGTTCAAGCCTCATCTATGTCTCATTAGTACATTGCAGTACTACATCACATCCGCATCGTCTACTACTCCCGTTTCATAATTTTCGAATCATACTCGAGGTTCGACTGATTTCGTGAAAATTCAAGCTTTACCTCGTTAACAAACCCTTCGACAAGAATTGCAACCAATAAATTGAGTAATACATAATTTCCGAAGATCATCAATGCAATGAAATAAAGCGCAGACCACGAGCCAGTTTTTTCCATAGCTTTGTATAAAACTTCATTCCAATCTTCTTGCGTTAAAATCTATTTCAATACATTCACCAGCCATCGAAATTCGTGTAAAGTTTTACCTGAAATACAGTTAATAATGCACCACGAAGTGTATCGAAATTTGGCCGATCGAATTCACACGTTACATCTTTGAAATCACTCGAATTCTTCAATGTTGCCACCTCAACACACGTGCAACATCGACAATTCATTGTGAACTGTTGACGTGATGTTTTATTGAATCCTTGAATTGTACAAAACTGTCCACCAAATAGATGCATTCCAAGAACACTGATGAAATGAATTATAAAAGCGAAATCTTTAGTTCCATCATTCAACTTACCTGAAAATGAACACAAAAAGAAGTAAAAGTAAGAGAAACGTCGCGACATTATCCAGTGTTTTCATCATGACAAGCTAAAGCAGATAATCATAAACAAACAATCCTTCGAAAATTTCTTTGGCATAACTCACAAATTGTTTTCTTAACGTTGGTGTAAACTGCGCAAGTTTCAGCACACGCAATAATCGAAACGTTCGCAAAACTGATAAACCACTATTCTGTGCTCCATACAACTCCACAAGACTAATAATAACGATCGTACAATCGAAAATATTCAGCGGACTTTTAACATAAGTCCAGCATCCATCCGCTAAGATTTTCAGGATCATTTCAATGGTAAATAATGCAACAAATACATAATTGACATGTTCTAATATATTCGTTAACCGTTGCGGTTGTCCGTGATATTCCACTGACATGGAAAGTGTGTTGATAATAATAGCACAAAATATGATCAGCTCAAAATATTTGCTGTGAACGTAACGTGCGAGAATTCTTCGACACGGCGAAGAGCAACATGATGAATCTTGACTTTCATGCTGTCTTTCCTTGTTTCGATGTGAACCATCATGAACGATCAGTTCTGATGAAGATTGTATTCGATCAGAAACATTATTTTCCGCATGGTTTCCTTGAGCCTGTAAAAGACGAACAGAGAATTGAGATTAGACGACGATAGAGCAATACTTTTTTGTTTTTTCGTCGAAGTAAACGTTTGAAGAATCTTTCAATGTGGATCATGATCACTTCCCAACACGATTTTTGATCAATACTTGATGAAATCGAATTCGTTGATTGCAAAAATCGTTCTCGTTCCGCCGCCATCAACTGGGTCTCGCGTTTTTTCGTTACACTGAACTGTGCGGAGATCACCGCCAGACAAATATTCATCATAAAAAACGAGCCGATGATCGTCAAAGCTAAAAAATAAATCCAATTCCAAAACGAATGCGCATCTTGGATATAATACATAATTTCCACCCAATTCTCCAAACTAACGATCTGAAAGAAAAGCGAAAAGGATATTCTCAGCAATGAGTATATCATTCACAAACTTGAAAGATGGCCAACCATGCTGAAACGATGTTATCGAAGTTAATTGCACCGGAGTAGGGATTTTCATCCGAACTAGCACAAGTTTGATAATATTGATTCCAATTGATACAACCAGCTGATGTTTGATTCAGTAAAGAATTCAATCCAAGAGTACACGTGACATTTTCTTGGTGATATTTTGGAATATCTGAACATCTGTTCACTCCAACTGCGAACGAATTCGAACAAATGAATGCACGATCGTCCGTTGGAACGTAAAACGGATGAAAAGAGAAGGTTTCACTAAAAGATGACAGTTCTTTGTTTTGATTTATACTCAACAGTAGGGATACAACATACTCGATTGGATAATAATGACTAATAACTGAACTGTTCAATTGTAAGAAACATCGATTGCGTAAAACACCTTTCCAAAGCTGAACAGCGATAATACCGAATATGGCGAAGAGAAAGAAATATAATAGAAGAACATTACCAAGCATCGGCAAGGTATCTAATAAAAGCATAACAAGAATACGCATCGATGGAATGGTATTAATTGCGCGTAATGGACGAAGAACACGAACTGTACGAATCGATGATAAACTCAAATTATCACCTGGAAGTAATAATTCAATCCATCTGAAAATACGAACATTCAATGAACAAAATAAATAACAAAAGGAAACTCATTACCCTGTTATAACAATAAAACAATCTAAACGATTCCATGACTCTGCTAGATAGGAATCTTTGCCGATAAAACCCATCGCGACTATTCGAATAAACATTTCAAATGTAAAATATGCGAAGATACATTGATCCATAATACGAAGATAAAAACAAAGATTTGCAGAACATGTATTCGATGAATCAAGTCCAGCGTTTGATGGACATGGTTGGTACATGCCAAGTGTGATACAATTCAATAGAATAACAAATAAAGTAAACCGTTCGAACCACGGTGATGAAACAAGTTTCAAACATTGATACCGTGGAAATGTTGTTTGATTGAAACAACAAAAGGCTGTTTTACGTAAACCGGGAAAAGGTAAAGTGTCGGAATCGATTGAAACAGCCGAGATTCGATCAGTATTGAGAAAGTAATCAGATTCTCTTACACCGGGTGCTTCGTCAGAAAAACTAACTGACGTTTTCGGATGTTTTCTCTCTTTCATTGGAACGAGGTGGTTTTTTGTTTTCGACCAAGGTCTTCCCATTTTTAAACAATAGGTGTCATTTGTATAAGGTAAAGGTAACGAGCATCGATGATCGTCTACACAAATCGAAGAAAACTGTCAGAAGAAATTAATCGATTATCTTAATACGTACTAAGACGCTGAAATTCATCGGGTCGGTCTGCAATCCAAGGGGACGAACTGTACCGAATCATTCGCGGTAGATTCTGCGGTAATTCGTTTTCTCTTTCACGTGCTATGGTTTTGTACATTGAATACAGACGAGCCTGTGGAGCAAACGATGAGATTTGCGATTGATATTGTGCTTTAACAGATCCGTCTAATGTCCACAAAATACGAACGTTTCTCAGTAAACCACGTTCGGGTTGATCATGAGATTCGAGATATTCTAGTAATGGTTCAATTGAGAACGGGTCAATGAAAAGAACAGTAATCTGCTTGTTTTGAATGGTTTTGCAAAAACGAGCGAGATTAAAACTGTCTTCGGGCGGTAAAAGTACCAGTGTGCCCGAACGAATGACAATTAATGGAATTAAAATTTCAAATAAATGAATAATCCATGAAGACTCTACTACTTGAAAAACATTATCACCGAATCGCGACTCCCATTGAATGATATGCTGTAGATTTGCAACAAGAGATGCGTGTGTATGAATAATTCCTATTGATCTCTTGTTTACATCGGATGAAAACACTACGAAACTTGGATTGTCATTTTTAATACTCTCCGCTGAAAGAAAACGAACAAAATCATGCTGAAGAAGATTTCTTATCAAGCAACTTACGTTTCATCATGTTTAACTTGCTATTTTCGGTTAATAGAATACGTTCGATATTAATCATGAAAATATTTCTCTGTATCATCGTCGAAAATCGCCGATAAGTATTCTCATGAACGAGCACATATCGACTCGAAATCGATTCCGTCAATGTACGAATATGTGCAGACGAATCTGTTGGATTTAACGGACAATAAGCCCCGCCAGAGTACATAATCGCTAACAATCCGCAAACCATTTCTAAACTTCGATCAACATATTGATAAACGATTTCGCCTTTCTTTATTCGAAGATATTGAGCAAGACGAATAACGTTCGTTAACAATTCATCGTATGTCCATGTTTGTTCACTCAATTCGATCGCAATTTGATTTGGTGAAGCATGTGCAACTTCAAAAAACATGTCCAGAATGTTTTTCGAAGATGACATCATGAAAAAAGTCGACTGAGAAGCTATCAAATAACATAAATAAGAATAATTTTTCTTGTAGTTCGGAAAAAGAAGTACACCGTTATCGATTGATTCGAAAAAAGAAAAATTTTTATCAAACAGCCTCGGTTAATTGATTAATCACCTTTTCTCTCCATGTGGTTAAAAAAAGAAGACGAACGCAAATATTTAGACTCTTATTAACTGTCTGTAGTTCCCTAACGTAAAAATACTTCTCAAAGAAAATAGACAAACATCCGTCTAACTTATCTCGATATAAAGAAACATATTTATACGATAAGTACATTATACGAAATTTAGAGAGAAAATACGTGAATGATGGTTTGATTCATGAATATGTTAACACGAATGTCTGTAGATAAATGAGATACATGTGATCGATACAATAATTTACATATGATTTGCTTCAGTCAACGTTAGAATTAGGGACCGAACGAAACAAAACCGTAAACGTATATGAATAAATAAGTATGATATGTTTAAGGTTAATTTAAACAAACGTTATATGTCGTTCTGTTAATTCAAATTCAATGGATGACAAGGCTACTCAATATTTGAATGATTGAAGACAAAAGACGAAGTTATGTATTCGCTTTGTTTTTCGTAGAAAAAAAAACAACGATCAATTAGATGTGTCTATTCAAAGGAAGTTGTCGAAGAAAGTCACAATCGCAATTGTTTGAGAGAGAAAAACAATGTTTGATAATAACAAAAGACATGGATTGAGTTAGGCCGTGTTAGTTGGTGATGTTCCCTTTCGATCGAAATGAAACTGGGCGAAGGTACCTGACGAGTCGTATATGATTTAATTGCTTATAATTCGATTATTTCAATTGGTTTCATCATCTGAAAAATATTTCGAATTCACGCAGAAATCAACGACGTAAATATACTGTTCATCGTAGTTGATGAATACACATTCGTGTGTCGCGCCGTTTTTATTGTTAATGAATCATTACCAAGGAGAAATCTCATTTCATAGGAGCGATTTGATCTAAATAAATTAAAATTTTCTTCAAATTCTTGATTTTACTTTACAATATGAACAATATCAAATAACAAATCGAAACATTTTTCCATGTCAATCGATTAGATGACATTTGAGAAGCATTTTTCAAGGGGTATGACGTAGCAAAAATCTTTAACGAAAATGAAGAAAAAATACCGATAAATGAGGTAACTGCACATTCACCGTGAGTGAGAGGAAAAGAGAAAGTAAAAATAGGTGAAGAACGCGTTTTTTCCTTATGGCGTATAACTTCACTGTTTTTAGTTTTCGTAATCGTCATACGATATAAAAGACACGCAATATTTTACCTCGATTGGATATATCGCTTATTAAACAAAATACATTGCGATGTACATATTATATTGGTTTATTTTTCCTTACAAAAAGAATCGTAAATGACCGATCTTATACGAGTATAGTTTTACTGATGAAACTATCCATGTTTATATCATATAAAAATAAAGTTTGTCGTGAGATTTGGTAACAGCCATTGTACCATATATTCGAAATAAAGTTCACGAGAAGAAGATGAAACAAGAACGTACACTCTTTGATAAGATCATTTGATCATATAGTTACACTTTCCGGAACAATAGTTGATTTAAATGTATGTAAACATTCATAAACAACGACAATTATAGTCTTTGTTATTCTATGATCACTTGTTTGATGGCGAACACTAATTGTAGTTTTGTTGTTTTCGTATTCTCTTCATTGTATCTTATTTTCGTCACTTCTCTCTTCTTGTCAGATTTCACTGTCTGCGCGTACAATCGATCATCATACATATAGTTTTCTACTCGTTTGAGATGGTTTTAGGACTGAATATAACCGATTCCAAAGTATTCGAATGTTTCATGGAAACAATTTTTGTGAATGAGCCTCGTTACCAAATTCCTTCAATCAGATTCCTGAGATTATCAAATTACGAAACACATAGTCACTGTTAGAAACGATCGTAGTACAATGTATAAAAACTACCCGCAGAATTGACTCGTAGTTTTTGAAAATAGTTATGGTGAGATCAAATTACAGTAGCTTCTGAGTGATTGTTAACACTGTAGAAAAAAAAAATTCAATATGTTTGCCGCAACAACTGATAGTTATCTCAGAGTTGCACATATTGACTTAACTAAAGAGATTGAATGAGTGGCAATTGAAATGACATACAATCTGAAGTGTTCTACTTTTGCTTGAATGAAATGTAAGTTTATTATCACAGGTGATCTTTATTTTCAGAAAATTGATTCATTTTGGTAAAAAAATGAGATAAAAAAGTCATTCTTTCACATTGTTAAGAGATTCCTTTTGAATGAAAACTGCCTAAAATTATCACAATGATTATCATTTGTCTTTACGTTGTTTAACCCGTTTATCTCTTGTTTTATATTCCTGAACATAAAAATTCCGGAACAACAATAACATTATAACCATGTAACCACCGAGCATCAATTGACCCCTAAAATAAACATTCAAACCTCCGAATTCAATTGAAAACTCTCTTTCTCTCTCTACCACAATGGATAATCGCATCCATAAATAATTCCTCCAAATGTATGAGTTAAAACAATGACAAATTGTGTCTAAATACGCAAATAGTTTCAAAGAAAATCGTTGTTTTTATCTTACAAGTTGCAACATTGTTATGTATCGTTTCCACCAAAGTTTATCGCGTAATGATGGAAAAACTGACAAACCGTAATACGAATACATAAAAACATGAACGATTGAATTTAAAAACGGTCCCATCCACGCTTGTCCACCCTAAGAAAAGCATTTGGTATTATTATTAAGAACAATCGGAATGGAAGATCTTACCGGTACCCATGTTAAAACAATCCACCAGAGAAAAAACATAGTTGAATGATGGAAAACATGTAGAAATGTAATTTGGTTGAAGCGCTTTCGAATAATCATGAATATCGTATCCAAAAACTCGATTAATTTCGAAAAATAATAATACCATAGAGCATTCGCTACTCGCATTTCATTTTTATCATTCGTCACAATCATTCTCTGACAAATTACATTATATCGACTACGATAAACACCCAAAAAAATCTAATGGAAAAAACAACAACAACAACAACAAAATCTATTTCATACGTAATCTTCTTTACCTCGGTCACCATATATCCTGACAAAACAACGAGAGCCATATTGTAGAGAAAGAGTATCATAGCCGGAACACGAACTTCTGCCCGATTTTTCATATATTTTGGACCGAAATAGACAATCAGGAGATAAATAAACGTCAGGAAAAGTGTTGGAATTGGATCAGCCCATAATAAAAACCAATCTTTCGTCCGATAGTCAGCTTGTTTCAACGCGTATCGATAGAAATCGACATGTTCCATAAGCCAATCATTCAACCAAGTCATTCTCTATCTAAAATATATTTAAAAAAATTATTATACGAAATTTCATATAAAAATTTCCAATAAAAAGATGTATTTTAATGAACATAAGAATGAATATGTTGAAGTATCGAATTGGGTAATGTGAAGGCTTGATCGAGTGATATTCCGCTAAACATAGAACAAAACTAAAATTGGATTTCCAATCGAAAGGAAAAAAATTCACCTCAATTGGAGGTCACTTTCGTTCATAAATGTGACAATATCATCATACAACATTAAACAAATTTTCGATTTTTGCGGCTTTACATGAGTATTATCAATGAGATACGATTGAATATATTCATCAGGAATGTACTAAATGATGAAAATCAAACGAACTTTTGTTGTTGTTATTGTTGAGAACTTGACTTTTCTTACGGTGAATAAATGAGAAAATTTCGTTTGAAATTGTTTTGATATTTCTTGATCACTATTGGCAATATTAGCACATTTACCGGGAATGATATAACTAATCACAAATTTCGTTTGATCATTGACTGATATTGAACAAAATTCACAACGAGTACCATCGATATCATCATGTTTTCTCCTAGGAGAGAAAAAAGAAAAGAATTTCTCTGACCTTGGAACATTTTTTTCTCATTAAAACTTGCTTGGAAACACTGCTGATTGGTTTATTTGAAGAGGAAGTGCGTGTTGCATTATAATTCGCCATTGTCGATGAACTGGTTGAATATGTTGCAAGAGTCTAAAAACAAAATATATACAAGTTGACTCAACAACGACAAGCCCGCGTGGCCTAATGGATTAAGGCATCGGACTCCTACGTTTATTTTGAACAGAGCCATCCGAAGAGTCCGGGTTCGAGTCCCGGCGCGGGTGTCCACACATTTTGTTCTTTTCTGTTCTTTTTTTTTCCTGTTCTACTCAGTAACTAACAACATGAATCGAAAAAAGGACGTCCTTTACTAAAACCTCGATCGCATCATCAGTATTAATCATTTTCTAATTATAACAAAAGCTTGATTACCTGAGCAACCATTTCACATAAACTCGTTCGAATAATCTCATCGGATGTGTCTGAAGCATTGATTCGATCGAAATAGTTCTAAACAACATTGAGTTGTCATTGTTTTTTTTTTATTTCCAATTCAATATTTACCGTTTTGTATTTATCAAGTAATGCTTCAATTTCATTTTTCAATGATTTGGAGATAATTAAACAAATACAATCAATCCATTGTTGATCAGGTACATTTCCTGTTTGCCGTTGTCTAAAATTACGAAACTCAATCAGAAAAAAAGCATTTGTATTTTCTTGCGAAATTTACTTCAATTGATTCGAGATCTTCAAACTTTGTGACCTCCGTGAAGGCGTCACTAATAATGATGAAGAAGAGTCCTGTAAGCGTTGAAAAATTTGAGGGCGTTGGCACGTTGGAAGAGTCTACAACACATTGCAATACTCAGGAGAAAAGGCCTGGAGAAAGCGAATTACATATGATATCGACTGGTGCGAACACGGGAAAGATGAGCAAGAGTAATCGTTGATTGAAGAGTTTTGTTCGGATGTATTGTGTTCATTGGGAATCGAAGGTAAATTTAAAGGCGGAGGAAATTTTCTGGATCGAACGGATGAAGTTGACTTGATCAATTTTTTATTGCTCATTTCCGTTGACTACGGTGAATGAAAAAAAAAGAACAAGAAGAAAAAAAAAGACCCTAACTGATAGGTTTCATGAGTCATCACACTTCTCTCGCTGCTATAGATGTCAGTAGAAAGATTTTTCGAAAAATTACAACCGAATTCGAACAATGAATAACTTCCCGATCGATTTTTTCGAATTTTGTTCAAAAATATTCGGAACTTATCAGTGAAAACGTCCGACCAATAGACGTTCGAGTGTGAACAACGGATTACATTCGATAACAAAAATAACATAAAACCAGTCATAATGGACAACTACGTGAAAATTGCCAATGAATATCAACGAAAATTCTTCGGGAATATTCCACATCGGCTGATATTCGCGAATTTGATATGCGGTTTGGTGTCTTTATTGATGTCAATCAGTGGTTTTTATCGATTTTCTTCACTATTTATTCTTCTTGCTGGTGTTTGTTCTTATCTCAACGGAAAATCATATCGACAACAACATCCGAAACCGGAAACGACAAATCAATTCGAATCTTTTGCTGACATGACTTCATTCGCAGTTGCACCGGTCATTCTCGTTCATTCGTTAAAGAACTGGTCGTTTCTACTGATTGTCGCTTTTATCAGCTTTCCGTAATGACAAAAATGAGTTTTTTCAGATAAAAGTCAAGTTGTCTCTCGTTTTTAGATTTGCTGGTGCATACAGAATAGTCAAACTCAATCCGAAATCAACGAACGACTACGTTCTCGGACTTCCATTGCCAGCTGCTGGTATTGTTGTTGCGCTACTCGCGTTTTTTTCGTTAGTATCACCGATCATTATGATCATTCTTTCATTGCTCATGAGCACTTCATTAGAAATTCCTAAACCGTGAAACTCAATTCCTTCAGTTTTTTGTCTTTCAACGAAAAATAAATCAGAAGCTATTTAGATATATTTTATACGCAAATTTTTTTTTTCAACTAAAAAAATGTGTCTACATAATGCGTAATAAAGAAAAAAGAAGAATTAAAATAGATATATACATATATAGAAAACAAAGAGCGAGAACAGGTTGATTTTTTTTTTAAATTTATAAATGTCTAACTATCTGTTTGAGTTTAGTTCGTTAGATGTAGCATATACCACGTCGGCAAGCTTCACACCATCGACGCTGGTGCGGTTTCATCATTTTTCCTTTTCGTTGCATCGGGTCATGACGACGTAGATAAGCTTGCTTCGCGTCGATTTGCACTGCTTTTTTAGGCTCGGATTCGATCTGATAGAGCATATCAGGGAAGAACAGTTCAAAAATACATTGGGCTAAGTTTTTCATCACTCGGCAGACCTCGTCTAGAAAGCAAAAGTGATTATTTTCCCAAATAATTCATTAAAACGAGAACACTTACCGACATACCAAACAGCTTCGACGTATGTTCCACATTGTTCGCAATCTTGTCCTAAGATTTCCAAGACAACAAAACCGGGATTCGACGCGTAGATTGTAAATAAGATTCTTGCACGCATTGATGTCCAAGCGTGTTGACATCGACGTTCTGTACATTTGAATTGTGCCTTTGCATTGTCAAGTTTGCCGTAAGTTCGACCTTGACGATTCGAGAAGAAATCGCCAGGAAGTTCACTTTTGGCGAAGAGATAATATCGAACTTTTTTGTCGAGAGACAATGGGATTGAAATACGACGAGCGAACTCGGCATGAAATGCTTCAGTTGTATCTTGACAGAAATCTTTTTTGATTTCGTCAGGAATTGTTTTAACCAGATTAACTAGAAAAGAAAAAAAGAAAGTGTGTTGTAGTGAAATGCTATTGTTCGTTTTGCTGATGTCATCATGAGTCAGCAAAAAAGAAGTATTGCTCAACTTACGATCATTTTTTATGTCCAGAAGTTTTGATTTTTCGTCGCTTTCATTTTCTGAATATCCTTCGTCCGCATTGCAGGTGGCTACGCATCCGGATGGTTCATCTTCATCAGTGTTTATTGCTGAGAAGCACTTTTGTTCCAACTGTTGTTCAATTTCTTCGGTGCCAGAATCGTAATCAGTTGTTCGACGTTCACGTTCAGCGAAGAAAACTTCCTTTTGCTCATGAAAGTCCAGTATAACTTCCAATGGGCCTCGTTGATCTTCCGCTGACGAACTTCGACGAGGTTTTTCATGTTTCTGGACTTTTTCCATATTTGAATTCGTTGCCGTTTCGCTATGTTGACGACTTAGTCGTGATATAGAGCCAGTCATATTGATTTCAGATGGCAATAATGCGCCAATGAGGGTGTGTATGTGTGTTTAGTTGAAATCTAAAAATGAGCAGTACAATTAGGATGCGTTCGCTTTTATATGGAGAAAAAGAATGATGAGTAATTCCTTCTGCTGGGTATTATAGCTACGTGGAGAAATTACAATAAGAAGAGGAAAAAAGAGAAGAAACAGAAGGAAAAAACCAAGTACAGAGCGAGATATTCACGTGAATCCGCAGCGTGAACGATTTGTTTCTTTTAAATAGAAATGTTACTGCACAAAACCAACAGCGGACTTTTCAGACAATGTTTACAATGAATATTTTCATCTTGAGAGGAGGTTAATTATCTGATTAAATGATATTCTTCTTATAAAGGAGTCATTAATTTCGTTTTGGTGTTGTAATTTTCTCAATGACGTGGACGAATGGTGTAATAACATCGACTAGTCGCATAACTTTCTCCTACTTTAGTGTTCGTCAGATTATGAAATAAATGTCTGTGTTTAACATCGTATTTATATCTCGAGGAAGAAGAGAAAGAGCAAGACGTATAGTAAATCATAATGTTTTGTTTTCTTTCGTGTTCTGCACTGGGAAAAATCTTTTGTATCATTGAGTGAGTCATTTGGATGTTTCCAGAATGATGCAATAACGCGCTGTGTATTGCTCTTTGGTTTTTTTTCTTCATGTCTCAATTCGGTTGAGTCGTGTACTTTCGTCAGTGATAGAAAATTTTGATAAAATTACGAAATAGTGCCGAGAGCTTGCGGTTGAATTATGTTTTTTTTCTTCTGTTCTTTCGCAGAAAGCACGAGCGTCTTGTTGCTTCATGGCCACGTCGCAGCATAACAGATGATGATTCGTCTGATGAGTCATTGCGGAAAAAGCCAACACGAGAAAATATTCGTTTATTCACAACAAAATTTGTCTAAATGGCAACAAAAAGAAACAATTATTTGACTGAAAACTATCCTCTGCGCTTATGTTCCCAATTCGATCCAAAACATGATCCAGCTCGACATGCTAAACATAAATTTTTCTGATGAAAATTCGTCATATGACTTGCACGTTGTTCGTTTAACATTGATTCTACGTCTTCGTCCGAAGAAGAATCTGGCGATGAAAACTGTCCATTGGAATAGAAATTGTCTTTCAATATTCGACAGATATTTCGCATGACACGTGTTGTTTCATCAAGATACCAACATGGCTGAATTTCTTGAAGACATTCTCGACATTTTTGTGTAAATAAATACGTGAATAAGACATTCACCTTGTTCCTTTGTGGTCTCTCCGCGTGAAAAACTGCTCGTCCACGTGCCGTTGTCCATTCGCGAGAACAATTCCGACAACAATATTTGATCTTGGCATTGTGCACGATTTTCAGTATATCATGTGGAAACCAAAATAATTTAAACGGACCGTTTGTGCTGAGATCTACGTCACGAAAAAACATTGGCGGAAGTAAATCATAATCAGTGAAACCAAGTGACCATTGTTCACGCGATGATTGAGAGAAATACTGGTTCAGATTAATTTCTAATTCTGCATGAAATACGTAAAAAAAATTTGGACAAAAAAAACTTTTATCTATCGATCGAATTCGACGAGCACTGGCGATGCATTTCTGATACTCTTCAATATGAAAAATATATATCGCCTTTTTCCTTATTAGATAAAAGATTCACTTACCAGTGTCATTTGTAATTGGATTGATGTTCATTGGAAATCAATTATAAGAAAAGATCTGTTTCGAAATGAAATAAATTTGACGGAACAATGAGAAGTAAGTATATTATGTCGGGAATAACCCATAAATAGCTGTCTATTACGTTTCTTCTCTTTTTTTTGCGTAATGCAATGACGTAAAATTATAGGAAAGAGAAAGGTGGGTGAAAAGACAAAGCAGGTTTATTCCAATTGTACTATCTTCAGTGTGTGAGTATGTATTTTACGTAAAATAGTTGTTGTTCGCAATGGACCGCGATAAATATCAATTATTCGACTCATTCGATGTTTTTCGTACCGAAAAAGGAAGTGCACATAAAAATCATGAAAATCGATGTTCTACTTTGATTATTTCGTCTTCACATATATGAAAATAACGATATTTACATGACAGAATATTACAAGGTCAAATCTCGACTTTTATTACTCAAATAGCTCATTCTTACGTTAAAATCTATGATAAGAAGTTCATTAAATACGACCGTGGTGAGAAATATGGATTTTACCGATGAGTCAACCGCCATGTTTGTTCTGATACATAAAATAAACGAAATCAAATTCCCGAAATGTGCCGTAAGATATTCGAAAGACTTTGAAACACGATGCTTTGCTTGTACATTTCATTCGCGCGCAATTTATTGATTCGATGCTCGTTTAGTGATCGTATATCGAGTAAAACATACGAGAAATAAAACAATAGTTAGAAAAACAATGACTAGAAAATAGGTGATCACAATCGATGCAAATGAACAATAAACAACTGTTTTATGACACCAAATATCTGGATTATGTAAAGCTTGTTCGAAATGTGGAGGATATCCAAGTGTGATGAGCCAATATTGTCCACAAAAGAACCAAATGATCAGAAAAGATGTCATCAAAACATCGATAAAAACTTGTCCGTCATTCGGATCAGATGAGGATTCTTCTTCTTCTTCGGTTAAACTTTTCTGTTGTAATCGGTACTTATGCCAGATATTCTGAAGAAGTTTCGTGATCCAAACAGCTCCGGCAACGAAGAGATAGATGGGTAATTTACTTTGACGTGGACAATCGCTTAGATGACTGACACCTACAAGACAAACAATCGATTTCGAAAGAAAAATGCAAGAATTCTACCGGTTCCGAGCATAATTATTGGGAGAATAAGAAAAAGACAAAGAAAAATTGTTGCTTCTTCTGAAAGAAGATTTATCGAATGTTGAAAGAATTTTTCAAAGAAATTCTCACTTGTTTTCATCAATACTAAAACAGTTTTCTTGACAAATTCAAGTAGAGATTCTGATTCCGCATATTCTTCCATTAAACGTGAACGTAAACTCCAATAAAGCGGAGTTTCTTTCTGATAATCCAAACTCCATCGTCTTTCAGTCTTTAACAAAGAAAACTTTCAATCTTGATTCCAATTCGTTTGTTTTACCTTTTTACTTGACGATGATCTCCTATTCAAATCCCAATAAAACATGGAAAACAGCGATTGTCTATCTGCAACACTCTCCACTCTTGTCGACGATGTCCGACTATATTTACTTGCATTCGAAAATTGTAAAGTCATGTCCGACGGCATCGATGATATCGTTCGCGTACTCGAATACGATGAATAATATGAATTCGGTGCTAATAATGACGTTCGATTTGATAATGGATATAGAGACGATGGTCGACATAGTGTATTTCGTCGATGTGAGAACGATGTTGCTCGTCGTTGTAATTCGATTTGCGAACAAACGATACTTTCGAATGTGATCGAATTTTTGCTTTGATGTGCTGACATTGTTCTCAAATGTTGTGAATGTGGCATTGTGCCACGACGGGCCGCCTAAGGAAAAAGAAAATGTTGAATAAAATATAAAAACGTGATCTTGTCTTTCAAGTAGATTCTCGTATTTCATGAGGAAAGTAACAAATAACTAATGAACGCTTTATATTTCAATTACAACTTGTTTTTTCTTTCTCCTTACCGCTGTAAACATTTCTTCGATGTTCTTGTTAAAGAAGATCTTCGTAGTAAGCTCAGGAGGAAATCATGTCTGAAGTGAAAAATCAACGATGAGATGGCGAAGTAGTCGTTGTCGTTCTCTTTTGACTCATATCAATTCCATTTTCTTCATTTGACATTTGATCGTGCCATTATCTTCAGATTTTCTATGGAGGAAAAAAAGTGTCATCGAAGTTATTTATATCGATGCGTGATGCCGATGGAAATTCGATTGTCTTTCAAGCATGTTTTGTTGAATTTCCATTGTTTAGATTTGACCTTGTAAGGTGAGAAGAGGAAATCTCTTATCAGTTGATTTATAATCTCCGAACTTTTTTTTCTTTAGCCGTTGTTTGTAAAAGAAAAACAAGAAATTGATGCATCTCGCATGGTCAACGAGTCTATTCATATGTTTTGTGCTAAGTGAGTGAAGAATCTTTTCTCATGAGATCTCCAAAAAGATAATTCTAGGTCTTTTCGTCACAATCAACGCGGATTTGGAGTATGCGGAAAATTATATTGATGAGACGACACGTACAACTGACCAATCCAAAACACGGAAACCGTTGTATCACGATGATCCGGGTTATAATCACGATCATGATATCTACAGTGATGAATCGAATGAGGACGGTGAAGACTTTCTACAGACTGCTGTTTCAACTAGTACAACAACAACAACAACAACAACAACAAAAAGCACTACAACTGAACGTGAAATAACAGAAGTTTATGTAACATCGTCAACGGTAGATTTCGCAGGACTAATATCCGCTCTACAATCAGTAACAAGAGATCCGAAAGAGATCGACGCATATCTCAGAAGAACAAGTAAATATCTTCTGTTCGAATTGTAACATGTACTTTGATCTTTTTATTTCATAAAGATCGAGAACGATTGATGCTGAAAGTCTTTGCAATCGTAATGATAACCGCAATGATCAGTTTAACCATCATTTTACTAACACTTTTTTGTATTCGAAAGAAACGTCGTTATGATGGTTACGGTCTTCCACAAAATCAACCTTCATCAAAAGCATAAATGATTTTCATTCACATGATTTTCTATTGATTTCTATAAAATATCATTTTCCCTGTTTGAAAAAGGAATAAACGAGATCACATTTCACAGAATGAAGAATATTCTCATTAGTAATTAAATTCTATTATCAAACGGAAACTAAACCGGATATTAATTCTCTTCGCTCAAAAGACGCGCGTTTTTGTTTATTCTTTTACAGCGAGAGAGAGAAAGTCAATATCTGTTTTGATGAATCCCGAACCAGGAGAGTATCGAGACTTTCCTGAACCAAATATCGTCGTTAATGACGAACTCGCACATCCATTTGATTCACCGAACCATGCACAAACCATCAATCGACCGTTGAACGATCTTCCTGAAATCGAAGATTCAAGATTTTATTCGGATATTCCGATCGATAATTCAATTTCAGCTGAAAACCAGTCCGCCGATCTCACCGCAGTGAAAAGCTCCAAACTAAACGAACAGTTCGATGATTTTCAAGAGATTTCATCCGATCAGGAAGATCAGTTCTTAACGAAAACAAAACAAATGAATTTCGACGAGAAATTTCGATATTTACAGAAAGAATTTGAAAACACTCAAAAGATCACCACTCTATTCCAAAAGTAGATATTCAATGAGGTAAAAAGGGGTATTTTCTCATTTCGCTTTAGTCAACTAATTGATGTGAAAAATCTCAGAGACAAATTGAGCTTCTTCTGCTCGGAATGTCGATCGGAGATCGTCTCGACATTGAATATTCAACAAAATACCGAGAATTTAACCGAATCGCAGTTCGAAATGTTGACTTCGTATGCTCCGGAATCGATGTTCGTTTCATCGATCGTAGCGAAAAGATTACTCAATCAAAAATCGAATGAAAACCTTGCGAATGACTATGAAATTCGGGTGAATTACGCTCGATCGATAATGAAGATTTACAGAGCAACGAAAAAGTTACAGATTCGGTTATCAGCATTGAATGATCTTCTAGTCAAATCTGTCCTTTCGAAAAATGAACGTTTTCATGAAATTGAGCAATTTACTCTTCTTCCGAAGAAGTTCTTTGAAAGTGTTGACGATGTTTATCAATATGAAACGACCAAAGAGAAGGTTTTTATTCGTTGTATTGACAAACAGATCAAAGAAAACGAAGTGGAGATATTTTGTATTGATCATTGGAAACATCCTTTGGCACAAATCAGTTACAATTTATCTGAAAAGTACTCATTTATATTCGATATTCATTTTAAACGAGTTATTACATCTTATGATCAATTAACTATCGCCATTCCGTGTTTTTCACTATCTTCAACATCGAATCATCGACAAATGTTTATTCGCTTGAGTAAGACGAAGCACTTTCAATCGAAAAGAAAGGTTTCTTCACTTTTCAGAACGTTCTATGGATCCATTGATTCACATTCCCGCAAGAGTCGAACTGTATAATGAAATTCCTTATGCAATCTTTCGTCTGACACATTCCCTAAGTGACATCTCAGTCGAAGCAATTTTCTATTATCCATTCGAAATCTTAAAAGAATCTCAGAATGGTAAGAAGAACTCCAAACCTCATTCCTTCGCTCATCGACTGAAAATAGCGATTGTGATTTTGCATTTGTCGAAGAGAAAGATCATATACATGTTTTCTATTTCAACAAGAAAAGAAACTCTCTCAGATCCGCTTTGCTGTCTTACCTGTCTCACTCTTTCGATCTCTGTGATCGTCGGTCGGAAAACTCTGAATGTTGATGGAATTCTTTCAGGTTCAAATTGCGATTATACCTGTGATCATTCATCTGTATTTCGAATTGTAACACCGAAAAACTATTTCATTCGTTCACCTCGCGTTCGTTTCATCCCATTGAATCATGATCTTATCCAATGTATTCACAGTAAACGAATGCTGCCTTTCGCCTCCAAAGAGACTTTTCAGTTTAAAAAGGTTTGAAAAACGAGGATCAATTATTATCGTCATCAGATCTGATCGAAATCCAATGGTTTAAAGAAAACAAAATTGAAGGATTTGTCACCATAACTCTTCAGTTGACTCGACATTTCAATCGGGTTAACCAGGCCAATGAAGATTTGCGCAAACGACGTCGAAAAGGACAAAGTAATACAAAAATCTGCAAACAGACTTTCTATCCTTTGTACTTTCTTAGGAAAGATCCTTTTCCAACGTCAAAAGTTCGAGCAAGATAAATACGATGAAACCGGCAGTACTTTGAGCATAACACCAACACCAACGAACCTTTCGACTCCATTGAACGTCATTTCACATTTACCAACGTTATCTTCCATTCTCGAACGAACTCAGAATGATCAGTCTGAAGAGATAACACGGAAAAAACTGAATTTCAACCGGGAAAATAACTCGCATACGATATTCAAGTGGAAGCTGGATAGTTTTCAAATTCAAAATGCTCCTATAATTTTACTCGGATATAAAAACCGAAAATGGAAAAATTGTAACCATTTAGTGAAAATTTCGACAACTGATGACAAAGATACGTTCGTGATCCATTCCGTAGGAATTTTTCAACTCTTTTCCAAGAGAATAAACGTCGTTTTTAGGCAATTTTATTCGATCGGATGATTCTCATTCGTTGTTGGCCGGAATCGACCAGCGAAGGAAAATTCGACAAATTAGCAGAAAATCTTTGGTCCATGTCATCAATGAAACTGTTTTCTTGTGTTCTCGCACGAGATCCAACAAGTTTAACACGCTACGGACTTGTTATCATACCGATTGAAAAACAACATCTCGCCGAAGATCTTCTTCGACAACGAAACTATACGGAATGGATATTTAATGAACAATCCATCGAAGAAAACGTCAGTCAGACAAGAATTCATCAATATCAATCGCAGCACACTTTATCATTCAATGAATCAGTGAAGAGCATTTCAAAATATGTACAATTTTGTCTGCAGGAAGGAACTTATGTAACGATTTTTCCAACCGGAAATATTGATTTACACGAAAAAGGTTGAACACTTCCCATTAAACTTTGACGTTTCACTTTTATGTCTTCACAGTTGAACTTAATCTTCGACTACACGCTCAATATCCAATTCTTCTCGAATTCGACATTTATCCAATTGATATTTATCGTCAGAAGACCGACGAAGACTTCATTGGTACCTTAGATATCTACGAAATCAATGAACATGCGACGGCATTGAAATCAAGCAGTAGTACATTAGTAATTCTTAGAGAAAAATCTTCGAAAATAAGTGATTTTTTCAGGCTGCTGCTGCTGCCGCTGTTTCATCTCGAACATCGTCTGGTTTTGAGATCAGTGAAAATTTGCCAGAGAATGCATCGCCTCGTCCATCGACAACTGGACGTGAGACGCTAAGTGATAATCGATCTGTGACTTTCGAACGGTTGACACTGCGTGATCTGAAAGAAACCAGTCTGATCTGTAAAATTTCAATTCGTCTTCCCAAACACGCTTTCCGTTCACCATCAACACAACTAAATACAATTCCAATAGAAATTCCACAATTTTTTCACGTAAATCAAAGCAAATCTCCTCGATTCTCCGTTCAAACCCTCTTTTTATCTTCAGGAAGTCATTCAATCCCTAACCGAAGGTAAACAGGAGTTCGCTCAAGCATTGAACATCCATCCATCGTTAATCAACTCCCTTCTAACAACATCAATACCTTCTCAGCAACGAACCCAATCGAATACATCTCTTCGCGGCCAATCGCGAACGAATTTATTCCTCGAGTCTTTACCAAAGAGTACAATCGAAAGTGAAGCGTTAATTAAATGGTTCAAACGACAAAATGCCTTTCAACTGACTGAAATTCTCGAGAAAATCATTTCTGCATTGATCCAAATCGGTCGAATTGATTTAGCTTACACGTTTAAGATTACAAATCTAAAAAATAAATGCTCGTAAAACACGTTAAACATACATTGACATAGATGTCTCCTTCTCTCGATGAATTTTTCTTTTTTCTTTCATATTGATTCAAATAGCTAAGCAACGGCAAGTAGAGAACATTGAAATAAATGACGTGACATTTATTGCAAATCAATTCAGAGAGAAAAAGCGATGTCGAATCTACCGCCATGGCTTATTGAAAGCCGTGAAAATGTTTTGAAAACAAAGGTGAAGTTCGTTTGATGTTTTTCGAATATATAAAATGAACTTTTGCTCTTTCAATAGGAATGGGACGCATTAACACATAATATCTACGATGCAGTTGATCAACACTTAGCACAAAGTCATGTTCAATACTTTACAGATCTGTCTGATGCAGAAAAAAGTCTCGTTCTCGAACGCGCGGCACGAAGTTTAAGAGCAACAACAAATGGAGGACGTAAGTTTTTCTTTCTCCAATTCACATCGACTATTTGTTGGTTATTTAGCAACTCCGTACGATAATTTAAATAAGCGCGTATCAGACTGTCTGGACAAAGGTGTTAATAACGATGTTTCTCGTTCGTTAATAAAGGACGATCCAACGGAGACGAAAAGTGACCTAATTTTGGACAAAGTTTGCGATGGAATTGTTGGTTTGCTACGAAAATGGCCTGATCAAAAATATAAACTACACGCATTTCTAAATCAACCGTTACCTCAACCGATACGTTTTGTTGGCTGGCATCTTTATTTGAACAATCCGACTTGTAAAATTCCATACCTGGAAAGTTTTCTGTTTTTCGCATTTCGTTCGTTTCAGATCGACAAAGATTCACCAATGATTTAACAAACAATTCGCGAAGTGTTTTATCGCCATTAGATGCTGATATTCAACGTAATTGTGACAGTCTTGTTCCAACATTACCATCAGCGAATGATATGGTCGATTCAAAAGGTACAAGCTCTCCGAATTTCACGAAGATTTCTTCGTTTTTCTTTAGGGAACATGAGTGCAATGAAGGCAATACTGTCGTATCATCATTCGATGCTTTCCAATAACCGAGATTTAAGCGATTCGGAGTACTATTATGCTGTTCCGATCGTTCTCTCGCACAATCCACCTTTATCCCGGTAAAAAGTTCTCTTAGAAAACGCAACTTGAGTGATGTGTTTTTTTTATGTCGTTGATTAGAACGGAGAAACCTTATGAAAAATCTCTTGGAGTTTTGATTGAAATGTATCGAACATTCCTGGATACGATGCCACCTACACTCCGTGATGTTTATTTGAATGTAATCAAATTGATTTATGTAAATCGAAAAACGAACTTTTTCCTATTAGAATTCAACCCAAGAACTTGATCCTTGGTTTGTTAAAGTTGAGTATTATTTGAAAGAGATCGATCGACCACTGTACAATCATATTCGAAGTACTGTCAATTCATCAGGTTCGATCCTTTGTATAGTTTCAACATTATGAATTCTTTGGCATTCTTCAAGATGCACACACATCCGCATCCGTTGATCAATATGTTCTATCTTTTATCCGAAAATGTTGTTATCCTTGGTTTAAATACATGTTTGTCGGTAAGTTTTGTTCAATTCGGAAGAATCATTGACGAGTTTGCTATTCTCAGGGTGTCTTTCGGCGGATCCGTTGATGTATGTATGGGATCAATACTTAATCACAAGTGACGTGCCGAAATTTCATGATGAGTTGATTCCTGCAATAGCAGCAGCAATGATAGTGACACTGCGGGACTTTCTATTGAAATGTCGATCGGTTTGTTTAGTTTGAATATGATTGAAGTATTGTTGTAAGATGATTTGTTTCAGCCATCGGATATGGAAGCAGTTTTGCAAAGACGAACGAATATAATTATAACACGACAATTACAATCAGTCGTGGTGAGATTTTTCTTGACAGATTTTAAGAATCGCATTGCGAAATCACATTTTGGACCAGTGATTGATCCAACGGAAGGTTAGAATGGAGATGACGCGAGGAATTTTGAGATTGATTGGTATGTTTTCTAGGACGTCAATGGACAGGTTTCAATCGTGATCATGTTCCACAAGTGGCCAATCGACCTGAACAACGATTCAACGATCGAGAGAGAAATGAACAGTAAAAGATTGGTTGCCAATTTTGGATTGTTTATTTTTGTTTTCATTGTAGAACGCTTCAACTGGAAAAACGATTACGAGAAGTACGAAGAAGTTCATCTAGTCGTTTGCGAATTCTTTATTTTAAATAGGAAATGGCTAAGCGTGAAGAAAACGAACGCTTGTTGCAATCAAAAATCGAGCAGCTGCAACGTGATATGGAACGTATGAGACAAAATCCAGTAATGATAACAACGGCTCAACCCGTCATTACCACAATACCTCCTCGAGCACAAACTCCTGTCGAACGTTACGTTGTTACCGAAACTCGACCGAAAGTAATGCATTTCGTATTGCTTCATCTAAAAATCTCTTCCTTTAGCCTGTTACACCTCCACCGGCACTAAAAGACACTTCTCACCGGGCACCATTGAACAGTCCCGTTCATGATTTACTTCGTCGAATCGCTCAGACATGCAATCGAGGTATGTATTTCTCTCTGGGAAAGAAAATTTCTTTGAGATGAACATAATTTCTCATTAGTGGCACATGGTGAAGGAAGAAACAGTCAGGTTTTGAATGAACAGACTAAAAATGATATTCGCGTTCATAAACTTGATTTGAAAATGGCCGAACGACAAGTTATTGGTCGAACATTACAAGTCGACGAATGGGAACATCTTCCCGCTACACAAAAGGAAGTCTACAGTCAACAAATGCTCGAAGCTGTCAAAGCGCGAATACAAAAGCGATATACCGCAGGACGAAAAGGCTAATTTTCTCTTTTCAGACTTTCATATAATAAATCATTTGGTACGCTTTGAAATTTTATTTGAATAACGAAGATTCATGATGAAGAACAAAACGAAATAAATGTACAATATACCTCAGAGAAAAAGTTCACAAGAAGAAAACTCGCGTTTAACTACCGCTATCATAACCGGTGACGATAATTGATGGAGAACCAAAAGCTAATCCATTTTCTCGTCGAAGAAAATTACTTGTTTGAGAAGAGATCGATTGATCTTCACATTTGTACTTCTCTTGATCAGTTAAATGTGTTGAAGGATATTCAGAATGAAAATCCGATTGAATAAAACTATGTGGACGTTGTTTGATAAACGTTGTTCGAGTTTGTTGTTTCGTCCGTTGATGATTGGTTTCGTCGAATGTTTGTTGTCGAATGGGCGCACGTTGATGATTATCTTGTTTAAGAAATTCGTTGATAATCCGATCAGTTTTCTCATCGATTGTATTATCATTTAACAGTAACATGGAGTTGTTTGACGAAGGTGAACCTAAACTGGAGGTTGTGGGGTCGCGAACTAAGCTAAATTTTAAACGGGGCTTTGTTCCACTGGTCGCTGTAATAATCGGGACGACCGGCGAAGATGGTGAGGGAGAGTTTATTGGAACTGTTGGATAGTCGAATGATATTGAACCACGTTTCGAACGAAACGATTCTGTAGGAGAACTTACGCTAACAGATGGAGATTTTTGGAACAAATGACGTGGATTCGGCGTGATATTTGTTCGTATAGGGATAGAATGGGATGAAACGTCTGTATCCAATGAATTAATTGAATAATCTAAAACGTCGGCTTCATTGGATTTTGATCGACGAAGGTCAGCGGAACGAACTCGTAACGTTTGATTTAAGCTCAGTTCATGTTCATCGGGCGTTTTCGTCGAGGGCAAAATTACATTGGATGATGCATGCCGTTTATCTTTACTAAATTCTCGTCGTTTTTTACTCGCCGTTCGATGAAATGATGCTGATAATGAAATTGATTTATTCGGTGATAAATATTGATTTTGTGATAAATTGTGTTGATTTTCATTCAAATCTTCTTCGAGGTCTTTAATATCGACACTTCGTTGCTTTATCGATGATTGAGGAATGAATATCACACTCTCACCACCATCTGTCGACATCCAATCTAAGCTTAACGTTTGATTTTGACTTTCAAAGGACTTATAAGCACTGTCGTCTTGTTGAGTTGGTTGAATTTTCAAATGTTGAGAATTCATTTCGGATATATTGTATTCATTTCCTGATGATTCAATGGAAGTGAAATGATCATTCTGACCTCGACTACTTGTATCTGATTGCATATCGAAATCAGTTTCCAGACTTCGATCAAAGCTGGAATTTTCACTTCTACAGGTTAAATTCGTTAATAATTTAGAGAAGTCTGACGTTGGTTTATTATTTAATTGTTCTTCTCGTTTGGCATTAGATTGATTGATGCAATTCCGACGTTTTTCAAACGTTCGTCGTAAGGCTTGACGGCGAACTTCTGGAGGTGGTAAAAGAAGATTCGATGAACTCTTACGACGATGTTCGTAGTTGGGATTGTCATCATTTGGATTTTCATTTTTTGTTTTCTTTGGCGAACGAATCCCACCGCTCGAATCAATAGATGTTGAGGTAAACAAATCATCTGGTGAGGTTTGTTCAACTTGGTGTCGTTGATCTTCGATGTCATGGGAACGATGAAAACGCCAGAAATCTTTTCGATTCTTATGTTCCTAAAAGCGAAAAAGTAGATGTTCATAAAATCAAAAGAAAAGCTTTTCTGTACTAATTGAGCTGCTTGGACAAGTTGACTCATGTCTGGAATTTTGATAATGATCGGTGGCGGTGCGACAGGCGATGATGAATGGTGTTCTTCGGCGCATTCATAGGATTTCGTTCGACGATTGACGACTGCTTCAGAACGATGACTGACTGGTCGTAGAAGATTCGCAGCATCAAAACTACGAGATTGTTTATCAACTGAAGAAGAATTTGCTGCTGTTGGATGTTCCAGAGAACGACAATGTTCGTGTTCACGTTGAACAACAGATGACCGTGTCGAAGTTGATGTTTGAGTAAAATTTTGCTTATTCGGACTCTTGCCTGAAGAATTCACTTGAGCAGTTAAGTCTTTCTTTCCTATTGGAGTTGGTTTTTTACTGATTATTGCTACTGGTGGCAGTAAATGTTGAGAACCCTGCGGTGTATTTGTTGGCGAATTTCCATGGACAGATAAACTTGAGCCACGTGGTGTAAAAAACATTTCTTGTGGTGTTGAGATGATAGATGAAGGAGTCGATGGTTGTTGTGTTGGTGTGTGATACGCTAGAGTAACATCGAAGCTACTTTGACGATAAGGTGATAGGGACGAAGATGTTTCTGATGGTCGAGTATCAATATTGATCGAATGACCTTTCTCGAGACGCGGAGTTTCGGATCGTTTTTGCAAAATAACCGAACTGGTAGAATTTTGTCGAACGTAACATCGAGGATCGACTTGAAGGTAATTTTCAGCGGGTTTCTCATCATTTGACACATTCTCATAAAGCGTTCTGAGATAGAAACACATGTTTTTATGTGGTTTGACTTAACGTTTTAGCTTACGGATTATGTTGCGTATTACCTAAAGAGAAAAGAGTTCGTAAATATTTTGATAAAATGTTTTTATTTACCATTTTGTTCATGATTTTCATGATAATCCAACGATGATGGCTTAGAACTTGGAATTTGCCATTGATTTCTACAGAATACTCAGGAAATTAACTATTTGTCTCGCAGAAAAGAATTCATAGAGAAAAAAAAAATCGTCTGTTTTTTGTTTCCTCATGCATCTGCACTCCAGTGATTTGTCAAAAGCAGCATAGCTAGCCCACTGTAAATCATTTTCCAGATCGACAAGTATGTAACCTCTCGAATTAGAAAAACTTCTCTCTTTTATATTACTGTGTTAATTGATATCGATCAAGTGGATTGGATCGTCTTGGTTCAAGTGGAGGTATAAAATCCATTCCACGTCGACATATCCGATTAGAATCCAAAATCATAGCAGGATGTAATGTTTCATATAAAAGCTTCATTTGTGCGGTTTCTCTGAAAGATTTCCCGAGTAAAAGTTTTCTTTGACGAAACAACAACGAATTACCTCAAATGTTTTCGATTTACACAATATTTGTATAACAATAAAATCGAAAAAACAATGAGAAGACCACCGACAATACCCGTGATAAGTACAATGAATGCCAGACTTCTTCAATTAAAAGATTTTCCTGTGCTAAAAGGAGAAGAAAAAAAATCGAAATGAACAGATCTTCTCCATTCTTCTTCGGTACGATCCAATCAGAAAAACTTTATCATCTTCCTTTCTCTTCGACTTCACATTAATTGTTTTCCTGATCATACGAGCAAAAAAACTAATTACGTCAAGTAGTTGATTACAAACATCATGTTCTTTCCTCTTCTATTCTTGTTACTCAAACCTGTCTGATTCTTCGATGGACAAACAGATCACCTCGCGTTGCCGTTCGTATTTGTACGACGAACGCATGTGGAATTTTCTTTGGAAAAAAAAGCGATTGTGTAAGACTAAAATCGGTGGATTTCAAGAGAGATTTTTATGCGAAATCAACGGTATCTTAATTATCTCTTATTGAATTCCTTTTCAATGGCTTTGATGCAAAAGAACAGAAGAAAAAAAAGAATATTTTTCCTGTTTTCTCCATCATTTCTTTCGATCTTCTTTTTCTATTGTATTCACAGAGGAATCTTAAATGTAATGAATTTTCTTTCATATGTCACAACGTTTAATGGGAGAAAAGTAGTAAGAATGATGACATGAATATTAACGAGTGAAAAAAAAAGAGAAAACTCTGCGTACGTTTCCTCGAGTGAAGCAAAACATTGATCGAATGCATCGTGCTTTTCAATCTAATTGAAAATTTTCAAAGCGAAAGATCGAAGGAAAAATCTCCAGGGATTTTCATTTCATCTCTTTATACAAACGACGAGAGAATGGGAGAATATTTATTTAATAAAACAAAATTAGATCGGCATAATTGAACTCTCTTATTCAATGAAAGCGACTCAACTATTTATACCGAAATCAATGTTTAAAAATAAAAAGAAAAAGTTTATACTTATGATTTATTCAATACTAATAGACTGAGTAGGCAGATGTTTGTTTGATGTGAAGGAAAATGAACGAATATCTAACTAACTACGTCTTTTCATCGACAATGCCATTACTAATGACGTCGTCGATTGTTTTCTATGTACGATGAGCACAAAAATAAACACGCTTTTGCTAAATATATATAAAACCCCATATGTAGACTTCGACCAAGAGCAAAAAAAGAGGGAGAGAAGAGAAAAAGGAATGATTTTCATTTTGTTTTCCTTCTTTGATTAGAAAAATGCATCATCCATATTTGATGATCTCATATGCGTGACTTCTAATCAATAGAAATCTTATCCAACTTAATAGAAAACGTTTTCCTATTCAAAGATTTACTTCGTCAAGAAAATTTCGATAATAAACTTTCTGTTTGGAATCTCCTGTTGATTACACACACACACACAACTAAGAATTAGAAAAAGGAGGAGTTCAACGTTTCATGAAAAAACGCACATGCTCACACGCACAGAAACTTGACGTCGATTGTTATGCAAACTCTTCTACCTTTCTTTTTTATCCATTATTTGATTCTTAAATGACAGGAAATTGTTTCGTATAGAATATTTTCAAATCTAGTCGATTGACATCGAATGTCAATAGAAGATAATGAAAAAGTCTCTCTAGTTCCTTTTTTCCTTCATTTTCCTCAACCACGGAACGGAATTTTCAAAGATGAAATATTAATGATATACTCGAGAGAATAAATGAAGGTGTCAACTACCATGAAATCACCCTCAGGAGATTTGCATATTAACAAATATTAAATAACGCGTGTACGCACCGCTAAGGAACTGTTCAAGAATGGAAAAAAATGCGAATTTGGCTTCGGATACCCGATTAACGAAGAAGAATTGTTGACATCGATGAATAATTTATATGAGAAAAGCAAACAGGAAAGAATTATTGAGATCTGTTTTCAAATAAAATCATTAGGCAAAATTTGTCTTCTGAACTAGACAAACGATTTTTTTCTAAGAGATACGTAACTCTTCCGAAATACTAAACTAGAAAAAAGAGAACCGAGCGGTTTTTTTTCTTCTCCTAAATGTATGTTTTGTTTATACGTTTATCCTTTGTCATCGTCGTTAAAATGCGTCTTTCTTCACTCTATATACTCGCCATTCTGTCAAATGTCTTTCCAGCCGAGTTTTTCTTTCTTTTCTGTTTACTACCTAAGAAGAGAAATAGAAATTCTCATTTTCACAATTACCTCGCGTGTCGACGATAGATTCGATCGAATTTACAAGAAAACGAAAGACTATAACAATGATTTCATCTTCAAAAGAGAAGGAAATGATCCTATTACGTCGTTTATTGACGATAATATCGGATGACATTTGAATAGAACATCAAAGGAACATAAATAACCATTCAACTAACGATATTTTCGATGAGATTAATTTCAGCACCAACTCTAAAAGTTAATCAAACGAGATACAATTTCATTTTCTGTTTCCTAAATTAGAAAACCTTTCAAATGATGCTTTGCCTATAGAGACGCGCTCGTGACCTCGAATAGAAAACGCATTTACTTTAACAAATCATCTGAACATTTGGGTCACAGAAGTATCTTAATGTTAATCATTTCCAAACTCATGAACAAACATGGAAATTCCATCATTCAAAACTTCCTGGGTTCATTCTATGAATATTCTATGTGAGAATCGACAGAAATATCGTCTGAATCACCAGGTCTTGCTTGTCAATTTCAGATAAATTCAAGTACTTGAAAAATATCTCTTATATGAAGTGTTAAAAAGAGTAATCATGTCCTTATGTACCATATGCGCATTTGATTGATTGTAGTTCGTTTCTTTTTTATTGAAAATTCTTGACATATTTACTATTCTGAGAATTATTCTTGATCGTAGGTCGTTCTGAAAAAATGAACATTTACCAAGAAGAAATCTGATGATTATATAAGAATGTCATTGTATTACAGATGAATGAGGATAAGAACATGTGCAAATATCTGATGAACAAATAAATGAATACAGAAGTCGCGATGGATACCATTCTGTTTCTAACCTTGGAATATTCTCGCTGATAATACATCTCTCGATCGATTTGATGAATACGACATATAACATTTTTAGCTGTTCTATCTCTATGACAATAGTTGAGTATATCCTCCGATCATGTATTTCAACGATGGTCATGCTGCGCCGACTCACCGGTTGTCTATCATCAACAGCTTCTGACAACGATCCAACTCAACAACAACAACAACAACAACAAGATGATAATCACTATTCAACGGCGAATATCTTCTCTCAAATAATTTTTATTCCGGATTTCACATCAATGAATACAAATGCAGATAATGAAGAGTAAGTCGTGTGAACTTCCCGAAATAAATCTGCGAGTTATATGATGACAAATTCTCTCATCTAAATTACACGTTGGTGGATACATTGATGTATCTATCTGGATGGAGAAAGGGTTAAGGAAAACACGTCGTATATATTACGTATATGATATCTACTCGTTTATAATCATATATATATCAAGTGGAAAAGAAAATACGAGGAAAAACTTTTTCTCATGGCAAATGCGAAAGGAAGACGAGATCGATGGTCATCATTTGATCAGCCAACTAACGAGGGAACATACCCAGGTGTCCAAGAGTTTTAGACCCCATCTTTTGGCGATAGATAGACCCCAATGAGGTATGAAAAACCCCAAAAGGATTCGTGCCCTCGCGCCTTTATTCCCGAGATATCGAATTTTCAAGATACATATGAAAAGAGGGAGTGAAATGGAAAACGATCATTTTTGGAGAACAATACAATACTGAGATGGAAGATTTCCTAAGTTTTGTGCACTGCTCGTACAATCTGCTCTGAATTAAGAGTTATATCGAGGCTTATCAGTAACACTTTTGCTTGTAGCTGATCAGTCCATAGAGGACTCAAAGTTCTTCGTTTCATTTTCAATGCCAATATAGACCATCAAATAATGCTTCAAGAGGAAAGATAATACATTATCAATTGTGTTATTTTTCGTTTCTTTCAGTGGCATGCCACTATGTCTTGATGATAAATGCTGCACACTCACATTCTTTTTTTCACATTCTTCTATTTTCATTCTCCTCCTATTCTTTTTCGTGTATAATTTGTATTGCGTAGCCGTTTTTTCCTCCTCATTCGATTGCGTACGATAAGCAAGTGAGGCATAAATAAGTACTCGATATCAGTTATTCTCGCGTCCACTTCAAAATGATTAATCCAGCAAATGTCATAGAAATTTTCACTAGTCGAGCCTCGAAGTTATTGTCATCTGGTCTCTCGAACACGTCCACCACTACTAGCACCATCACAAATCGTGAATGTGAAGTAGCTGAACTGCTATGTGGTGTGCTCGAATCGGTCTCAAATAGCCACTCCTACACTTTCGAAGTTGAAGCAACCCTCGATCATGAGTCGATAGACGGCGAATTGATCAACGACATGGAATACGAAGATGAAACTGAAAGATTATCTGATCCCGATTGGATTGACGGGGAACCAGATGAAGATAAAGCATTGTGCAAAGAATTTTCACTTGATTACATGACTAGGGCAGTTAATTTTTATGATGAGATTAATCCGGAAACTGGAAAACGAAAGCGACGATGGGAAACAGTGAAACATCACTTTCGACGTATTCCGCATCAAAAGTATCTCTCACGGTTTCGTCGTTATCTTGAGCAACACGGAACGAAGAAGCAGAAGCTCGACAAAGTTGATGATTACGTGTTCGACATGTTCGAACGGGCTCGGGAAAATGCCTTACCTGTCCACGATATTGATCTTCGTCGGTGGGCTCTTAAAGAAGCTATGGATGAGTCTTTACACAATTTCGTGGCTTCGACTCACTGGCTGTACAATTTTAAATACAAACACAATATCATTTCGCGCAAGGTGTCGAAGGTAACAAATTGATAATAGAACTCTATAAATTTGTGAAAAGAATCTTTCTATTCTAAAATTAGTTCGAAATGAAAAAAGTCTTTAAGACTTCAAAACTTCTCGATTTTCGATAAATTCTAGTTTCTTCAAAAATATTGGGAGAACAAACTTACTAAAGCTTTTTTTGTTTACAGATTGTGACAAAGCACCATATAGAAAATCAGGAGATGGTCAGAACCTCCGCAGATCAGTTCGTAGCCGATGTTCGCAAGCGTTTATCCAAATATGAAGCGAATGCGATTATTAACACAGATCAAAGTGGAATCCAACTCGAGCTGCACTCTACTCGAACGTTGAGCCACAAAGGAGAGAAAGTTACGATCGGTTCTGTTCGCTCTGCCAATGCCACCACCCACAGCTACACAGTGCAACCATCAATCACCCTCGATGGCCATCTACTTTCACCACTTTATCTTTGCTTGAAAGAACCCAAAGGACATATGAGTGAAAACATCCGCTCTCATCTTTTGAAAGCTTCGAATGTGGTGATCACTTGCAGTAGTTCTGGAAAGCTCACGACATCTCTAGTCGAATATTGGCGCGATCACGTTCTCCTCCCATCACTTGGTGAACGCAAGAAGTTCCTACTTATCTCGGACTGTTGGGGAGGACAGACATATGGGAAGGGACTATACGATAATATTCCTGGATGCGAAAGACTTGAAATACCGAAGAAAACGACGGATCAAATTCAGCCATTAGATGTTTTTTTCAACAGGCAAATGAAAGTCATTCCTCGTCGTTTATATGATCGTGTGCTACTTGATGGACTTGACATCAACATGAGCGAACGTAATAATATCATTCGTCTTATGTCTCTCACTCACAATCAACTCTCTTCCAAAGTCTTTCGTCGAATGATTCAATACGCGTGGTATTCTAGTGGGTACACAGATAATCATCCTGGGTCCTTCAAAACTGTGAGCGAAGTGTGTTTTTCTATTGATGATACAATGTGTTCGATGCCCTCATGTGATGCGTGTCCCTTCATCTGCTGTAGCTGGTGTGACAAACCACTATGTTTCAACCACTTTTTTATCAATTACCACTTTCACTGATTTTCTTTGTGAGGAATTTTTTGAGCTATATTGGCATTGAAAATGAAACGAAGAACTTTGAGTCCTCTATGGACTGATCAGCTACAAGCAAAAGTGTTACTGATAAGCCTCGATATAACTCTTAATTCANCCTCATGTGATGCGTGTCCCTTCATCTGCTGTAGCTGGTGTGACAAACCACTATGTTTCAACCACTTTTTTATCAATTACCACTTTCACTGATTTTCTTTGTGAGGAATTTTTTGAGCTATATTGGCATTGAAAATGAAACGAAGAACTTTGAGTCCTCTATGGACTGATCAGCTACAAGCAAAAGTGTTACTGATAAGCCTCGATATAACTCTTAATTCATAGCAGATTGTACGAGCAGTGCACCAAACTTAGGAAATCTTCCATCTCAGTATTGTATTGTTCTCCAAAAATGATCGTTTTCCATTTCACTCCCTCTTTTCATATGTATCTTGAAAATTCGATATCTCGGGAATAAAGGCGCGAGGGCACGAATCCTTTTGGGGTTTTTCATACCTCATTGGGGTCTATCTATCGCCAAAAGATGGGGTCTAAAACTCTTGGACACCTGGGTATGTTCCCTCGTAAGTCTGATCATTCCGATGAGATTTCAATGAATTTAGAAATGAATTCAATTGCTGAGAAACAATCGGAAGAAACGGAGTAAGTACATATTCTTCTCAAGGAGAAATATCGATTATACAAAGAACGTAGATCAGATAGAATCAGATATCGGAGGTTGGTCTCACCCAATGATGATTAACGATTTACAATAACAACAGAAATGTACAGTCATCTCATCATATGTCAAATAAATAAGAGCAACAGCATCAATATAGACATTATAGAAGCAAGAAAACATGATAGATCTCAAGCTCAGTGATGAGGAGAAACGAAGAAGAAGAAGAAGGAGAACGATGAGATGATTAAATGATGGAAGACGAGAGAAACACGGAAAAAGAAATGGATAAAGACTATGTCTTTTCTTCCTACGAGCGAAAAATACAGATGATTATTAGAATAAGCATGTGTTTGCGATCTATTTAGTACTTTGACTAGAAAAAGTGACGACAATCCCAACCTACAGTTGTCTGTAAATACCACATCTATACGACGAACACCAACACCCGTACAAGTTATGACACAACAAGCCCTTCGACTTGCCGAAAAAATTAATGATCAATATTTAACTTGTAAAATATGTTTGGTACGGTCGAATGCATTGTAGACGAAGTAAAATATTAGATTTCGATGTTCTCTTTTTCAGGAACCATTCAAAGATCCGAAATGCTTAACGTGTCTTCACACATTCTGCGAAGAATGTATTGAAAATCATGTTTCTGCTCAGAGGTAAACTACATTTCATTCATCTTCAACAATTTCTTTGCTAAAAATAGTCGTCATTGCTCTTCGAACACCTCCTCAGTCCTTTAGAAGACAATGTGCGCGCATGTGTCAATAAGTAGATACACTCTTCGTCACATCATATCTCATTCTCTATGCTTCATTACTTTATAACATATTGTTATCTTCCTTTGCATTTGTTTTCTTGTGCGTTGTACAATACGATACACATTAGTTCTTTTCTTCGTACAGAATCGAGAGAGAAAAGATTCCTCCAAATGAAAGACACTCATTAGAGTAAATACAACTTATGCGTTATGGGCAAATTCTCTTTAGGTCATTGACAAAAGGTTTCTAATAACAGCTGTATCGATACTGTTGGCGAGTTTTTCACTCTTTCGAAGGAAAGATGCCTCAAGTGTCTTCGTTTTGCTCTTTTGCGTTTCTTCGATCAAATCTTCTCGTTTAGATCGTACAAATACACAGATTACCGTGAATTCGCGTGTCCTATATGTCGAAAGAAGACGTCAATTCCAACAGGTGGCGTTCACAAGTTGCCCGATAACTTTCTCGTCGCCGGTTTATCCGAAATGATTACTCAGAAGAGCGTTGGACCGAACAGTGCTGTTCGAGTTTTAGCAAATTGCGAAATCTGCAAAGCTGTTCACGATCGTGAACGCGAAGCCACCTCGCGCTGTCTCGAATGTCAAAAATTTCTCTGTCGTCACTGCGTTCAAGCACATCAAACCATCACCGTCACACGCGACCATTCGATATACGAATTAGAAATTGAAAAAGACATTCTTTGCAAAGTAATGTATCTTTCATCCTCAGTTCCACTTCTAAGTTATTTTCTTCCAGCATCATCCAACCGAATTCGTTCGTTATTATTGTGAACAATGTGAAGTCTGCATTTGTATTGCCTGTACATATGTCGATCATCGTGATCATCAATTAACGGACTTTCGGACGGCTGCTATGAATCATAAAGCTTATATAATGGATTGTCTTGAAAATTGTAAAACACGTATGGGAGAATTAGAAGCTTATATGAATGTCATACGACAATGTGATGTTAACATCGCTCAAATTGAAGCGAGTATTCATGCGTTAGCAGCGACTTTTGAAAAATCATTACGTGTCAAAGAACAAGAACTGGTTGAACAGATCACAAAGTTGTATGGAGATGAAACTGACGAATTCATTAAACGTCGAGAGGAATTAGATGAATTTTACGAGCAAATCAAGAATACTTGTTCGTTGACAGAATTAGTTATTCACGGTAAAGATATCGAATTATTATTGGTAAAAAAGCAATTATTAGAAAAATTTCATGAGTTACAATCGGTTGAACTCGAACCATTGCCTGATAATCTCAATATGCACATCAAATTCGAACCCGGACAACTAAATTTAGGAAAATTAACCGTTTCAGAAATGACACCGACGGACGATGATGAATGCGAAGGAGAATTAGAAGACGAAGAATATTCAAATAATAATAATGCATCGATCAATTCTCATACTTCCTCTTCGACACAAAACAAAACTTTTTCTTCGATTTCAACTCAAACAGATGATGTCACAACTACAACACAAGCAATTCAGGTTTCATTTCTCATTGCTGCAACTTTATTTTTCATTTTCTACTATTTAGACAATCGATGATTCTCTTTCAAACGGTGATCTACTCGAGAATGGAAATGTGTCATCGACAACTTCATTACCAATTGATGAGAATGGTAGTCTATCACCAGCTCCATCGTCGTCAACCTCAACAGAAAACGCGACAAATATCTATGAACAAAGTAACAAGTTATCACGTCGTGTTCGTCGTCTTCTCAAGCCGACATGTAGTGTGGCTGTTTTACCCAACACTGATGTTATTATTCTCGATTGTGAACAAAATCTCGCATCAATTCTTGACAAAAAAGGCAAATTCAAATATTGTTTCACCAGTGATATTCCAACTGCTGAACAGAAAGGCTTTGCTGTCGCTAGTTTTTCATCAACAGCAAATGTTAGTAGCGCACCGGCTGGTGCCAGTCGAACTGTTCGTATCCCAACTCAGCAGGGTTTATTATGTATTAAATTGAAAAACGAACGAGTTGGTGAATTACCGTTTGGTTTTACCGTTCATGCGTTTAATTCGATTTCGGAAAGTGACAATTGAATTTGGGATCTTAGAAAGTTCAAAGACACACAACGTTTGACGTAACTCCCATTGACATTTCATAGAAAAATATATATCGGTTTATACTTTTTTAATATTCGTAAAAATAAACATCAATTGAGTTATGCAGTATATGATTTTGACTTGTTTTTATCTCATCGAGAGAATGGATAAGAAACGGATAAAACTTGTGATCGAGATGTTTATTTAAGAAAAGTCAAATTCTTATTTCAACTGCCGGACATTGAGTTAATTGAAGATTATCTCATATCCAGATAAGTAAATAAAAAATACATTGTGATTATTTACAAGAGGGAAATACTATGAGCAAATTCTATTTCATTTTACATTGAAAACACGTTTGATTATCCTGAGGTTCTTTTCAAATTATGATTTAATTTTCTTGATGAAAATCTGCATCTTACTTTTTTTAAAAATGAATTCGTTTTTATCAAACAACTTCCATCTGTCAGCAACATCATCACTGGTAGAAAGAATATGTCACCAAAGTAAACTTCTATTACTGAATATAACGCAGAACTAACTTGTTTAGAAAGATTAACTTCGAGAATTTTTGTAAAGTCTTATTTATGATTAAAAAAAGTAATGATTATAGAAGCTTTACGTGACAAGTTGCTTATCTCTGATTTTGATTGAACAAGCTTCATCGTCGGAGTGAATCTGCAAATCTATGTCAAACGTTAGCTTGAAATTTAAATACATTTTTCCTTATTGATTAACGTTGTCATGTCAGTAAAAGTGTATTTGTCTATCTGTAGCATTTTTTTCGATGACAGTCATGTTATCAGTGATGTTCATGCTATTTTTGGATAAGTTTTTCCGCTTTCAAAAAACAAATTACTTGGATATTAATCGGTTTTGTCTTTTATTTAATTATAAGAAAGATAATGCTCAACATTTTTCAAAAATTTGTTGTTTAGCGTCAATAGAACGTGATTGTGGATGATGGTCTTTGTGTTAACCCTTCATTACTGAGAAAAGTACTATTCGACATATTCATTCGTGACATGTCCGCATCAGACAGTAGTGTCGCTGAAGCTGCTGCTATCACATTCAGCAAAGTAGTGTTTGCAAGAGTTTGGACATTTTCAATGATAGGTCTTGGTGTGATTGGTCATATATTGAATGTTTATGTATTTACCCGACGCTCGCTTTGGTCAAATGCATGTACACGGTATTTTTTTGCGGCTACAATAAGTGGAATATTAGTTGTAATTGCAAATGCTCCATTACGTCTTTTGCAAATAGGATTTAGTATTGATCCATTTGGTTATTCGATTGTCACGTGTAAATTTCTCAGTTATCTGTTATTGGGAGTACGGTGTGTATGAGATTAAATAGCAGTAAAGTTTAATAGATTCGATCATTGATACTTTCTTCTAGGCCACTTTCATCCTGGTTTATCGCTTTTGCTTCGATCGATCGGTAAGTGATGTTAATTTGAAATTCTTTATACAATACGGTGGAATACATCAGAAAAATTCATATATTGATGATATTTATTGTACAAATAACATATCTTCGAGTTCTGCCGTTAAAAATAGTATGAGAACAAAAATAATCCTCAGTTCTTTCTAGAAATATTCGTCTGTTACTTTCACTGGGTACCGATTAATGGGCCATTTCTTAAGGCACTGTTCGAATAGCACATGCGAAAGAGCAGATAGTTGTGTACGACCACCAAAAATAAAGCTGTTTTAAACGTGAACGGAAAAACGGTTGTTAAGATATATATTTACCCCGCTCAATACACCAGAAATCTATTGATTAAAACGAATTTTTTCAAATCGATTAAGTGTTATCACCGAGTTCAGTCTATATGATGATATATTATGGAGTATACTCAGACTGATTCATCAAGTATTTCTCTCTCCAAGTGTAGTTTTTATGATCCGTTAAAAAGACTTTTTTATTTAAAAACTCTCATTGTACCAAATACTCATTACATTCATATATACGCCAGAGTTTCGAGTCTAACCAAACGATTTGTTGGTAAAGGATGCCGCAATCAGCCATGTTGGTGTATCTATTTAAGAAAATAGTAACTAGAATTTTATGGAAAGAATTCGAGAAAGTTTCGTTCATTTGACTTGATTCTTATAATTTGATCCACAATTGTATTTCTCCATTAAGCTCACGAAAGATCAGTTCACATGTAGTGCTTGCACAATAACTTTAAACATCATGAAGAAACAAAAGTTAAAGTCAATATCCCGAAAAAACCATTTTACAAAGATATATCATTGTCTATTTACATTTATTCTTCTAGCTTTTTGTGCAGTTCACGATCTGCTACTTTACGATCATGGAGTTCTGTTCGAGTTGCTACACGAACTATTATACTTATCACAATCACTATTCTGCTCATCTTTTTGTATATTCCTATTACTTATGAGATTCTACCAGGACGTAGCAGATGTCCTGCATCGCAAAGTCGTACTGCAGGTTTTAACGGTATTTGGACTTTGATTGTATTCAGCTTATGTCCACCGATAGTTATGCTCTGTTTTGGATCACTAACTATTCGTCATATTCGACAGCAATTGAAAAGAGTTCAAATTACAAACAATGAAAATATTGCTCAAACTCAATTATCAAAAACACGACGTCAAAAGAGAACGGATCGACAATTAATCCAAATGATGCTTGTTCAATGTCTCTATTTTAGTGTCACATCGCTTCTTGTTTCAATTAATTGGTTTTATGTTACAGTGAGACCTCCAATAGTTATAGATGTTGTTCAAGGCGCTAAGGATGATGCATTTAGTCAAATAAGTGGTTTGATCTCACTTGTAGGTCCTTGTACAAGTTTCTACTTGTTTACATTGTCAAGTCAAGTATTTCGTGATGAACTCAAACATTTATTCAAATGTCAATGGCGTGTATCAGATGGAACAACCAACACGGGTATGCAATCTCTCCGGATACTTCATCATTGAACAAATGAATTTAAAATAGTTGATATGTAAAATTAGAAAAGAAGAAAAATCCGACGTTTAGTTTCGATGTTGTGTTATTCGTAATATTTTACAATATACTTGTCGATATACTGAAAAGCACTTTCGTATTAGACTTTTTTTCATTACTGTATATTTGAGAATAATGTAAATGGAGAAAATTTTGTGAAGTCATGTCATTCCAAAAAGAATTGATATAGTTGCGTACTTTGACGACGAAAACAAGAAAAAGAAATGAGTTTTTCAGCCAATTATATTCTCAATATGGCTGCCGGAATAGTTCAGAATACTTTCGAAATAATTAATTTGCTCATGTGCTAATATAAAACGTTTTTGTAAAGATTGAGTTGAACAAAATCACGTCATTTTACATGATTTGTTGAAATTGCTTCAACTATCCACATTGTAAGCATATGAAAGTTTTCTTTTCAAATTATATCCGAATTATTTCGATCAGTAGAAACTTTCAACTTCTATACCAATGATTTCATTTCGTAGCAGGACATTTCCACTTTATCCCATGACATTCGATTAAACACTTCACACTCGTCTATAGTTCTGTCGAATAGATTTTAAACCTCGAAGTCACCATCATCTTCGATCTTGATTGCTTTTAGATTTGTGCTTTGTTTTTCAAAAGAAAGACAAGATAGTTCCATTTTTTTTTTAAAAAAGGTTAGTAGAAAAATATTTGTTTATATTGGCGAAGAATTTTCTGAATTTTCAATGACATCAGCGAATGCTGTACTATACGATGCTGGAAAATGATCAAACCACATTCGTGGATGAACGATCAAATGGTTGAAATTGTTATAATGACTAAGGCAAGCACGATATGACGCTTTTCTTGTAAATAATCCCACACGATCAGTCGAATATAGATGAATAATCGTTCCAGGTAAAAGTAAATCCACTCTTTCAACTGACTGATCAGTTGAAACGAGTTGTGAGATAGTTGAATTAGTATTTAATGATAAATTTGTTCGATCAGAATCATTACTAATCGAATGGAATACTTGTCGACGTTTTGTCAATGTTCCAACGAACGTTGTTGTTAAAACACGAAATTTATTTCGATCACATTTATTCAAAGCAATCAATATCCGATCTCGTAATTGTTCCAATGAACGAAGTGATGCACGCGCAATCATGTCCACATCCACAACATACGAATAAATAAAATCACGCGTTGATAAAATCAAATTTTCCGATAGAACCGAACCGGGCATGGCAATGCCATAACATTTCAAATGTGGATAAGAAGATTTCAACAAAATCGAAAGAATACAAGCGACTCCCGCGCCAAGTGAATATCCACATAAAATCAATGAATAATCTGGGTACTTAACAAATATGTCGATTAAACGTTGACATATTTCATCACGAATATATTTCGCAGCTGAATGCATACCTAAAACGAATTTGCTTTTTATTTAATGAAGTTCCATTGCACTAAACATTCTTACCACTATGACAATATCCACTTCCAAATAATTCCGTTTCGAGAATATCTTCTGCTGCATTAATATCGGTCAGAACATCAGTCGCACTTAATGTTCCACGAATCGAAATGATAATCGTCTTTTTCTCCTTATCAGCAGCGATATAAAACGGAGCTAAAGAAAAAGCGTTCAAAACAAATATTTGATTCGCAATGTTTGACGTACCGCGACCGAAAGCACCGAAAAAGTTCGCGTATAAAATGATCGGTTTTTGTTTTCGTAATAGATATTGTAATGTTCGATATTGACCGCCGCAAGGATCGTAGTAACTATCTTCGTTTTGACAACAGGCTAATCCACAACAACAGGAACAACAAAACCCAATCGTTCGAAATCGCATAGCAAAACAAATTCGCGGAAGAAATGTCATTCGATATTGATATGCCAATGAAAACCTACAGACAAACAAAAAACCTTGTCTAATGGACTTGATGGAATCTGTCTTTTACCATCCAAATGCTGATTGTGCGTAGGAGTTGTAATAAAGACCATCTTTGATCAATTGTAAAGGAACACTTTCGTAAATATCGATCGAACGTTCTTCATACAAGTCTTCTTGTTGTAAAAGAACAAGACCAGCGGCGAAATCACTGGCAACTAGATCAAATCTTTCATCGTCGAACAAATATTGTAGAGTCTTGATGATATTTTCGATATTTGACGATTGTCCACCTAGAAAACGAGATTTGATGAATAAAAATGATACTTTCTCGTTTTTTTACCATAGCCTCGTCCACAGCAGAATAGAAATTTGATGCGCATTTCCCACTTTTTCTCTGCACTCACCATCCCGGTCAAATCCAGAAGGAAAACCAACATGATTAACAATGATATCGATAAGATACAACTGTAACCAATCGAAAGAATGATTATTCCACGTGAGAGATTGTCACATCCGTGAAATTCTCGTATAGACATAATCAAACCGAACATGTTCATCACAATATCCATCAAAACCAGAACTAAACGAATGTAAATCAACAAAGGCACATGTCGACGTGGATAAGTGTAGTTTACAGGTGTTCCTTGTAAACTCAGGATGAAAATACTCAACGAAATGATCATTATTAAACAATAAATAATCAACAGTGGATAAAAATAAACCAGAGAGAAAAATGTTAAACATGACCAATCGAAAAATTGAGTTTTCAGATGAAAAATGAGTAATAAAACTATCAGAGGAAATCGAAGAGTGATGTCAACTAGCGATGGAATTGTTAAATCATCAGATGAGAAGTTGAATCGACGATTAAACAAACGTATCGCAGGCATTCGTTTTTTATCACAACAGAAAGTATTTTTCGTTGTTCTTTCGACGATGAAAAGGGCATAGAATCGTCCAGCAAGCTGCTGCAGTTAATACAATGAAGAAAAAATCAACTTGCAAATGACAATGTATTTTTCGCGTCATTTAGAGTGATATTCAGTATATTTCTCTCATCAGACATACAAAACACGAGTCATATTCGTTTACAAGAGCTTTCGATCAATCCGAGAATGAAAATTGTTGTCGTATTCTATTGCTTATGCTAAATAATGAATAAAACGGTGAATTTCGAATCATGAGATTCCAATTTCTGTATATCACACAACCATCAATTAATTTTTTCTAAATATTCTAAGTCATTTGATTGAATATGCGAAAACAACTCTTGTCGTAGTTTGGTGCTGGAAACACCGTTTGTATAAGGAAGAAATTTGACTGGCATTAACTCTTCGACGACATGTCGCGATGGAAAATCAGCCATATCATCACCGCGTACATAAAGTGCGGTTTCATTTTCCCGTAAATGAACGATACACGTGACAAAGGATGATGGATCTGTTCCGGCCACACAGTAAACTTGATCAGCGTAACGTTTAACATTAAGCATTCGTGTTTCTGTTCCGTCGACTGGTACTCGAGATTTGAGTTTATGGATACTTCGACTATCGTGTACACCGACAATCACTTCTCGCCCGAATTGTCGCATACGTTGGAGTAGAAGACGATGACCTTCGTGAAAGAGATCAAAACAACCGATTGTGAAAACTTTATCAGCACGACCGTCAATCCAGATAGCTGGTAATGATGTACTTCGTTGAAGAGTACGAGGTGGTTCTTCGGTTTCGTGACCATTCGATGAGACTGTGCTGCTTCGTTCTTCTTTATCATCAGAATGTTCAGCAAATGGATTTAAGAAAGCTTTGGTAGTTGAGGGCGAAACACGACCACTGGTAACATTGGAAATACTTCCTGATGGAGATAATGATGGACTGGGAGTATTGGTTGGACGATTTCGTTTTTCGTTCTAAATATTTTGTTTAAAAAAAAAGAATTTTCGTCAATTTTGATGGAAAAATTCGTACTTCTCGTGTTATGGAATCAATTGTCATAGCTCGATGACGCGATTGGGCATCGTCGAAATTGAATGCGTTAAGAACTCCGATGGTTTTCTGCACTGGTGATGGAATTGATGGTGGTACTGGAGCACTGTCTGGTGTAACTTTGATTGTCACTGTTTTCTTTTTTTCACTCTTTTCTCTTGCGTCTAATTTTTTCTTCAATGATGCATATGCCAATCGAATTGTTAAAGTAAAACAAATAATACCAGATATTCCAGCTGAAAAGAAGATTGTTGAGACATGAAAAGAACGAGTTTCATACTTACACCAATGAGAAAATGGTTTTAAATGTCCTGTTGATAAACATAAGAACGCCAGACCTGTCGATTCGAGTTTTTCTTTTAATTTGCCTTCCATTGCAGCTGCTGTTGAACCTTGTGACGAAATTCTACATAAAATAGAAACATAAACGAGAACATTCTCCAACAAACTCTCACTTATTTTTCTTCAATGTGGCATAAAAATAATCTTGTACTCGAACAACACCAATAGCCGTCTCTAATCCGATGATAGTGTAACAAAGGAGAACAAATGATATTGAAAGAAGAGACGATGTTTCTTCAAAGTATGTTTCTTGTAAAATTGTCCATAAACAAAAAACATTGACAATTTTATCACAGAATGCATCCATAAAACCACCTAACAATGGATCATCAATATTATCTCCATAGATACGTTTTTGTACTTTAGCCACAATTCCATCAACATGATCGAGAAAGTCATGAAAAAGAACGAGAATACTCGCACAAACCGGATAATTATACCTAGAGAAATCTATCATGTCCAAACAAATACATTCATTCATCTCATTTTTCTTACTTCAAACACCAAGCAATAGGAATAATCAATAGCGTTCGAGAATATGTAACGATATTCGCATTGAATATTGTGATGGTTCTATCAGCGATTTGAACAAAACGTGGAATACGAGCCATATATGGTGATAGATGAATTTGAAGTGGTGTGTACATATATAAATCATACCATTGAACCTATGTGTTTCAAAAATGAGACTATCCTTCATCGTTTCATCAAGTTTTTACCATACGAAACATGACAGATTCAATGCCATGACTTGCGATTGTTAATAAACTAAGAAGACATTTAGCTATGATCAATAGCCATTTGAAATCTAAGAAAAATCAATTGAGAAAACTGGTTTTATCATGATAAAACTCCATACTAGATTGAAGTTTAGTCATAGATTTGAATATTCGATTGAAAATTATTGATTAGAGGTAGACAGGTCAAAAGACTCCTTATATACTTTCACTATTTATTTATATCGGACTCGAAACACTCAAAACATCGATAATAGGATAAAGTACGGACAAAGTATGCTACAATGACGATAAGTTAACCTAATTTGTAGAAGAAGAAAGTAGAACAGCTCTCTTATATAATATTTTCAACAGAATAATTCTTTTTTTTTTTTAAATATCTACTTATGTCAGATATTCTACGATCAGCCATCTAAATTCATTACTTACTAGTTTGAAAATCCATAAAATTGTTACTGCTTTTCGATCTTTGTTAAGAGCAAAGTGTGGTTGTGTCCGTAAACGTCTTTCAATGAGATCAAAACTGAGAAAAAACATGAGAATATGACAGATGTTTTCCTTTTTTCTCTTATCTTTGGAACGAAAAAGCACGTTGGAAGATTATTACTGCGATGATAATACATAACACTGTGTAGACACAGGCAATAATAGCAAACAATGGATTTATATACGAGTACTGTGAGAATAAAATGTGAATGATTTTGAAATTGAACAGATGGTCGTTGATGAATTATTCATGCATTGCTGGTTTTAACAATGTAAATGCGATCTGGTCGAGTCATCGAGAAAGTTTTCGAATTCTGATCAAAACTCAGTCAAATGTGTTTCCATGTTTATTGATTAGATCATCGCTCTTATACGTTCCAATTAATGCTAAATAGAAAACGATTCTACAGGCAACTTAAGTGTAAATCATGTTGACGTCATTCTATGCTTATCTAACAAATAGGATATAAATACAACTAATCGATTGCTGCTATGTGTAACACTTCTAAACTTCGCGAAAAAGAATAAGATTGACATCTTTGATTCAATCATATGTGTTCGGTTTTGTACATGCGATATTGTTTGATGTGAATCATTTATCTTCGTCAATAATCATTGTGTGTCAGCTAAGTTGACTTAGCTATTTATAGTATAAAAAAGAATAGAAATAACAAGCAAGAAAAAGAAAGATGTCAGATATTTCAGCACAGTAAATTGAATTGTAGAAAAGAGAAAGCGACTTGATAAGGCTTTTCTTCCAAATAGAGAAGTGCGTTAAGTATATATGTATAAATATATCACACATGATTAACATTATGAAGATTTGGAAGATGTGCCATTGGTAATCCGTTGTTCCGGTAGAATTCGTTCGAAGAATGGATGTTCGAGAGCTTCAGTTAATGTTATTCGTCGTTTTGGATCGTATTCGAGCATCTTTTCGATTAATTCAAATAATTGTTGATGATCGAGTTCATCCGTCACCATGTAACGCTAAAAGGATCGTTTTATACATAGAAGAAGAGTATTGAAAAAAACCTACTCGTAATTGTTTGCAATTGTCGCGTACATATCGACCAGCTGAACTTCGTTCATCCCAATCCAATCGACCATGATAAAAATACTTCGTTTTTCTGCAAGAAAAAAGGTGAGATTTTGATTCTGAAATATCAATAAGATGACCCTTCGCTTACTTTGATTGCTTCGCCATTCGATAGGGAATGGGACCGATTATTCTTTCCATCATAGCCAAGTGTTCTTTATTGTCATGAGTCTAAATCAAAGAGTGATACGATCAAAAAAACACGAGAAAATAGAAAGATCTACTTGAAACAAAGTAAATCCAAGATAAAGCTCGAAAAGAATACATCCAATGCTCCAAACATCACATGGCTGTGACCATCCTAATTCGAGAATAACTTCCGGTGCTCGATAATGTCGTGTAGAGACGATCGTTGAATGGTGTTCCCAATCGAATGTTGCCGAACCGAAATCAATAACTTTGATATCAGTTCGCCGTACAACACGTTCATCTCTTCTCTAAAAGCACGAGAATTTCAACATTAAAATCACTCGTTCATCCCTACCTTTCGATGATTATAAACAATATTATAATCCGAATTCAGAAAGAGAATATTTTCTGGCTAAATAAACAAATCCATTGCATTCAAATTCGACTGTACCCATCGATCCTTACCTTCAAATCCGTGTGTGTTAATGCGATTTCATGAAGAACTAAAGCAATTCACATAGACACAAAACAAAACAAAATTTCAACGAATTACATTTAACTGCCAGACATAATTGATACGAAATATGTCGAACTTGATCAATTGGATATGGAATATAATTATTATCTTTCAAAAAATCGAAGACACTTAAACCTAACATATCAAAGGCAATACACATATGACCATGATAATCGAATGAATCGAGTAATGTAACACACAAACTAAAAGAGACAAGAGAAGTTTTTTTTCTCTTCAGGAAACTTTTCAACTAACTTGACTCCTTCAGGATCTTTCTCTTTGATTGATTTCAGTACATTGATTTCTAACCGGGCCGCTTCACGATATTTATCGACATTCTTGATAATTTTCAATGCTACATGCTTTGTTACATCACTATATATCGAAAAACACACGATTTAACGAAGAAAATACTCGTCTGTCTTACCCGCGAAGATCACGAACTTCGACAACTTTTCCAAATGTACCTTCGCCCAATGTTCGACGAATTTCATCTAGCGAAAAAAAACCGTCAGTTAAGCTTTGCAAATTCAAGATACTTACATTGATGATGTAAGATATCACCTAGAATGGAAATGAGACAATGTAACATTAGATTCGAAGATAATCTCGTTACCTGGGACGTAGATTAGATGACCTTCATCATCATCACGAATGTTCACCCGACCTGAATCACTTTTGTCTCGTCGATGCTGAAAAGAAAAAGGACAGTTTTATGATCGAATTCAATGTAAAGAAAGTATTTGTTGATTGACGAATGGAAGAGAATTGTTCTCCTACCTCAACGGCGCGTGTCGATGGAACTTTTCGTTGTGAATATTGCTGACGAAAGGTCAAATACGGTACGAGAAATTCATTCGAACTGTTCGATGAACTTTTCTTATGTGTAGACGAACTTTGTCGAGCATCTTTTAATAAAATGCAAAGTCCACTATTGAATTGTATCAGTCGCATTCGAGATAAAATAGATCTTGGTGAATGTTATATCATTATTGTAAAAGAAATGTGTATAACCTTCGTGAAATTCAGCCGAAGGTATTAAATATTCTTATGTTTCTTCTTCTTGAAAAGAATCAATCAATAACAACAAGTTTCTTCCGCCAAGATATATTTCCAGCTGAAGGTCGTCGTCTTTCAGTTTATTTACGCGAAACTTATTAATCAAATCAAGCAAGTGAGCACTTGTTCTACATGTACATATATGCTCATAACCATTCGACACATATTTCTCTTTTTCTTTTCTCTTTTCTTTTTTTTTTCTTTTTCTCTCTTATCTTAAGCTAGTTCACTGCATTCACTTCTATTCTTTTCTCTTCTCGAATTGATCATTTGAACCATGTTGACTTACAAGAACGTTACGACTACACTCTCCATCTTCCTATAATTATTCTTTTGACCAAAAACGACCAGAGACTATTACATATGAAATGAGAGGTGTCAACACGGTTTTATTGCATAAAAATGAATAGAAGAATAACGGAGTAGACTCTCTATGTGAAAGAACGAACAAAAAAGACGATTATTCGGTCAATTCTCCTATCTATGAACATTTGACACAAGTCATCAACATGCCATTAACCTCTCGTACGTGTTTCATATGAATATTGAATAATAAATATATGAGCAAAATCACGACTTACTTTACGAGTTGTCGGTGATGTCGAAGTTTTCGGTTGATATCGAGTACTCGTGCTGTAATTGGTATTTTTTTGTCGTTTTGCTATCGAGGTTGTACTTGTGATACTTTCTGCTCGTTCAACACCAGATCCATTGACGATTGGTCGAGTTTCGGATGAATCTTTCTGATTATACCGTTTCCTACGATGATGTTCATTAGATACTTGATCTGGTACGAGGTTTTATTGGAGATGCATGCAAAAAAGGGAAAACAAAGAAAAGATGCGCACCCTTCTTCTCCAGTTGAAGCCACCATCGATCGAGATGGTGATTGTTCTTTGCCACTATGTGGAAGAAGTTCCGAAGTTGAATCAAACTGCTGCTGTTGTTGTTGTTGTTTATTGAGGGTTGCTAATGAAGCAGTCAATGGTAAAAGAAGAGAAGAAGGATTCTTTTGGTTATTAACATTATTCAGATTCGGTGGACTTGGTGATAATTGAGCATTAGGTGTGGAAAAAACGACTGAATCGATGTTTGTATTACTTGATGAGACATGTGGTGGAGATGGTGGCGGACTCAATGTTGGAATTGGCGGTGTTGAATGAAGTGATGGAACAACAGGTTTCGATGTCGTCGTTGGTGGTGGTGGTGGTGGTGATGATGGTGTTAATGCATGTGTATTTGCAATGATTATATTGGAGTTTTCTTCATCGGCTAGCGAGATATTTTCGAAATTGCTGACGATTGGTTCTGTTTGATGTGAAAGACCAGCATTCGTTGTACCTTTAGCGAGTAGATATTTTTTAATTCGTCGTTTTGATGATGATGGGGTTTGATAGGTTGGATAAGAAGTCACAGCTGAATATGAAGAATTTTTATCAATGGTTGATGAAGGTTTACTTATATAATTATGATCATCATATGATCGAGTTAATGCTGTTGGTGTTGTTGTTGTCGTTCCACTATCCGTTGGATATGCAAATTCGGTATATGCAGGTCGAACATGTTCTTTGGATTTTGCTCGTAAATAATCATAATTATAAGTTGGTGTAGTTACTGTTGCTGCCGATGATGATGAATGTGTTGCAGGTAGAATAGGCCTGTTGAGATTTTCCGTCAGCGCGGATGTGATTGGGCTGGTTGGCAAATGATAATGATAATAATGGGAATCTTTTCTTGTCGGAGTTGTCGGAGGTATATTCGATGGTTGTTGTTGATGATCCTCATCTTTATAATTCGATATTTGATCCAGACGTTTGAAAGAATTCGCTTTGAGTAGGTTCGTCATCGAGCGATTTTTCGAATCTGTCCGTCCAATCATTGTATCTTTCACACGAGTATTGAAAACCAAATCTTTCAATTGATCGATTCGAGCTTTACGTTCAGTTGGAGTTGAAAATTTCTCCTCGACAGCTGTTGACGGCGGTGATTGATACCGCGATGGAATATGTACTGTCAAAGCACTCCCTGCATATTTCTTTTTCGCTTTCGAATTTCCCGTAGACGTTGCTGCTGTACTCGTTGTCGATAAAGATTCAGCATTAGAGTCATGTGGAGTATAATGTGATGAATATGTTGGACGATAATTACTTGATGAATCATAATGATGTGGATTATGAAGAGTTAATGGTGTCTGTTGATTGGACTTTGAATTTTGTTGCTGCTGCTGCTGTTGTTGTTGAGATTGTGATGATAATGATGATGTTTGAGATTGATTTATCGAACCTCGTCGTTCACTCGGTGCGCGATCTTCATTATAGAAACCGACTAACGATTGAGCTTGATGAAAGGTCGAAGCAAATTTCTTTTTCAATTGTCGCGGTTTGGTGATATGGCACCAGATTGGTGCGATATTTGCATATTTTCGTGCTAATTGACTTGGTGATGAATAACTCCATGTCGGTGAAGCAACAACCGGTGTCGTAGATGTTGATGCACCATAGTATGACGAATTTGAATTTGTATTCGTTGTTCCCGAATTCGTCAATGATCCACTCAGAGTGGAACTGTTTGTTGATCCACTGGTATTCAACGGTCGCAATCGATATGCATGACCAGTCGTGATTGAACTACTGTTCGTTGTCATCTGGATTTGTTTTACATGAGGATAACGACTATATGTAATTCTGATGAAACAAGGGAGAAATGTCGATGCTGTTCTCTGTACTCGTTTTCCTGATGATTAAATAAGAATGAATAATGGACCAGAAGGAAAAAATACGCAAGAGATATGTATAGATGAAAAAGAAACACCACCACCAGTTCCTCTCGCTCTCTTCTTCTTCTTCCTCCTCCTCCTCGTCGTCGTCTTCTTGCTTTTCTCTCGAAGAAGAAAGAACAAGATGTGTTGATATTGAGAAAACTTGCTCGACTGCTGTTGTTGTTATTGTTGTTCTTTTTCTCCTTCCTTCTTTTCCTATGTATTATCCTTAAAAACACATTGATACGATAGTGATGAGAGATCTTCCTTTCTTTTTTCCGTATGTATAGAATATCGACATCGACAGAAAGGAAAGAAAAGGAACGGAGAGAATCTTTTCAAAGTAATTATGTCTGTACAAAGAAAAAGAAGAATATCGGAAACGCTCGTCCAGTTGGATAAAGATAGATGGAAGTGTTATTTCTCGATGTTCTTTTTCTTTCCAACTAGATATACTTGAGTAATATGAAGAAAAGAAAAACAGCGTATTTTACAGTTTATAATCGAAGAAACTCGATGCTACTGTTGTTGTTGTTTTTGTTGTTATTATCATCTCTAATCTGGACAGTGTAGGAGAAGAGAAGAATTAACGTCCCTTCAATTATACCAATAGAATTAATCTTTAATATGTCTTCGAGTTTAACAAATAGGAGAGACAGAAATAGACAAAATGACACAGACATCGACGAGAATATATTTGTATTTCCCTGCTGTGTATTTGAAGGCAAAGCAAAGTGTTTTCATATGTCGGAAAACAATAAGTTATTGGAAACATACGTTTCGTTAACAATGATATTGTTTCTCTCGAACCGAATTCCATTTTCAATCAATGAAATCATCTGTTATTCTCGATTTTCGTCTTTAATTCTATTAATTGTAAACAAATACAAGCAGATTCAACAAATGTCAAGGTAGTTGATTGATTATCAAACTCTCTTTGTGATAATCGAGCAAATGCCGAAAACAAGTCAACACATTCCGTCATTATTGCTTAAAATCGAATGAGATTTTGTTTATTTGAGTTATCAATATCAAATCAATAAGAATAAGATATGTACTAAACAAAGATTGATATCAAATGGAAAACAGTGGTAACCAACGTTCGATATCATAGATAGATTTTCATTGATATCTTATCTTGAATTCAATGAAAAGTGTCAGATTTAGAAATTCGACTAGGATTGATTGCTTTTCTTAATGAGAACATAATGAACTTTGAACTAAGATGATCGAAGGAATGTATTTTATCTTGTTTTTATACAAAGATTTATCTTAGATTATGTGTAGTACTTCGAAAAATGAAAACTAATTGGATTTTTAACGATCACCAAGTACGTGGCCTTGACCACCGAAAATTCGTCGACCGGCATTTGCATTGGCATCAGCAGTACCTGGTTGTTGACGTGGAATGGGTGCTGAGCCGAATCCACTGATTCCAGTTTGTTCATTTGGAAAATAACGATATCTAAAATCGAAACAATGAATAGATCATGGAAGAAAACTGAAAATGACATACAAGAAACTTGGAGTTTGAAGTAATCGCGCACCACCGAAATCTTGTGGATATTTAAATACGAGAAAAAAGTAAAGGTGACCAACAACAATTCCACATAATTGTGTTAAAAATCTAAAACATTACACATCCTAAAGAAAATTTCTCAATCTATTCCAATACATACGATCCAGTCATAATCCAATTGAATAACATGATCACCCATGGCATGTACATTGCTTTGAATTGCATACCGAACCAAAATGACATCATGGTTTCTTTATTCAATTGACACCAAATGTACATTACACTCAAGATCATTCCATCCATCAAGACCTTTAATAAAAGTTTTAAAAAATTTAAAGGAAATCTATCCACAGATACTTACAGGCATTGTAAGAATGATTCCGACAATAACATTGCATAGCCAAAGGAATGATAAGCAAAATACATAGTCTGCTGGTTTTCCGTTGAATGTACCTGGAGAGAATGTACATACACAATAGAATTCTCTTTTCAAATTCATATTTACTTGTCTCAAGACGAGTGCTATATTGATAGATGAAAAATAAATTTATCAGAAGATTAAACCCCACTGGATAAAAGAGTACAGCAGTTAATAATCGCCAAATCTAAATGAGATTTTACAGAAGAAGTTTATCCTTGCGATCGACGTACTTGGAAATTTTTGATAATCGGAGTTAATAATAAGATTAAATTATGTGGCCGAACTAAGCCTAATCGTGGTGCGAAAGAGACGACAATTGAAGCAGTAAACCAAACTCGTGTTATCTTAGGTATACTCTTATACCATTGGCCAAGATCATTTGTAGCAGACATATTGGAATCTCAAAGGAAATATGAAAATGAAGTTCAGTTTTGAAGTGCAACAGATGAGAAATGAATGAGAAATCTAACGCAATGATTTGTCACTTTAAAACCAGCCATTCAGAAATGAACATGTCAATTATGGGAATTTATTAGAAGTATTTTTTTTAAAGTTTGATGGGCTTTCAAATAAAAGAGTAAATTAAAGTTTCTTAGTGCACATGTTTGGGATTTTTCATTCGATTCGAGCGCCATCTATCGTATCTCGTGAAAATTGACTAGATTAACAAATTTGAAATACTGGATTGATATAAATTTTCTGTTGTTTTGCGTATTTTTGAATACAACTGTGAAACGGTACATGTTCACATTGAGAATAGAATGTTAATTGTCGTTCCTGATCATTTCCATTGTACGAACAATGTTTATTCAGATACTTTCCGTTGTATAAAGCCGCTCCGCCAAACGCAGACTCAACTTCAATTAAAGGTACGTGACGTGGAATGGACTTTTGATGAATTTTAACTAAACGATCGATTAAATATGATTGATCTATAAAGTACGATGTTAATTCTTTGATTTTTTTCCAACAGTCAAACGGTAGTATGAGTGGAATTCGTAGAGCCCATATGTCATAGTATTCTGCTCGTTGTGTTGCTGTCATTGCTAACCATGATGAAGAAGGATAGATGAAATTCGAAAGAAAATCCTTGATTTCGAATGAGCTCGATGAACCAACATCGACATCGACAACGAAGTAATAATCGAATGATGGTATTTCTTGACGCGCTTCACTTAGAAGGGTATTGCGACAGAAAGCGATACGATTTGTACCTAAAAAAGAAAGAAATTTTGATGTCAAGAGAGACAAATGTAACTCAATCCGAAGAAATTTTCACGTACGTGACATAAGCTTCCATCGTTGCTGTCCGTATGTATAGACGCGAACATGGTCGGAATCGTTATTCTTCCATTGATTCAAATATGTTAACGTTTCGTCGTCAGAATCGGATTCGCCGAGATAGATTCGATAGTTACCGAATAATTTTGCTATTGATTGGATATTCCGTTGAAAACCGGGCAGATTTCTTCGGACATTCCGACAGCAAGCTGTGATAACAATCGTTGAGTTTGTTAAAGTTACTTTTTCAATCTCTGTGTTGGGCAATAACGGAGTTTTTGATGTTATTCGGTCGTCTTTCCAAAAAGACACATTGGAAAATTGAAATGTATGAGTAAAATGATGATAACTAATAATTGTTGACAAAATATGAAGGATTACAAATGATATGGAAACACAACATAATAAAATAGACAAACGAATGAAGCACAAAAAGTTGATCGAACGTCTACCACGACGTAGTCTCATATTTTCAATATTTTACTTTACATAATGATCGTTTATTACATATGCACGTTTTTTTCCTCGTTCTCCTATTTTTCTTCCTCTAAAAAGTAATACTTCACTAACTATTTACAAGGCACAAGGCACTAAATATTTGTCCATTCGTTGACACACTGCACACACTGTTCTCTTACTTAGTTTTTTTCTTCCTATGCGATCGCGTGCTGAATACCGAACGCTCATTGATTTTACTTGAACGAGGAAACATGCTATTGCGATATTTACTATTCGGGCTTGTTTTTCCGGCCAATAAGAATAAACGGAGACTGTTTCGATTTCGAACAAACTTTCCCTTCATCAGAATTTTTTATTTTCTCGTCAAAAACGAACGACAAGCAAATGACAAAACAAATAAATGATTTTCTTGAATTTTTTTTTCTTTCATTCGCATGATTAAGTATGTATATAAGGAAAAGACAAATCAAACTTCTTCGAATTTTTACAACGCAAAAGAAGGAGAAGGAGACAAATGGGCCAAGCTGAATGAAAAGTAAGATAGAGAGTAAAATATATAGATTAAATGAGAACATTCCATTGATAGTTTTTTTCACTCTCGATTACCCAGTAATGAAAGAATATATAAAAAGATGTAAACAACATCGATATAAAGCATCAATGCAGCAAAAATATGATCTTCAGCGCTGATTTCGTGTCGTTTACCTCCCATGATTAGTTGAGTATCAACAGCCAAGAACTGAAAACAAAGACAATCAATTTTATTGATTGAGAAAGTCATTTGAATACTTACGATTGAAAAAGCAACAGCTCCGAGACCAGCATAGATTTTGAACATGATCTATCATCGTTTTCGAAATTAATCTTCGAAAGAAATCAAAGGTTGAAAACTCTTACCTCTGAATGTACAAAGATGCAAACAATTCCAAAGCCCATTAATGCCAACGAAATAACGAAGATAACGCCCATGCATGATGTAAAATCGAATTTTGTTTGGAAGGAAAATAATGTTACGCCCAAACAAACAAAGACTGTAATGCCAACAGCAATCAAGACTGAATCAATGGTGTAGAACGCCGAAATCATTCCCATCTAAATAAAATTCTCGTTTTAGTGAGAATAAAGCTCTTCATCTTGATTTTCATACCATGTAGCTCATTGAAAGTGTCTAAAAATGAAAAGAAATTTCATGGAATTCCAATTTCTTTTTACAATCTCATTTACCAATATTCCGAGTAGAATCATATTCGTTGGAAATCGTCGTCCAGCACTACGACAGCAAGCTAATGCGATGTATGTTACCAGAAATACGACATAGGATGTCCAATAGAGCCATTGACCTTCACTACTTCGAACATATCCTCGAATTGATGGTCTAAAATGAATTTCATGTGAAAAAGAAACACATTTTCTTTCTTCATAAAGATTAAACAAAACATACGTAAAGTGAAACAAAGCGATGATACCAAACGTAATCAACAATTGAATTGAAAGAATCGAATAAACCTATTGAACATAATCCAACAGAAAATATTTCATTGATCATCATTAAACATACCTTTCGAATAAAAACTCGACGAATTTCTTTGCTTTCAAGACCATTAAAGTTTCCCCATTCACCAGTACCATGCTCATCATCTATTTAGTGAAAGAAAATCAATTATTATCAAAGTTAATGTTCAGATTAACGAATATTTTATATTAGCAAAGCGATAGAGTTAAGAAATGATACAAGCGATATATTAATCGTTTTTCTATTACACGAAACCAAGTCCTATGCTGTTTGTAAACAGTTTTTTTTAAGTAAATCTCGAGAAAAACGATTATGGCTCACGTGTGGTTAAAATCTTTCACAAAAGTGCGTATGCCCGAACATATTATCGATACTTACCATTATCATCTAAATGAAAGATTTAAAAATCATTGAAACTTCTTCCTGAAAAATAGCATTTCAGTGAGAAGAAAATCATTGACAGATGTCTAAGGCACAACAGCTAAAATCAATACACGTACTCTTTAGGAAATTTTCTTTCCCTTCTTCCTGTTGCATATATATTTCAATATCCGTGTGCTCTCCTACGTGATTAAATTCTCTTCGTAAAAAATAATTGTTCAACGAGACCATTAAGTGGGAATTTATCTACGCATATCACACAGAAAATCAAGCTAACCTTTGGGGATATCTGGACGTGGTAAAACAGGTGGAGGTGGTGGATACGCTGTTGTATTTTGACCGTAGACATTGGCTACATATAAAGAAAGTTGAGTACATAGACCTGATAAATTTGAAAAAGAAACATACGAGGTGGAACTGGGTAACCACCGGGTTGACCTGCATATCCTCCAAACTGTTGAGGTGGATATCCAGGAAAGCCACCTTCTTGTGGATATGGATTACCGTAGGGATTTTGACCTTGACTCATTTATTCTATAAATGGATTATTGATTTTATTTATTTGGAAATTAAAATGAAAAACAAGTTCGATTTCAACTTACACAATTCGTTATCTATTGATTGATAAAAGAAAAATAATTTCTCTGAAAGTAATCGGAAATAAAGTTCTATTTTAAAAGAGCATTTTGAAAATGAATATTGGTGATTCTCTCTGATAAAGCATCATTTTGTTGTGTTCTCCCTATTTATGTAAATAAATGAGTGAGAAAGGAGGAAGACAAGACATGGACGTTCTTTATTATAAATAAAAATATACTATTAGTCAATAATTACTCATCTTTATTTCAAATAATATCAAAATATACTGATTTTTTAAAATTGAAAATAATCTTTTTAAGTTACAAAAATTGAGACCTATCATTTCTTTTTCTGAATAAAAAATAGTGACATCTATTTTATTTTGTATAAAGGTTCATGTGCATACTCATGGTATCTCTGACTATATTTGTAGTAAAGGAATAATGAACGTATATCTGCAGATTCCTTCAGTTGATTGATCCTTATACATAACGTTCAGTGTGTGTGTGTCCATTTCTCTGTGCCGGGTCTAATCTATATATATACTGTTCTGTGTGTGTGTGTTTATCTGTGCCGAATCAAATGTTAAAGGTGAAAAATGAGCAATGAAATGATAATTGCTAGAATATTCCAGAAGTCTCTCGAATTTTTGCTGAAACTCTGTTCAAAGAGCGGCTATCAAAGAATGTTGACAAAATATTATTCGGATTTCTGTGAGTGGCAGAGATTATAGTTATATATACCTTCTAATCTCTTGATTCTGACAGAAAATCAGTTTACAGTGATAAGAATTACCGTGCAGTATGCACGGGTTCTCATTAGTTAATACATAAAATGGTGTGTGGTTTTAGCTGAAATATTGTTCTTGAAATAAAATATGATATTTTTCTCTTTCAGATTCATCTCGTTTACTAAATTCTAACTGAAGTTAGTCTTCGTTGTGAATTTTCCTTTTTTTAAGTGCGAACAAACTCAGTAAAGAACTTTTATCTTTCAATAAAATAATACAATAGCACCTTTCAGCATTTACTTATGTGTCTGTACAAACAAATATCGATAATCGTAAGTCGCATAGCCAAAGTGTGAGATTATCCGTAGAAATCTAGAGCGATTTTCCTCATTTAATCTACCTTTGTGCATTAGTTGCTTCTTGTATGTCCGCTTATTGCTGTTGCTTGCATTTATCTGCTACCTATCTGTAATTCATAATTTGTATATATCTTCTTCGATTTGTTATTTGATGAATACTTCTATGTAGAATTGTTTTCACCTTCTGAAGGATGCAAGAAATTCCATCGAGTATAAGCGTTGATTGTAACCATGATTAAGATTCTTCATCTTTGGCTTGATTTTGCATGTTTAAAAATGATTCCCCTCGATAAATTTGATATACATTTGGTTCGATCATCTTCGTTGACTTTTTTATTCGACTTAATTTCTCCTGGTTTGAATTTTAGCCGAAATCAATCGAACAAGAATTAGCTGAAGCAATCCAAGCGAATGCGAATGTAAGTGATTGAATGCCATCGAATCGATCACTGTCTTTTTTTGCATTCCAGTTGTCTCAACAATTTCAACAACAGCAGCACGAGTTTCAACAAGAGAGACAACAATTGGGACAACGAATAGAGATACTTCCACAGCAGCTATGACAACTGCAACAATCGTCAATACCTGGACATCAAACACCACAACAATCGTCAGCAGCAATTGCCTGGCTATCCATTGGAAATACCAATAGAACCCCAGCAACATGCTGACGTGCCATTACCTCAACCCAGGTCAACAAATTCGACATAGGTTCCGATCGGATTCCGACTGGAAAAATCTAGTCATTTGTTGCAAATTTTTTGAGCGTTATTTTTAGCTAGGTTCTATGATGGCTCTTAGAAAATCCATAAAATCTGTGTTTCGGATCCGAGTATGGGATTTGTCGACCTGGGAACCTTCGATTAGACAAGTGCCACAAAATCCGACTCTAGGAAGACGCACCCGACGAAGATTACTTCGTGTGGTTCGATTGAGTAATCGTCGTATTCGAAAACGGCCACGTGTGCGATTTCTTTTTTCGTCAGATACCGAATAGTGTTTGTGATTTGACATAAAATATCATTGTTTTTATGTAAATTTCATGATTTTCTGCTCTCATATGTTCTTCTATTTCCTATTTGATTTAAGTGAATAAATGACTTGATTAGAACACAAGTCACTCAGTCCTAGATTGTTGTATATGGAATAACTTTTGCTTTTATGAAAGACTGGCAATTGGATACGAGTTGTCAATACGTACAATAAAGTCTGACAGGACAAATAGATACGAAAGGACTGGCAAATCAGCCTTAGTTTTAAAAAAATTATGTAAAAAATTAATTCGCGTGTGAATCTTCTGTTTTTCATAACCCAATAACATGATCTCGAAGAAAGACTTGCCATTGGTGTTTTTTTTGGTTGGAAACAACCAACATACTAAAGTAAATACAAAACTTTGCGTCGTTTTTTCATCTTACAATATAAGAAAGAGAAAGAGGAAAGTTTTCGCTGAAGAATTCATAAAATGGATACAAAGTGCTTTGACTTGCAATTTCATGATGAAACTAATCGTCAACAAATAATAAAACCAGATGAAATTGATGTGACAAATGAAAACAAAGTTCTTATATCAAAACTTTCAATCGATCAACGAATTCTCAATAGTATCAAAGGTTCTCTATTCGGATTGGCCATTGGTGATGCACTTGGAGCTCATGTAGAATTTCGACCACAAGCTTATTTAAAAGAAAATCCTGTTAAAGATCTTCAAGGTGGTGGAACATGGGGTTTAGAAAAAGGACAAGTTTGATTTTTGAAATAGAATTTCTAAAAGAAAAACAATTCTTTATTTTTTTAGTTCACTGATGATACATCAATGGCAATCTGTTTAGCGATTTCATTAATAATTTGTCAAGATTTTATCCCATATGATCAATTAGTTCGTTATAAATGGTGGTATCGACATGGATATATGTCATCAACAGGACAATGTTTTGATATTGGAATAGCAACGGAACAATCAATTCAAGAATTTGAATCGCGACAAAAGAAATTTGCACAAGAAAATCAAATTGATCTTGATGAAATCGATCAATTAAGTGAAAATAAAGAATTACTTGACAAATTTAATGTTAATTGTAGTAACGATGGAGCTGCAGGAAATGGAGCCTTGATGCGTCTTTCACCTGTTCCACTTTTCTTCTATCAAAATCCTTCGAAAGCCATTGAATATTCGGGAATAAGTGCAAAAATAACACATGGTGACAAGAAGGCCATTGATTCTTGTCGTTATTACGCAGCTTTAATTGTTGCTTCTCTTCAAGGTACTTTTACAAAAGATGAATTACTTCATGAAGATTTTTATAAAAATAATCGAAAATGGTTCGGAAGTGAAGAACTTCATCCAGATGTTTTAGCAGTCATTTCGGGATCATTTAAAAAGAAAGGTGGATATGATCAAGGAATTCGAGGAAAAGGTTATGCGACTGGCACCCTTGAAGCTGCTTTATGGGCTTTTTGGAATGATAAGAATTCATTTGAAAAAGGTGTTCTTCAAGCGATTAATCTTGGAGATGATACGGATACAACAGCAGCTATTTATGGACAATTAGCGGGTGCTTTCTATGGATATGACAAATTAATACCACAGAAATGGCGTGAGACACTTTATGCAAAAGAATTTCTTTTATATGTTTCAAATTCTTTGGCTTTTTCTGGAGATTTATGGTACAAAAATCAACAAAAGGATAATTTTACCAAATTTAAATTAAATTCAAAACATTCATTTTTAGATTCAACTAGAAATTCTCTTCGAAGTTTAACTTCTCGTCAATCAATTGAACGAAATCCATCAAAGACCATTGAAAGAAAAGTTATTGATCTTAAAGGTTCGATTGGACATTTTTACAATGCTTTCAATGATTCACTTACAGATTTCAAAGAAAATGATGTTGGTTACATTCAAAAGGAAAACTTCTTTTCAAAGAAATGTTTTGTAAAACGAGGAAATGAAATCGAATTACAAAATCTTTTAGAATTAGTCGGATTTGATAATGAACTTCGATTGAGTTTATTGTCTCATCTCATTTCATCTTCAGGTATTTCATCAATTGTTAATTATCCATATTTGATTGATGAAAATACTCGTCTTGTCTATTATTCATTAATAACACAACGAACTTATATCAAGGAAAATGATTTCAAATCAATGAAATCAACAAAATGAATCAACACATTTTATCAAAGAAATTTTTCAGGGAATTGAATTTCTTATTCTTTTAAGAGTCAATAGAGATTCAAAGAAGTTTATCGATTCATTACTCGACGATTTCTGTCAAAGTCTGAATAAAAACACAAATTTGTCGAATAAATATTCGAATGAACAAATATCTTTATTTTCTATTTATTCAAATATTCCTTCTTTAACTGAAAAACGAACAATTCAAGAAATTTACGATTCAGTTCAAGAAATTGAATCGAACCTCGATCATCATTGGCCATTAACTTATATTCTTCATCCGATAAAAACATCCAAATCAAATCTTTATTATCCAATTCGATTAGAAATTTCGTTGAAAATTGAAGAATATTTTCAAGGTTTATTATTTGGAAAAAAGATGTTAAAAACACTTATTACTTCTAACACAGCGGCAATTCTTGAACGTTATCTTCAAGAACAATTTAATGTACAAAAAGAAAAAGTTTCTTTATTGGAAAAAGAATTTAAAGAGAAAAGAATTGAAATTGGAAAATTAATTTTGGAAGTTCGTCGAACAAATGAATATGAACAAATAAATAATTATGAAATTCTTTCCGAAAAATATCAAACAAATTTAAAAAGACAAAATGTAGATTTATCATCTCATATAAGAACATTAAAAGAAAAAAGTGATTTAATTGATCAATTAATTCAACAAGGTTTTCAATATGTGAAGATTGAAAAATCTTTTGATTTTCAACACGGAGAAACTGATCAATCATTGGAAAAACAACTTGTTAAAGAGGAATTTCATAGAATTCTTTGTTCAAATGATTTTTTAAATGAAACCAATTGGACAAAATTAAATGATTTATTAAAAGATTTTAATGAAATGAAAAAGAAAGATAATCGAACAAAACTTTTCTATTTCGATTTTACTTATTCAACATTTCATTTAAATGAAATGAAAAGATTTCCATTGAAGTCTTTCAAACCAATTATTTCTCAATCACGAGCAATTTCTCAATCAAATCGTCGCGAAGAAATTCTTCATATTTTATTTCTTGGAAAAATCCAATCAGGAAAATCAATGTTAATCAATACATTCGCAGATTTTCTCAAATCGAAAAAACGTCGAGATATTCAAAAAGATTTCTCAATCAACAACATTGTAATTCCATTTTTACATCTTATTGAAAATGAATTTGAAGAACGACAAATTCAAATTGGTCCAAAAGATTCCAATGAAAATTATGATAAAAAAGGACAATCATTTACACAACAATGTCGATCTTATTCATTTAATTTAGAAAATAATCAACAAATTTGTCTTATTGATACACCTGGATTTGCAGATCGACGTGGACAAGAACATGATGAGAAAGTAATGCAACATATTTTATCAGTTGTTAATCGATTAACACATATCAATGCTATTTGTTTGATAATTGATTCAAATGAAAAAGATTTCAATTCTTATCAAAGATCTTTCGATCAATTGTTAAATTATTTTCAAGAAAATATTTTACAAAATTTCTTTATTTGTTTCACCAAATGTCTTTCAAATAATCTTGATGAGCGTTGTCAACAATCGATTATCAAATCTATTTCAACCAAATTACAATCGATTAATCGAGAAAATCTTTTTCAATTTGATAGTTCATATTTAATTCAATCAACAATACATCAATATCTGGGCAAATTTGATTTTCCAAATCCTTCGTCTCAACAAAGTCAGTCAATAACATTTGATCAATGGAAAAGATTCTTAAGTCAAATTCAAAACAACATTAATCAACGTTATTTAATTCATCATCAAGGTTTACAAAATCAACAAATTCTTCGTTCAGAAATTAGACGATTAATTCGTCCAATATTTGAAACAATTCGAAATCTTCTTCAAAATCAAATTTTATTTCAATTCTCTTCTTCAATTCAATCGATTGAAATTCGATTTAAACCACTTGATTTTAATAATGCAACATGTTATTCATGTCATCGACAATCGAAACAAATTGGACCTTTTTGGATTGTCTTTGATTTAATACATCAATTTTCCAACAAATGTGATACATGTTCATGTCCTTCCAATCAACATATACCAATTTCATCTTATTTAGAATATTATCTTTCAGATAAACCATTCAAATATATTCCATCTGATATTCAATCTTCTATCGAAAATCTTATTCGTGAAAGTGCATTTTTATCCAATTGGCTCATGAGAACAAGTCGACAACAAAGCCCTGAAGATTTGTTTTGTTTATATTTAGAGCGAATGATCAAAGATGAATATTATGTTCTGGAAAAGAAACCCTATAATAAATTCAATGCCAAATTATACGATCTTTTGATTATACTTCGAGTACAATATTTTCACTTTTATCAGAAAGCCAATGTACATAAATGGAAGGACCTCGATGAAATTCAAAATCGAATTGATAAGATTCGAAACGATCGAATTTTATCCGAACAATTTCAGTTGAATAACTAAGAGACAAGATTTTTTCTCCTTTCAATTCAATAAAAATCCATCTGTGAAGAAATATTCCGTTCCAAATCATACTTCGTATTTATATACGAAAAAGAACATTCTATGATCTAATGTCAGTCGACTTCACCTAGAAAAAGGCTGTCGAGATAATCTTCAATAATACGAAATACTCCATCACACAGCTTATCATAGTATAAAAAGAAGTCAGGATATAAATGAGATCCACACCAATAAACTGAGCTCCGTCGATTTTGTGACTGAACTCTTATAGATTTTAGACAGACATATCTATATCACACCCACACCCTCAAGATGCAAAAGAGCTTCTTTTATATGTTTCAAATTCTTTAGCCTTTTCTGGAGATTTATGGTATAAAAATCAGCGAAAGGATAGCTTACCCCCGACAAAATATTCGTTTCCAAATTCCGATAAAAGTTCTCTTCGAAGTTTAGCTTCTCGTCAATCAGTCGAACGAAATCCACCAAATATGATTGGAAGAAAAGTTATTGATTCCAAAGGTTCAATTGGACATTTTTACAATGCTTTCAATGATTCACTTACAGATTTCAAAGAAAATTATGCTGAATGTGCTCCAAAGGAAGAATTTTTTGTTCAAAACATATTAAAATGCAACCAATTGGACAAAATTAAATGATTTATTAAAGGAATTCAATGGAATGAAAGCTTTCTAATTCGATTTTACTTATTCAACATTTCATTTAAATGAAGTGAAAATTTTTCTTTTAATCCTTTAACATTCAAATCAAAATGTGAACGTTTCTTCTTAATCAAACAATCGCGTAGAAGTTCTTCCTATTTTATTTCTTGGAAAAACTCAATCGGGAAAATCACCTTTTATAAATATATTTGCAGATTTTCTCAAATTGGAAAAACGTCCAGAGATTGAAAACGAGTCTCTTCAAGAAAAAGAGTTATCTATTGATCAAATCATATCTTTTCTATTGAATCTCAAGAGACAAATGATGTTTGTACCATAAATACACATATGACAAAAAATGAGTTACAATACATCATAAAAACAAGAGAAAAAGACAAAAAATGAATGTTCATGAAGATCATACGAATTATTCTTGATCAGTTGTATCGTCCGAATTATTATCGTCATTTCCATTATCACGATTATCTGTTTTCTTTGCACGTATTCGCGCTGTAGTGGATATTGAAGCCATGGAAAAATCAACAATAACAGGAACCATATTATCACCAACAAACGGTAAATCACCAGTAGTGGCGGAGCCAGGATTTTATAGGGTACTGGATCTCCGCTCCAGAGCATGGGTTCCACTTAAAACTAATGGAGGATAATATTGGTGACAAATGATGAGTTTCTATCGAGTAATTTTTGCAATCGAAGTTTGCCAAAAAAATTAGCATTTTCCTGTGCCCCCCCCCAGAAAATCTTCAGTACTGTTAACAGTGTCTCATTTTTGAAAATGCTGTAGCAAGCTACATCAAATTTCATCGACAGATTTCAAATTTCATTCAAAAATGCATTTTTGAATGAAATTTGAAATCTGTCGATGAAATTTGATGTAGCTTTCTANGCGCTGACAATTTTAGCTCTAAAGTAGACTTCCCTCTCGAAATGCTGAAGTTTCAACAAAATACCCATATCTTAGAAAAGATAGTAGAGTTTTTCCTTGTTTTAAGCTTCGATATTTTGGGAAGGAAATCTACTTTAGAGCTAAAATTTTCAGAGCGCTGTACCTATCTACGTATCTGCCTAGAACCAAAATCGCAGGTCTAAATGTTGATATTCAATCTGGAAACAGATAGTTAGCTCTGTGCGAAAATTTCAGTAAAAGATCTATAAATCTAAATAAAAGGCCCATGAGGACGTATCTTCTTGAGGTTTTGCATACCTTATTGAGAACTATCTACCACCAAGAGGTGAAAGGTAAAAGCCTTAAACACCTCGAGCGGTTCGCTGGTACTACTTTAATTTCAATAGTTATTTATCTTTATTTTTTTCTATGCTGTCATTGTGTGTCACGTGTATCATCAGATAGTCGACAATCCAATGTGGTATAAAATTAAAGAATGCCATCTGTAACCCATGTTGCCAGTTGCCAGTGATAACAGGCCCATGTTGATCCACTCGTTCTAAAAGTGTTTTCGCGTATTGCATACTTGATGGGCAAAAGAACGACACAGGCGCCTTATTGGCTGCCGAATTCACGGTACCAACAAGAGCAGCAAGAACATGTACATTTGTCTTGAGATGTGTCATTTCGTTGTACAGAGCATGACTGAAAGCAAGATTGTAGGCTTTCGAGCCAGCATAGGTGCTGAGAAATGGCGGATATGTAATAGCTGCTCCTGATGATAAATTCAATATTACTGAAGGCACCGCTCGTTGAAGCTGTGGCAGTAACTGACGGGTGAGTGATGTTGGAAAAAGTGTATTAGCATTCATCATAGCCTAAATAGAGTCGTCTGTATAATCTTCAAATGGTTTAAATCCACCATCCCCTAAGATGCCAAGGAAATTTATTAAAATTGTCACATGTAACTCCTTGACAACATTTGTTATTGCGTCTGACAATGTATTCTCAGCAGCATCGAGGATCGCTATTTGTACACTTATTGTCGGATAAAGATCGATAATTTCTCGTTGCACATTATGAAGTTTTTCTGGATTTCGTCCGTGAATAACAACATTAAAATTATTCCGTGCCAGCTCAAATACCAGTCCTCGACCGATACCATATGTCGCTCCAGTGACAATTGCGTAGGGCTTGTTACCATGTCTATACTTACTGAGAGGATGAGTTGCTGCACTCAATAGGCCACCCATTATACAACCTTAATTAGCTCGTTGTGTTCGAGAGATGGGTTCGAAACGAATGATAATGGTGTTTTTTCTACCGTAAAAGAGATATAGTATTGAAGGTGTAAGCGTTACAGTTGAGTCATCGCCGTTCTTATATACTATGGCATTCAAATTTTTGTAAATTTATGGACTCTTACAGCGACTATTCTCTAAAACAAGTCACTGTGTCCATTGGTACAATAACTTCAGAGAAACTAATCGGACTGTGATGAAATTTTGTAACGGCGCTGTCTCGTCAATATGTCGGCGAGTTCGAAGATGAACACACTTATTTGTGTCATTTTTGAGTTCTAGTAAAAATACACGTATTTTCTGCCTGTCTATTATACATTCAGCCTCTGTAACCGTACGAGCACCAAACTTTCTGCAGTAGTCATCTAAGTCCAGAAGAAGTTCGAGAAGGAACTGACGTAACGATAGGGGTAGAGTGAGAGATGTGAATGAGATTACATCCAGATAGATCAGCGATGCAAACGTCGTTAGATTTCTCATGATGGTTTGCTAGACTCAATGAAAAATTGAAAGAAGGCTACAAAGGCTGATGGGAGATGGTACTGATGAGTGATTGCTTGGTTGAAGTTCCACTCAGGTACTTTTGTGACGATCATCATCATGAAACGTTCTAGAGCGCTTTCTTGTGCACAGAGAATGTTTCAAAGAGTGCAGTCACCATTCATAGGGGTATGAATGGAATGTTGAGTAAAATTTGATCCGATTTATATCTCAATTGAACTTGAGTTAATTTTCGAGAAAATGAGCGCACTCGCTATGGTATTAACACTAATATATATATAATATAGTAGAACTTTGTTTATCGGAACACTGTCGGGATTATTCATATTGCAGAGTGATTAGCAAAAATAAATCTGGACACTTTTTTTGCTATTTCGTATTTTATTTGAGTATAGCTTTGCCATTTTATCCCATCAATTGCCATTAATTGTCATGAAATGCTTTTTGATACAACTGACCTAAATACAAAAACAAAGATTTTCTTCAAGTAAGCTGAAATTAGTCACGAATAGGTTTTTGTTTCGAAAGACTTCTGACAAGATACGAATCGATTAGCTTCGATTGAAACTGACTTCTAAAGAATTTAGCTTTAGATGTCTGGTTGTTGCTAACAAAGGTAAACGACGCATCGTTTCTATGCCTTCAAATACCTTCTCTTCATTCCAATCAGCTTGTTCGTTCCAAAAACTAATCAGCAACCACGATTTTCTCAGCATTATCGATATTCTAGATGATGCCAAAATCAAAGTATCCAATAGTGTCTTACCAGGGAACTACGCCATTAACAAGATGGTTTATGGTTCGAAGTCTGACGGGTAGATAGGACATACCTGTGTATTATATATCCTAAATAGGTTCATGGACAAGTGCTTCTAGCAAGGGTTATGAATATCTCAGGTCGCAAACGAAATACGCAGTTTTATCGGGATGTTAATATTTTTCTAAATAAAAAACCGTTCGTATTGTTCACTATCTATTATTCAAAATCAGTTTGAACTCTTTCCCGACAATATTATCTAGTAGTGGGCTATATTATACAGAGTGCGCGGACCCATTATTCCAGGGTAATAACATTGTAAGGTCAAAAATAACAACCAAGGTCGATTCACAGTAAAGCCCATCTTGGATGCGCTTTAATTTTGTATAAAAATATTTTATTAGTATTTATTTGAGCTATTAATATAAAAAAATGAAAGTAGCAAGAATTTTTGGGCAATAAAATAAATAGTTTTGAGCAGTTTTTTATCATTAAATGCAGACTAAATTATTCATCATTCACCAATAATATTTTCCTGTATTAACACAAAAAAAGAAAAAGCACCATATTTATATGCATAACTGGTAATCAAAAATAGGAGAATAAGAAATTCATTTTTGTTTTTGTGCCAGTAATACTTTCTTTGTCATGCCTTTTTCGTCGAAAAACCACATTGTTTTTTTTTATGTAGAAAATGTGAGTGTAAACAGATAGTCGCGTAGCCAAGGGACCAGAAATATGCAATAGCCCACTTCATTTTCAGACTGACGAGGGATCTGAGGATGTAGTTGTTTGTAGTTAAGGAGAAGATCTCCTCATTTTTACCCTCATGTATCCACATCAGCACTCTCAAGATGGCAGAAATCGTATATTCCCTCAGCTGTAGGGAGGGCCATATGAAAAAAAAGTTTGTTGGCTTCTGCCCAGGTCAAAGGTCAAATGTGGCCAATGATGACCGAGATGAGGGGCGAGTGCTCAATGATGGGCGCGCTGCGGAGAGCGTGGCCACTCATAAGTCGATAGAAAGTGTTGTTGTGAGATGGTCTTCTATTGTCACGTGCATCCTCGGTTTTTAGTGCTTTGGGAAAATTGTATATTCTTTGGTATATGTGTTTGTCCTTTAGTGATCGTACTATAACCTTGCGTATACACGTGTCTTTTGTTCCCTCTATTGGCAGGAGAGTGACGTGAAGAAAAATAGTTTGCGTACCTGTATTTATGCTTGTGTCAAAGTGGAAGATCATAAAACTGGATTTTCTCGATAAACAATATAAAACTTCACTAAAGGGTAATCGGGAGCAAAAGAATATGAATATGGTATTAGTTTTAAAATTTTCTCTCAGAATTTTCTTTTGAAATCTTCAACTAAGTGTTACCAGCAAAACTACTGAGATTTGTAAGGGTTGGCCGAAGGATCATAGAGTTTCAGGATTCCCAGTTTAGTGTTAGCTTTTATAAACTGTACGTATAACAAGGTCAGTAACATTTAGTTGTATGGTTTTACGAGAAAGTGTTTAGCGAATCCGTGTGACAATGAATCAATATAAAGCAGAGATAAAAAAGAAAGTAATCACTTCTCTCCTATGCTTGTTCTAACTTCTGACTATAACGCAATTAAAAAGTGTTTTTCATCTACTTTGGTGTCACATACAAACCAACTTTATATTACGTAGCTGATTATGAAAACTTTAAGCATGAGTATTCTCACTTGCATCTTAAATCAGTGTCATTTTAAAATTTGTCACGAAGTGACTTATAGAATAATAACTAGGAAAAACAGCCTCAACAAGTATATAAATTCACTGTTCAAGTTAACATCAATGATGACATCAAGAGAAAAAACGCAACTTAATATATTCATTCAGTCGAGGGTTAAGCGAGTCTGCGTCAGCGAGCGTTACTTGTTTATAAAGATTCTGACTAAGCTAGAACTACAAATTAATTTACGAACAAATATATAAAGAAACGGGCTTTAAGTTCTTTAAAAGAGCTCTCTGCCACAGAGGGTTAAGCCCACCTTAACTCTTTACGACTGGCAACCAGATAGCAATAAGAAAAAAAAATTCCTCTAAGTATTTTGGTTTTTTTAGATGTCAAAGTTACAAAATCCTATCGTGAAGTATAAAGATCTGACTTCGAATCGAATATGAACAGGCCGGCCTTTTTGGCTACAGCCGGCCATATAGCAGAGAAAGTTATTCTTTGTGGTAATTGATCTGTTTCCCTAGAGTCATGGATGTTACTAGATGATAACATTCCACTTTCTTCTGTCGCATGTTTTGACGAAATCTTGTTATTAGTTCTACTGTATGACGAGAATAAGGTAGAAAGATTTTGGAAATGAATGATCAACATACTGATTTCTGATGAACCTTCGAAAAATTGATTACTTTATTTACATCAATATTTCATGTAAATTAGAAAGTAAAACTCTCTATAGGATAGAAGTCCACTCAGACGGTTATGAATTTCAATGAAAAAACTGAATAGTTTTGCACAAACAGATGCTAATTCATTAAAAGTGAAAGAATATAGACTCCACTGTTAATTCAAACGAGAGCTGGCCACAACTAAAAGATATTTTAGAAGATAGAGTTTTGAGAACAAGGATGTATCGCATCATCTCTTATCTTAAGGAGGAATTCAATAAGATTTGTCTAAAAGCAGTACATATTGATGCGGTACGAAAAGATGAACAATTTGCTATACGTGTCTCTAATTATCATCTTATACTACAATTAATTAATGACCGTCTGAATGAGTTACCACTAAAACTGTTGCTCAATGTTACCATAAAACATCATCCGCCCGGAAAAGATTGAACTCCCTCGAACCACATGAAGTTTCTTCGATTCATATAGAAACAATGCAAAGTCTTTCCGAATTATCGAGGATCAAACATAGTCGATGATGAATCACTCCCATTAATCTTTATTTAGCCTGTCTAGATTGAGACCTTTGCACTACTTATCGGACTTAAATCCTGTAGGATGTAAATGTCTATAAACAAAAATAGACACTTTTACGAAATAAGAACAATTTAGAACATGTATAGATGCTTCTGCAGACCAAGTCATATATTTTCTGACTGGCATAGCATCTGTGGAAACATAGGGCGAAATGCTTCCTCCTTGGAAACATATCTAATTGGCCCTAACTATATAGAGGTCTAAAAAATATATGTTCAATAGTATTGTTCGTCAGTTAATAGTAGGTAGGGTACTATTGTGTAAATAATGCTGTAGTTGAAGATAACGTTATTACTGCACACGTTCGTTTACTGGAAGCAAAGACTAAAAGAACAAAAGCAAACATTAGTTTACAACTCATAAATATCTGTCAAACTAGAAACAGTCCGAGTCAGCATTTTCGCCATATTTTTCCTGAAAAAGTCAGCATTTCAAAACGTGTATGTACATATATGGACATTCGTTAGAAACCGCTACAAACCGTTGTATGCATCTTTCTTTTGCATTGATTACTTTCAAATAGAAGTCAAATATAGTAAAAGCATCCTCTTAATAAAATATGCCGAACATACTTTTTGTCGGTTTTTTTAATCACGTTCTTCATCTCGTTTTTCATCCATGAAATGGTTTTTACGAAACTAGGTTTATGATGTCGAAGCAACAAAGCATCGATCATGCCGTACTTCTCTAGTCATGTTAAGCTACCTTGTAATCATATATACGCA